GAAGTGTCAAATTTGACAATGAACCCCTTCCACGTGTATGGCGCTATTGCGTGTCGCACATGCAGCTCAAGTGTCCATGACTATTTATCATATCACAACCTGCAAAGGTATTTCAATATCCCCTACTTTTTTGGAAGAGTATATGTATATGTTACAAATATAATGTGAATAAATATAATATTAGCGACTTGAATGTAAATGATATATTGAACACGACTTATAAACGTAATAGTGTAAAACTGATTTAGTAGCTGATAGAATAAGAGATTTAATGTCATTTTGCGACTCAAAACAAATCCCTAATATTGGCGAAATCATTGATTATTTATGTATTTCACAAGAATGTTGTATGGATTTAACTGTAAATACCAAATGAAGCATTGTAAATATGTAATTTCTATCTTTTATCTTTTTTTTCCGTTAAAAGTGTACAATTAAGTACGAATAAAGATTGCTTCTGAACATTCACTATTCTCAATGTTATATTCCAGAATCTGACTTTGATTTTCATTTAATATTTTAATATACTTTTTTCTCAGAAATATCTTACCATCGAAGCTTGATCGGTTTTGATTATTATCTGAATAAATGTTTGAATAATATTTATAAATTTTCTTTGATATTAACTTCTCTTCAATGTCATTTTATTTTGTTTCTCTAAACTTGGGAATAAATTTGTATTTCTCTCACCCTTTTTGCAGCACTACCGTATTTCTATAACAAATATTTCATCAGATTTGTGTTTTTATGGGTATTTCACGATGACTATGTAAATCTTGCATGTGTTTTTCTTTTCACCTACTTTTAACCGTTTACTTCTTTTTACACTATTTAAAGGTATAATTTTTCATTTTACATTTAACATATTACGTTTAATTGCTTACTTCTTTTCTTTTACAGTATTTAAAGGTATACTGTTTCATTTTACATTTAAACATACATTATGCAAGAGCTAAATCTGTCAATTACAGGTCTTTCTTTAGGTCTGAAATGTTATCTAAATTATTAATTAGGCATTAATTAACTTATCCAGACCATAATCACCCCGTGATGGCATCGCTAGCCTGCGATATGTACTGGATTATGATCCCATTTGCTGCTCGACTTTCATTCATAATTTAACCATAAAATGGATGATCGAGGCTATGTTATTTTATCGTATAGACTTAAGTAATGATGATCGAGGCTAGGCCGCTTAATTCTCGGTTCATAGTGGATAAATTTGACTGAAATTTCCAATAAATTGCCTTTACATTATCTAGTTTTTAAACTATTATAGTGAGAACTGACAGCTCTTTATCTTACCTCCCATACTGTATCTTTAACATATTATTACGTTATTTTTACAGTATTTAAAGGTATAATTGTTCATTTTACATTTAACATAAATTACTCAAAGTATTAAATAATATGGCAGTTCCACCGGCATTACTCATCTCCAAAACCATGCATTATGCACCCTCCCTATTCCCGTTGCCTGGTGATATCCATGATTAATGTGCACGGGTAAATAAACATAAGGTATTATATCATGACATGCGTATGGCTAAGTAAACAAAGTCTTATCAGGATGAGTAAGATTACAAAAGAGTACCCTAATTAAAGTGTGTTAGTTCTACATGTATTGTACCTACATGTATGTCATTCACATTTCACACATGGTACAATCTGGATGTTTGACAACTTCAGTTCAAATTGTAGGTTCATCGATTAAATAGTGATAATAGGGTGACCAAAGGTCTGTCATTGAGTCAAGTGGAGTGTTTTCGGTCCATATTGAAAGGGGTATGTTAGCGAATTATTGAAATAAACCTAGTTGTGTTAGGTCAGGGGTGTCAAACATGGGGCCCGCGGGCCAGAACGCTTAATATCGATAATGTTCATAATTTCATTACCCCAATGCTTCCCGACACATTCGAAAGAAATCCATTAAAAACTATAGTCTCTCTTGCGTGCACAATGGTTTCGGGGAAGGGACATAACTCTGAAAAGGTATGTCGCAGAACGCTTACGACCAAATTGGAACAAAAAATGTTAAAAACTGTAGCTTATATAGCGTTCAAAAGGTTTTCGCCAAAGGGGGTATTACTACGTAACGGAAAGTTGTCGAAGGCTAAAACTCGATTGGATTCGTTCCCCCATGACTTACTTAATAGTATACTATTAAGTTTTCACATTCGGGAACACCTTATACCACTTGTTATTCCAGCAATTAACATTGCTATTTGTATTTTCAACGACAAACTTTCTTACAGTTCTATTCGTGTACTACTGCTTATGCCTAGAAGTCAAATTTTATGTATGTACGACATAGCAATTTTTGTAAACTTATAAATGGGCTGATATCAGGAAAGCTTGTTTAGGTAATATTAAATGTTGGTATTTCAACAGATAGAGAGAGAGAGAGACAGAGAGAGAGACAGGCAGACAGACAGATGGGTTTAATGTTCACTCGACACAAACTGGGTCATTTTGTTCAATTTTACTTCAGTAATTTGCTAGTGCGTTATGGAAGGGTACCGCTGCCAATATTAAATGCTCTGCTACAATGTCTTTTCTATTGATTATATGTAAAAAGTACAATGTACAAAGTCATAATACCGGTAATGATAAAGTCAAAATACCTCTAAGGCAAGAGTTAAATGTAAAACGTCGAATGTTAAGTGTTAAATGACAAATGTTTTGTGGGAAACTGCTTTTTTTGACGTGTCTACATTTTACATTTCTCTCATTACATTTTACATTTGCTCTCTGCCACATCCCATTTGTCCTTCACGCATTCTACATAGCATGTTTCGCACAGCATCAACTTGCATATGCAAATGTAGGATATCACGTGACTTATTAACATATACGGAAACCTGGCACACTATAAGCCAGAACAAGGATATTCACGACACTACAACAGGAAATCAGCCTAGCACACAATAAAAGTTTACTCCCCTTGACACATTGGATGGAACTTTATGATGATTACGGGGGGGGGGGGGGCTGTGCAATGTTCAAATACGAAATTTCAGGTATCATGTTACATATTAGTGAAAATCACATTCATTTCTGTTTGTAAATATGTAAATAGTTTTCTGGTACAATCGTATTTTCATAATTTTAATCCAATAAATATCACACTATTACAGGGGTATTCAAGTAAAAATACTGGTCTAAATACGAAATTCCAGATACCGTGTTAAGTATCACTAATTGCTCTTTTCAAATATGCATATAATTTTCTGGCACATTCATATTTGCTTAACTTTACAAAATATTATTAAAGTTGAAGTGAAATAAACTAAACTAAAATAAAGATACAGGGCTTAATTAAAAATTCTCTATGTCCATACTAAAAGATGTATAGTCATTCCTCTCTTTAAATATATTATTTATTTGTTGGGTACAATGCTTATATATTGTTGTTTTTTAATGGATCAAAGTAGGCTACTCAACTCTGTTTATAGAGAGACCGGAAAGAATGGGGGTGTTTAAAATATAAAAATACGGATATTAATACGAAATTCCAGTTATTGTGTTATAAATTACTGGAAAGTGTGTTTCTTTGGCTGCTTGAATCTATCAATTATTTCCTGGCACATTCAAAATTACGCACGGTCGTCTAGACAGTTTCTTATGGTGTGCCAGCTTGATTTCTTTTGTCTTGCGGTGAATATCCTTATAGTATGCTTGTGCCGAGTTTCCATATATGTTAATAAGTCACGTGATATCCTACATTTGCATATGCAGTTGATGCTGTGCGAAAGTTGCTATGTAGAAAGCGTGAAGAACAAAAGGGATGTGGCAGAGCTCAAATGTAAAATGTAATGAGAGAAATGTAAAATGTAGACACGACAAAAAAAGCATTTTCCCACAAAACATTTGTCATTTAACACTTAACATTTGACGTTTTACATTTAACTCTTGCCTTATATGTATTTTGACTTTATCAATATCGGTATTAGGACTTTGTACATTGTACTTTTTACATATAATCAATGGAAACGACATTGTCGCAGAGCATTTAAAGGGACAATAACACTCTTGCTGGCTTGAAAGCTCCAGAAAATAAATAATATCTCTATCTAAGTACTAGATGTTTAAGTGTCCTACCTGTTGTGTAAATTATCCATTACATCCTATTTTACTTGTCCAGGGTTCGAAAATATTTTTATATCGAAGTTTCATTTGAAAAGGTTTACGTTAGACGTTTCAAACCATTATGTTGAATTTTTCAAAATTTTTTAGTAAGGTGTGTTAAGATGAAATTTGTATCATCAATTAATTGGAATATTGTAAAATAGTGCAATTTGTTGACCAGAATAAAGATTGGGACATATTATTCAGTTACAACAAGAATGGTATTGAGCCTTTAATATTGGCAGCGATACCCTTCCATAGTGCGTAGGGGTTTTAAGCACTGGGGGAAACTGGAGAGGCAGTGTTTTTTAACGTCACCTCATCCCAAACCGGGCTACGAGTATATATGGTGCAAAGCTATCAGAGAGTTTCAGGCTGTTGGATGGCCGAATGGTTAGCACGCGCGCGCCGTATCATACGGTCTGTCATTGAGTCAACTGGAGGGGTTTCGATTCCCCGGTTGTACGTGACAAGGAGTAGGGTCGCCTGTCCAACCACGTGGGTTTTCTCCGGGTCCTCTGGTTTCCTCCCACTGCTAAAGACCTCCACGCGCAAGCGAATTATTGAAATAAAAATGAACCGTGTGTTAGTCCCGAAATGACCTAGTTTGTGTCGCGTGGACGTTAAACCCCATTTCTTTCTCTCTATCAGAGAGTTGCACCTCTACGCGTCACAAACTAAGTAATTTCGGAACTAACATATGTTACAATTTTATTTTAATATTTCGCCTGTACACATTAAACATCGTTTAGGATAATAAAAATATGTTCAAATAACAGATGGGGTATTGTCGTGTTAACAACACTTTTATACGTGATATTGATAATTTCATCCACATAATAAATGATATTAATTCATTTCTAAATACTTACGTTCTCCAAATAGATATTGGTGTAAAATGTCCATGAAAGAAAGTGGTATATGAAATCCACACAGTCAACAACGACAATAATATAAGAAATATTACACACTTTTTCAAATTAAAAACATGTGTCATCGTATTTTGAATCCTTTTGGTCATGATTTAAAACCCTTCTATGGAAGCCGGGGTTAAACCCTAAGAACGACAGAACGAACACCAAACCCAAAAATTAAATGAGGCGAACTCATCGCTTCACCAAGACGAGGCTACTTATCGGGATAACCTTGTTGAATCACGTGACATTTCATAGATAAAAGTCACTAAAGTGGTTAGATCCTGAATCAAACGTCTTGCTGAAAACTAACGGAAGCCTCTAATCCGGGTTTCTCAATTCAATAGGAAATAAATTCGAGACAGAACAATCTAGGCGTCACTAGATATACGAACAATCATTCAAATTACATTTTTACGAGCCAAATTTTCACGGTTTGTAGTTTTTTGACAAGATGTGTGTATTGATAATATATTACTGGTATATTCTATGCCTAGTTTTGCTTCGCCTTTTTAAAATTAAATCATTAAAAATGAAATCTAATGGAGTTTAATGTCCTACTGTTCTGCTCCGAACTGGCCAAATGAAGACGGCCATACGCCATACAGTGTGCTATTATGGGAATTTTGCCCGGACAGCGACACTACGGCCTACTCTTATATCGAATTCCAACTGTCAAGGGATCTGTTACGTGCTAAATCATTAAATGTCCGAAATAAACTGAAATAAAACGAGGTTCAACGCCCTACTGCTCTGCTCCGACTGGGCTAAGGAAGACGGGCACCATTATGTGTGCTATGGGAGAAATTTTGCCCGGACAACGGCGTTATAGCCTACTCTTAAATCGAATTCCAACTGGACGACAATGTGTACACCGGACCTCGGTTTTTCTTCCCATCCGAACGACTATAACCTTGTCCCTTGCAAGGCCCTCCGCCCTGCACCACTGACAAGGGGAACCGACGACGGAAAATCCATATGAACTTTCTGTCAACGTAGGTCTCGAACACGTTATAATCTATTTAAACTCTCGAGAATCCGATGACATCGAGAGTTGATTATGGTCTTGCCATATTAATAAATGTCTAATTAATAATAATCTATATAACATTTAAGGCCTAAAGACAGACCTGCAACAGGCAAATTTAGCTCTTGAATAATGTATCCATAATCATTTGTCATCAAAATTTTACCCGATTTAGGACACGCAAAAGAAAATAATATCTCAAGCGCTCGAGATATTTAGTCGAGCGCTCGAGATAATTAAGTCGAGCGCTCGAGATACTAAGTCGAGCGCTCGAGATAATACAATCGAACACGTCTCAACCGATGTTTTAAGATGTATAATTTTGTGCATTATTTAATGATAAACTTGCAGAATAAAAATATTCATTTGTTCGTGTGAGTGGGGAGGGGGCCGCTCCGTCACTGCAGCTTTGGATGGGCTGTAAAAACGAACTAATGAATATCTTTATTCTGCAAGTTTATCATTTAATAAATGTACAAAATTATACAGATTAAAACTTCGGTTGACCCGTGTTCGATTGTATTATCTCGAGCGCTCGACTTAGTTTCTTAGTATCTCGAGCGCTCGACATAACTATCTCGAGCGCTCGACTTAGTATTTCAAGCGCTCAACTTAGTATCTCGACCGCTCGAGATCTTAAATTTTTTGCGTGTCCTAAATCAGCCACCGTAGTTTTAAACTTTTTAAAAAAACATTAAATTTCATGGCATAACTTTAAATAAAAATGTAGGACAAATATCAAAAGTCGAATCCAGCGATCGATTACTAATATTGAATGATTTCCAAAACTATAATCATACTGAAAATCGGATAAGAACAGGCATTTCCCCTGAGTTTCAAATTGTGAGATTACTCCTATTGACAAATATTTTTATATAAGGCATGATTTAAAACGTTGAACATCTGAAGTCGTTTTCAAAAGAAAGATAATCAGGTAAATTTTATTACGACGACATGCAGACAAAAGATCTGTCATATTAATTCGAGGGAAACCTATTACTTGAAAAATATCTTTGGAATCCTATTGAACAAGATATGGTACCGTTCTGAAATTCACCTTCTTTTCAGGTGGAATTGGTGGCCAAAGTTTCAGTGAATCACGTTTGGCAACATCTCCACAGTGTATCTATCGAAAGTCATAGTATTAAAGATATGTATCCATACGCTTCGTGTTATATAAAGAGGGGTCATTATATTCCCAGTGGGTGTGTTGGCTACATTTAATGTATAGCAAGAAATAAAACATGGCAGTTTCCTCACGATGTGTCTACAGAAAATCCTTAATGTGAATAGATTTGAGTGATGGCGCAATGATTGGACCGTCAGATATCTCATGTGTGTATATATACCCAACAAATATAAGATGTATTTGCTAGATTTAAAGTATTTTTTCATTAATTAAGAAGGACAATATCAGTGGTATGATGGCAAAAGAAACAAAATACCGGATCTTTTTAAACCAAATGACATAGTAATAATCTACTACTTAAAAACTAATTTGAAAAATTTATTTATTCTGACTAGTAAATGAGAGAATTAAACGATTTATTATATGGGCTTGGAAATATAAGAAATAAATATATATGAATTTTCTGACAAAAGTAACTTAATCTATATCTGCTATTCTTAGCAAAAGATTCATTTTAAGTATTAATATTTAGATTTTTTCCAACTGCCTTTTCGTCTCTTCTTAAGCTGATCTAGGGCAGACTGAAATGTGAAATAATTAAATAATTATAATATCGGAGCATACAGGTAATAGGTAATCTATCAGGTAATCTATCAGTTGATAAAGGTACCGTATACTATCAGATGATAAATGTATACCATCAGGGGATAAAAGTAAACTTTCAGATCAGACGATAAAGGTTTACTATCATATGATAAAAGTATACATCAGATGATAAAGGTTTATTATCATATGATTAAAGTATACGTTCAGATGATAAAGGTATACTATCAGGCGATAAAGGTATACAATCAGATGATAAAGGTATACCATTAGACGATAAAGGTATACCATCAGACGATAAAGGTATACAATCAGATGATAAATTATACCATCAGACGATAAAGGTATACAATCAGATGATAAATTATACCATCAGACGATAAAGGTATACAATCAGATAATAAAGGTATACTATCAGACATAAAGGTATACAATCAGATGATAAAGGTATACCATTAGACGATAAAGGTATACCATCAGACGATGAAGGTATACAATCAGATGATAAATTATACCATTAGACGATAAAGGTATACAATCAGATTAAAAAGGTATACTATCAGACGATAAAAGTATACAATCAGATGATAAAGGTATACCATCAGACGATAAAGGTATACCATTAGACGATAAAGGTATACAATCAGATGATAAAGGTATACTATCAGACGAAAAAGTATACAATCAGATGATAAAGGTATACCATCAGACGATAAAGGTATACCATTAGACGATAAAGGTATACAATCAGATGATAAAGGTATACTATCAGACAGAAAGGTATACAATCAGATGATAAAGGTATACTATTAGACGATAAAGGTATACCATCAGACGATGAAGGTATACAATCAGATGATAAATTATACCATCAGACGATAAAGGTATACAATCATATGATAAATGTATACTATCAGACGATAAAGGTATACAATCAGATGATAAAGGTATACCATCAGACGATAAAGGTATACCATTAGACGATAAAGGTATACAATCAGACGATAAAAGTATACAATCAGATGATAAAAGTATACCATCAGACGATAAAGGTATACTTTCAGACGATAAATGTATACTATTAGATGGTAAAGTATACTATTAGTTGATAAATAAATACTATCATATTATAAATGTATACTATGAGATGATAAAGGTTTACTATCATATGATAAATGTATACTATGAGATGATAAAGGTTTACTATCATATGATGAATGTAGACTATCAGATGATCAACTTCTTCAAAATCCCCGAACCCTTTGAGGTTAAGAATAAAAACGGTCAAAGTACAGGTCCTTATCTTTCTGGCTCTTTCATTTCTGTAAAATACATTACAGCCATCAAAAAGGCCAGTGGCAGAATCAGACCAGTACATACTAGAGAAATCGTAGCCGGAATACAGTAATTAAAATTTATCTTACTCTTTGTTCTTCCTGCACTAACTACCAGTTCCCCATCTTCATCAAGACCATACACAAACCTGTATTGACAGGAATCGTCATCTACAAACATGCACAGTTTCATAGCCGGGTCTAAAAGTAGAAAAACAATTTGCTGTATTTTTGTTATTAGTCAATATACGTAATAATCCTGGCCGGAAATCCGGTCAGTCGGGATTAATTTTTGCCTAAGGAATGTTTGGTTGATCTATATAACATTAAAAGAGACAATTGCTTTAGTCAGTTGGAAAAATAATTTTCGGTTTGATGTGAATTGACTACACAGTCTATTGGGGATATTCAAATGGAATTGTACGCAAAGTTACATACATCTACAAAGTGTTTGTTGAGATATAGATGTTTTAACTTTATATTTGACGGACATATTGTGGTTTTCACGGAATTTACATGTTCTTCTAAAAGGCCAGTGCTTGAAATTTTGAATTTAGACGCGTTTTCGTTTATTTTGCATATAATATTCACATTAATATGATTTGAATAAAATTAATTTCTATTTTTATTTTTATATATGTATACATATGTATATATAAAACAGATTGTGTACGTACAACAATACTCTAGATATGCTTGAACCTTCCTATAGGCGAGAAGTGGTATCAAGTGTTCCAATCTTGGTGATATCCCACCTCATATTACTAAACGGGAAGATAGCTTGAAAATTAAGTTCAAGTTATGTATTTATTACGTACCATATTCATTAACAGCGTCGACAGGTTGAATACCATATATACGACATTGTCTGTAACATTGTTCATCGCTTAATGGACCCGATCTAAAGATGGTGCATCTTACACAATCTTTCAACACAGCACATTGCCCGTTACATGTCTGAAAAATTAACCAATATAAAAGGCCTATTGCTTTGGACATTATGAATATACATTTTGATCAAATGAGGTATAGAAAAGTCGGAAATGTATCCGAGATGGGTATATTATGAAAATTATCGATTGGATGTACATATATATGACAGCTGTCCAATGGTGTGGCTGTAGGGTTTTTGTCGGAATATTTGCATATTTTACCCTGATGGAGCGATATAGACAAACTAATTTCTTGCCAAAAATCTCAAATTTTAAGGAATCGGTAAGGAATCAAAGGTGTCTGTTTTTAGACGAAAAGGGACTAATTGGTCGAAAAATGGTTTTGCCTTTGCCTTCTGGCACGCTAGTACAATCAAGATATCTGTTTGGGTTTAGTTTGGGTTTTGATTACACATCTATTTCCTAGCACTTTGGCCAAAACTTAAAATGACCCAATATATATATTTGCGCAGAGTTAGATATATATAACACAATAGACGATTGATTTAAAGACTTACTGGACAATCTTCACAAGTTGGTCCCATGTATACGGAACTACATCTACAGCGGCCATAAATGCAATCACCTTTACCGTTACAAATTTCCTATAAACAATACAAACTGTAATTTTAAAATGCTAGCTATATGAAGTGGACAGAGTGGAGTGGGTTGTTGAAGCTGGTGAATTACAAATTCAAGCACAATCATGTAGTTAGCGATGTAATGTTTCTGCATAATTCTGAAATGACATCAGGCGTTCTAGAAAGCGTTAGCATAAGAACGTATAGCTACCTGGGTCTATAGGTTGGGGCCTGAAGTCGAGGATACTTAGTAGAAAGCCACACAGAGGACATTTTATCCAATTGTTATAATGTCATTGGGAAGAAAGACTAAGTGATTTGATGTTCCACGTAGTTGACTTTTGAGGTATCCAACGGCGTTAGTGATAAAGGTGACTATCAATACGTTCAGTTCCAATAAGTAACGATTGTGATTTGCATTTTTCGGAAAATATCAAATTTCTCATGGCTTTTTCCACGCTAAATATTACTCAGATTGCTTATTTAATATTTAAGTAAAAAAAAACCCTCAAATTCCAGCACTAGATAATCTTCTGGCTTGGATTCAAACGAATTTAAAACAGGTCCATCAATTTGGTTCACGGTAAATAAATATTGCAGCCGTCTTGTTACATAAGGAGCATATATTTGTAACTACTGAACAATATTGAACGATTTGGGAGCTGATATTCAACACGGGCGTCTATAGAGCTAAAATCACGCATCGTTACTTAATGTTAGTAGGTCGCTAGTGGTTATTATGAATTATACAGCGCACACAACCATCCATGCCAACCCGGTTGACTCCTACGATATCAAGTGGGGAAAAACGTCATGAAATCCCGAAGGATGCCCGCGGCCCACTTCGTACATTTAATCTATGCTAATCCCAGAAAATGACTTTTACTTGAAAATGAATGTAAAACTTACACCATTAAGTGCTCGACAACTTGCAGTAGAACTAGAAGTAACTAATTCACACATTTCACCAGAATAACCAGAATTACATACACATCTTCCACAACGACAATTTCCTCTTTCGGGTCCTTCAAAATTATGAACTTTATTTTACAAGCTATCATTTTGATAAATATATTTGAAATCTTTTTAACCTGTTCTATCACATATTATCTAAAATCGATGAAAGGCAACGTTGTCCTTTTGTGACACTCTGGGCTGGGGAAACGTGTCAGGACGGCCAAATCTTTTGTGTCACACTGTCCTGTGTCTAAGTAGGACTTGACGTTGTGATAAATAAGACTTCAACCTCTTTTCTGTACTCTGGAGATATCTTTATAGGTTACAATAATATATTCTACAACATCCACACACCTTGTTATTTAGGTATTTAAACGTTAACCACGATTAAAACATATGATGTCTACCCTGGCTATTTCGCCCAACCGTCTCCTGAGAAAACGCGCTGGTCTAATTTATATTAAAAAATTTTGGGGGCGTCAACTATCAGAGCGGATCCTTGACCATGTTTGGACAAGAGCTGTATTAGAGCACGCCATTACGTCAACCTAATTTGTACTGTACCAACGGTGCGGAGACCTCTGACCTGATGTCTGATCGTTAACGCAATAGGATATCATTTTTAACGAACCATGACACAACAGTAGCCCTCTTCCAGAAAAAAATGGTAGCAGGAGCGCAATCTGCGTAGTGTCACAATTCGCCCCTCATTAATTTTCGTTTGTGAGTTCAACACAAACGTATATGGGTAGGCCTTAACATAGCCAGCCAGTTGCTATATATATATCGCATTAAGAGAGTTGAACTGTTTTCACTCGGATGTGTACAATTTTAATTTCAAAGAGCCAGGGATATTCGTATAGGATATAATGTAAACATTGATATAGAATATATGGTTATACTAGAATACTATAGGGGATTACATCATGGATATTTATAGCACAATACACTGTAAGTGTACACACACACACACACACACACCCGCACACACATGGGAGAAAACCGCACACAGTAGGTTCCGGCTCACACAATGTTTCATTTTCACTGAGTTTTGTTTTCTCACTGATTGTACACCAATTCCCTTAATTAAGTTCCATTCATCGGCCACGTTTGGACGGATTCGGTGCAGGAAAAACTTTCTGAATATCTTCCATTGCCAATTCAGGGCACATTTTGTCTATAGTCGCCGGTGTACCAATTGGCATGGATGTAACATCAGTCGGAGCTGTGATGTAGGTTGCTGATTCCATGGACGTTGAGGGTAGAGTGACTTCACGGGATCCTTCATCCGATCTGTACACCATCTGTACATCGGTTTCGTGCTCTGTGCGTTCGGTAACTTCTCTGTGGTTTTTACTATTTCTCTTAAAACAATGGCTTATTAAATGATTAAATTTTTGGTTGTATTTACAACAACTAGCAACAGCCAAAATTACGAATATGACTGTTGCTCCCATGCCAATAATGATATAGTACAAAATGAGCTGAGATTTGTCTTCATTAATGGACCTAAGATTATTCAATTCATAAACCAAACTTTCTAGCGGAATTTTATCAACTTCCTTCAAACGTAGGGGCAATTCTGTTAGGGTATAATTTGCCAAAACCGTTTGAAGAGGCTTCCATAGGTTTTCTAATGTTTTCCTAAACGATTGGATAAGTCTTTCAAAAGACACGTTTTTTATGATCGTACTTTCATGTTCAAAAAATGCTGCCAAAATTATGTCGTCACTTGTCGCCCCACAGGTCATATTTAGTTGTATTATATCTAGCGGCGGAGTTACGACAACTGTCGAATGGACAAGGTTTGGATCGTGATAAACAATTGTCCGACGGAACTTACTTCGCGTTGTAACTACCCATAATCCATTGTTTAAATATTCTGCAATCGGAAGTATACTGGTGGGCTTTACATTAACCTTGCATAAATTTTTTATTCGTGCTTCGTCCTGAATAAACAAGGTGACTATGCATAGACGATTTAAATTTGTTGGATAAATTGGACTTTGAATTCGACAAAATTTAAATTGTGGATCACTACATTGATCAATTTCCTCTTTACCCAACCGAACGTATTTCGTACGATCCACACTAACAGCTAAATATGGTGTCTCTAAGCTATAGTGAGCAACCATTTTACGAATAGCATTGGATTTACTGGCCATAAGTTGTGAATTCATAGGTATTGGTAAATAGTGCGTGTGATATAAGTCATACGCACCACCAGAATCTAATAGTCGAATAGACATTATGATCAAAATACGACTAGAGTCCAAAACACTAGTACACGTTACTGTTTTATAATAATTGAAGAGGTTCTCCATCGGATTATATGGTAATTTTACGCTGTTTGGAATATGTTCTCGAATTCCGAGCAACAATTTCTTTAACGAAGATGGAGAAATTCTTTCAGATGACTTGTCGCAAGTCTTCTACATATAATTCAGCCCTTAATATCATTAATTGTATATCGTCCACAACCAAATTTAAGCGCAAGTACAAATGAATAAATTTTTCCAGTTGAAAAAGGTGGGTTTTAAAATCCTTCACAATATCAACGACCTTTTTATCAAGCATACCCAACGCAGTTTGCAGTCTGGAAATAGCTAAACGATTTGTATTTATCTCCATTCGAGATACATTGAGAAGTGACAGACTTTTCTTCACCACATGGGTTATAGTCTGTTGATTGTCTGACAGACTTTTAATATTGTGCCAAATTGTGTCTAAATCACTTTCAGAAACTGTTCCAAATAAGAACCTCAAAGCCTTGCCTACAATAGGGATTAATACTGTTTCTAACAATTCACTATGAGCTTGTTCTATTGTTAAATTTTCAATTCTCAACTTAAGAAACGTTTCTTTGAAATCCATCGTCTCCGTAGTGTTATATGTTGCTAAAATTTAGTCTATTTCGGCGAGACTTCGTTCTAGATCAAGTGAAGGGATTGATATAAACCTACCGAAGGGTATTAAATCATGTATTAACGTAACTAACCAGCGAGACCTTGTATCTATCTTGTTAATTGGTCGAAAAATTACATTTTCTTTTATCAACAACAGCACATGAGTGCACCAAGCCAAGAAACAGAAAGAAAAGTAGAAATTCCATGCTCAACCTAAAATATATTATAACAAAGGACATTAACCTTTATTCTTACCAACATTAATTACACAAAATAAAGTAACAAGTAGTTACTCACAAAGTGCGCTAAATATAAAGGTAACTATAACAGTTACAGTAAACCAGACAAAGCTCTAAACAACTTTCTAAGTCTTTTCCGGTTACCACTATTATTTTTGTTTAGCTGATCATTATCATTTTTCACTTTAGCGACGTACGCTTCACTTATATCCATGACCGTGTCACTAATACCCGTGACATTTTCACGGTCACCGTGGTTGCTATTCGCATCTGTTATTGTGGAATCACTCGATTCACTATCCGTACCCAACGAGTCGCCTTCATCGGACATGGCCGATTCATCTCTATCTCGGGCTTGTATACGGTTGGCGAGTTCCATTAACGCAATATCATCTTCGCTGGATGAACTTCCACGTTCGCGCCTAAAACGCTTTGCAAGGTAATTCATCCTCAGGGTCATTAACTTCGTCCTCTGACGATGAACTAGAATCAGACGGATCGACAACATACTATGTCTTGCCTAATGGTCTCTGGTTAGGCTCACCTTTGGGCATATCCCAATCATCTATTTTTGCTTATCTTAAATGCTCAGCATGGACCTTAGTGGATTTTCCCGTCAGTTGATTATTAATAACGAATGTAACAGGGGAGGTTTTCTCAATAATTCGATAATAGGGCGTCCACCTTTCCTGTAATTTATTTTTCCGATGATGATTTTTATAGTAAACTGGGTCTCCTACTTTGAAAGGGGTATCTGTCGTGTTGCGATTCGCATATTTAGCCTGCTTTCTTTGTGCTTTCTTTCGACGCTTATGGACTAACAAAAAGGACTGGTGTTGGTTTTGTAACGCTATTTTATGTATATCTGTTCCTACATACTTTCGTCTAGGCCTGAGAATATTGTCAAGGGGTAAGTTAAAGTCTCTATTGTACAATAAATAAAATGGTAAAAATTTCGTTGATTCACTAATACTAAATCGTATTGCAACAAGTGTTTGATTGAGATACAAATCCCAAGAGTTGTAACTATCGTCAGTGCCGGACTGGGCCTACCTGTCCACCTGTCCGTGACAGGTGGGCCTAAGCTCATTAAAAAAAAGTGGGCCTAAGCCTATAAAGAAAAAAGAAAAAAGAAAAAAAAGAGAAAGAAAAAAGAAAAAAGAGAAAGAAAAAAGAAAAGAGAAATAAAGGAGAAGGGGAGGAAAGAAAAGAAAGAAGAAAGGAGAGGACAGGACACAAGACAGGAGAAAGAAAAGATAGGAAAAAAATGACTGACAAACAACACAAAAAAAAGAAGTGTACTACAAGGAAAGAACATTATGAGTTTGACCTCATTATACAGAGAACCTGTAATTCATCTTTTAACCTGTTTTGACACTGAAGAGAATTCTCAAATGCATCTTATGATAAGTGCTCTTAGGTCATTCTGTTATCTAATTGTATTAGGAAATCAAAAATTTGCCTTCTTCTGCTTTGGTATGAAATGCTTGGAAAATGAGTTTGCGGTTGTCAATTTTCAAAATTTTCATGGGGTAGAACCCCCCCCCCCTCCCAGACCCCTCTCGGAAGCTCGCGCGCCTTCGGCGCGTACTTTGTGTAGGCCTTGGTCAATGACCTGACAGGTGGGCCTTCGGCACACCAGTCCGGCACTGACTATCTTTAATCTTTTTCGACAAGACGTCGTGCAGGGTTCTACTCTGGAGGTGATAAAACGAAGTAAGAGCATGGCCTCGTCGGTGACATATATTGCACTGTCTTCGACGCAGATAGCTAACATCCATCGGCTGCGGCTGTTCCGATTCCCGTGGCGGTCGCATCCGTGGCTCTTTTCCTAACCTTAGCGAAAAGCGTTTTCTTATGTTTTGTTCTGTCCTCGCCATTTCCACCGCAGCGACAAATGTTAGAGGGTCGTCCCTAAGAAGTTTTGTTTTTATGCTATCGTACCATACGAAGAGGCTAATTAGCTGCCTATCTATTTTCGGCTCCGCCTTGTAATTAGTGAAAGCCTCATTCGCCAGCGCCAACAATCTTTCTGCATAGACCTGTACATTTTCCTCGGGTCTTTGCTTAATTCTCCTTAGCAACGAAAGGTCTTGTTGCGGATCGGTTATTTCGGCGAATGTATTTGCCAGCTCTGTTTTTATCTGATCCCATGTCGCGTCTGGGGTTGCAGTCAGGTATATCTGAATGAAATTACTTACCACCCCCCTACTCGTCTGAAAAGCGCTATTGTTGCCAAAAGACTATATATTTTTATACATTGTTTATCCAATCTCGAAAATGCCTTGGATCGCAATTATAAGGTTCAGTAATATTTGCAACAGAATTTGTTGAGATCGATGAAGACAAACCCACCAATTGAGCTGTTAAATTTTGATAAAATGCTTCAGCCATTGTTTTTTCGAAATAAGTAGACAGCGAAAGTTACTTACTTGACTGTAAAATCAAGGTCGAGATCCTGGGTCGTGACGGCACCAAACAAGACAATGTGACATTCTGGGGACACGTACTCTGTGTCATGACGACCTAATCTTCAGTGTCACACTGTCGTGTGTCAAAGTAGGACTTGACGTTGTGATAAATAAGGTATCTTTATAGGTTACAATAATATAATCTACAACATCGACACAGCTATTGTTCTTTATGTATTTAAACGTTAACCACGATTAAAACCTATGATGTCTACCCTGGCTATTTCGCCCAACCATCTCCCGAGAAAACGCGCTGATCTAATTTATATAAAAGGGTTAGGGGCGTCAACTACCAGGGCGGATTCTTGACCATGTTTGGGCAAGAGCTGTATTAGAGCACGCCGTTGCGTCAAACTAATTTGTACTGTACCAAAGGTGCGGAAAATTCTGACCCGATGTCTGATCGTTAACGCAATAGGATATCTATCATTTTTAACGATCCATGACACAGAAATAACTGGTAGCAGAAACCGTGATTCAGTCTAAGAAAGGTGAAGGAATCCTGCAAGCGTAAACTGCGTAGTGTCACACTTTAGCGGAAAAGGTGCGATCTGGCACAACTGATTTCGGTCAAAAATGTTTTAAGACCCACCATTAGCGAAAGTATTTATAAGGCAGTTATTTTCCAAAAAAAGTATGGTAAATTTGGTATGTTAGAGATACCTAATTTTACTAGAACAATATTGGGAGTTCCTGAAAAACACAGGACAAAATGTAAGGGTATCACTCATGGGTAATCCAAGCATTTACTTAGACATTGATATTTATGGTAAATGAACCGCAAGTAACGACAAATAAAAGCAGATTTGGACACTCTCAGCCAAGTCACGTGACAAACAATGCTGCTTAAAATGGATTTTTACCGATTGGAGTATTTCCTTACGTTTATTTATTTATATTTTTAGATATCATCAAATCTCACCGTTTGTATGTGGGAACGCATCTTTAAGAACAATTACTTACCTCCACATATTCGACCATTGAAATAAGAACAACTGTAATCATCACATTCACAAAATCGGCCATAAAATAAATCCTGTAATAATAAAAGGTTTATTAAAATCGCGAGGGACATTTTAGTCTTGCATTTACGTCGCTTTTGATAAAATAATAATTAACTTGTGCATAAGCTAGAAACATCGGGATATATTCTGGAAAACAACCTCTACAATCATTCCGCCCCTGATCCCAACCCTTTTTTTTAAATAATAATTAAATACTGAGTCTGGCCCTGTCACTACCGAATTATTGCAAAATTGTATTGGTAGTTTCACCAAAAATTAGTTATAATATGAACAGATTATAGAAATGGAACTTACCGCGCCAGGAGCACGTGATCCACAACCACAGAACCCACATGTGCAACTACCTCTATTGCTACAAATAGCACCACCAGGTCTAATTAAAAAAAAGAATACAACTATCTCTATTACTACAAATAACACCACCAGGTCTAAATTAACATTTGCAACTACCTCTATTGTTACAAATAGCACCACCGGTCTAAATAAAAACAATACAACTTACTACAAATAACACTACCGGGTCTAAATTAACATTTACAACTATCCCTATTACTACAAATAGCACCGCCAGGTCTAAATATAAAAAAATACAACTATCTCTATTACTACAAATAACACTACCGGGTCTAAATTAACATTTACAACTATCACTATTACTACAAATAGCATCACCCGGTTTAAATATAAAAAATACAAATATCTCTATTACTACAAATAACACCACCGGTCTAAAATAAAATACAACTATTACTATTACTACAAATAAAACCATTGTGTCTAAAAACAATTTACAACTATGACTTTTACAATAGCACTACCGAATCTAAAAAACTATCCCTATTACTACAAATAACAACAGCTATATTGAATAATCCAGACTTTGTTTATTATTGTAGCAATCGAGACAATCTTGTCAAAACTTCAAAGATTCGTAACTTCGCTCAGAATAAAGTAATTTGACTGAAATGATTAACAAAATCTTTTTTCTAGATATGTATTTTTATACTATTATAGCAAGAAAGGTCAACTTTCTATCTTAATCCGGCATGATGCATTTTAATGGGCCTTAATTTAAAGGCCAGTTGTATTGTGGTTTACAACTAAATATAACGGTAGGTAATCTCCCTGATAGAATTCAATCGGTTAAAAGTTTTGTATTCAGTCTTAAATGGCATTCATTTAATAAATATGAATGTCCAAAATAACAGGTCTCCAATAGCCCCTGGAGCTCCATATTGGTTCACTACGCTGGAAACACTGTCACTTCCCCCCTCCTCCCCAATATGAATATTTTGTTATGTGCCGTCTTTGTTCTGTGACTACAGTTGGAAACAACAGTGTCTAGACAAAAATACTTCTCCTAGCACTGTACACGCAACCGTACAAAGAGAAACTAAAATGGTACGATTAATAATTCGCAATGGATCGTAGCGAGACAATATAGACATATTAGTCAAAGTGCTCTTGATAATCCTCTTCAATCGGTTTACAAACAATTATTCCATAGTCCGAACACTGCACTTATAAACATTGTGGTGATATCCACAGCTGCACTGATCAACAACAGGACGTATTGCTGATTTTGCTGCGTTTGATACTCTCGACATCGAGGATCTTTTAGACAAAATATGGGTTGAAATTGGTTTGCGCAACAATGTGTTCAACTGGTTATAATTTTACTTCACAAACAGAAAGCACACCGTCTGCATTAATGGAGTTTCTTCGGGCTTTGTTTCAATTCTGTGATGAGTGCCTCAAAGATCAGCCCTGGGGCCAATTTTATTTATAATATTCACGAGAACACTTAGTGAAATGGCCCAGAAATATGGACTTAGACTCCACTTATTCGTAGACGATACACAGTTATACATCAGCTTGGATCATTCATCAGAAACATTAATTGTACAGGATGTTGAGAGATGTTTAGATGATATTATCAACTGGATGACTCTTCATTTTTTAAAATTAAATCCAGACAAGACTGATGTCCTTGTACCAAACATCAACTCCCGCCCGGGAGTTAATTCAACCAACAAACAAAGCAAATAACATCAGTACTATCTTCAATTCCACACTATCTTTTGAGACCCACACCAAAACTAGCTGTTCTTCAGTTTTTACTAGATGTACAGCAACGTGTGAAGTGTCTAACGTGTAAAAATCTAAAACTCCTCTTCTTGCTCTGATCTCTTCAAGGCTGAATTAACATAATGCTTTTTTGTGTGGTCTATCACACTGACAGCAGCAGAAGCTTCATTATATTCGGAATACTTCAGCTCGACTCGTCACTGGAACCAGGAAAAGGGATCACATTAAACTATCATTAAGAACCCTCTATTGGTTGCCCACAAATCAGCGAATCAAATTCAAAATACTGTTATTGACTTTTAAAGCATTCAATAATCAAGCACCACAATATATTCAAGATCTACTCACTCCTTACGAATCGAACAAGTCATTATTAGTTATTCCTGCTGCAAAACTCCAGCAGACGTAGAGATCTTTTCACTATGTAACACCTTTTCTCTGGAGTTCTCTACACTTAGACATCAAAGAATCTAAAACTCTAGACATTTTCAAGTCACGTTTAAAGACACATCTATTTGACGAAATTAAACACTAACAGAATCCACATAAACTTTGAAGTATTGTTTGAGCTATACAAATTAGGTGTTGATTGATTGATTGATTGATTGAATAAATCATCAAAATTCATAGGAATTAACTCTTACCGTTCTCGACATCTTTCTGGATTATCTTCCATTTCATGACAAAAACAGTATCTACCCACATATCCCTCGTTACATTCACACTGACCACACACTAAATTACCATTTGTACTACATTGAGGTGCCCCATATGTCTGAAAATAGATTACAGTTAGAGGGTGCTAGAATGCAATGTAAATAATGGTAACCGGTAAACTTAGTAAGTTTGTAGTCTCGGTCACCCAGAATCGGTCTGGGACCGTTGTCAATATTTGACGAAAAGTCCATTGCCCATGCGTAACCGGGAGTTTGGTTTTTAATGTGGTTGATTATCCAGTATCTTTGGCCAAGTCAAGTAAGTGTTGTGCCCCTTTCCGCAATAAATCCCATAATTCTTACATTAATATAAACAAACATGAACCGTGACGACGAATTAGAATTAATTTAAAAAAACCTATATATTATTATGGCCCATGGAGGGAGAAATTTTACAATAAAAAAATTAACAGTGTTGGATATTGAACTGGCAATGCAATCAAATGGAGTCTTTTAAATGGCATTCTTTCAATGGGCGTCAACATCTTGTTTTATAACTAGTTACCTCCCTTAGTCTTTGTCTATGATAATGTAAAAGACTGGATAATCTAGCCGATGACCTATTATTTTCAGATGTTGACAACGCATACAGACTAATATTCGTAGAATATTTTTTGGGGTGATAGAGACTAGTAAGTTTGTTGGCTGCATTGTATTTTTGAAATAAGGATTGTCATAACAATTACACTGGGCTCTCACGCTATTCAATAAGAATCACCATTACTGGCTTTCAATAATATTCTAAAGAAATACATTATTCCCATTATAAATAAACTATGGTGTCATTTTAATATTCTGAAAATAAGTTTTATTTTATAATAATGAAAACGGGATGATATTCCTCACCGTTATAGTAATAAAACGGTGCGTTGTCCTTACTGATATAATATTGAAACAGGTATAATAATTAAAACAGGTGGATATCCATGGCTGTTATAATAATAAAACCGATGGATATTACTTGTCAATATACTATTACAACCGGTGGATACAGGTGAATATCCATGGCTGTTATAATAATAAAACCGGTAGATATTACTTGTCAACATACTATTACAACCGGTGGATACAGGTCAATATCCATGGCTGTTATAATAATAAAACCGGTGGATATTATTTGCCAATATACTATTACAACCGGTGGATATTCCTTGCCAATAAAATTTTAAAACGTGTGGATATTATTTGCCAGTATAATATTAAAACGGGTGATATTATTTGCCAGTATAATATTAAAACGGGTGATATTATTCCCGACTTTTTGTCTTGAATAAATCAGATGGGTATGACTTACCACTCGTTTCGAACACTCACAACCACACAACGATTCGACGTCAACTACAAACTTCTGACTACTTCGAGGTATGGATACTATCACCCTGGAAAATATACATTATATACAATAAACAATATCATAAACAATTTAATTACAAATTGCGAAGTACATTATCTTGGTAGTAAAAATTGTGTCTTTTCCATGGTAAATCATCGAATTACATAACTTACATAATATATTATGTTGATCATGTCTACCTATAGAGTCCGATAAACTAGACCCAGTGGGGCTCTTTGATCAATGTATAGGAGGATCGATTCTGTCTAACTAACACACACATGTTATCAAAAGGAAGGCCCTGCTTTTCTGACTAGCTCTCATTGCACAGGAAACGCGCTAGAATCATTTGGTAAATTCAGCGTTAGTACTAGTAATGTTAATATGTCACGAAGATAGTATTTTTTACCTTCCCGATGTGCCACAGTCTTCTGTTCTGAGAATAAGACTAAAATTTACCTGAAAACAAATAAAAGATGCATTATGTAAGAGCTTCAAATGTTATATAAATTATTATTAATACATGAAAAGCCTGTAATCAACTCTCTAGACTATCGGATGGCGCAGATGTAAACGGATTAAAATACGACCGCCATTTAATGATTTAATTTAAAAGTAAGGGAAGCGGGGCTGAGTCTCGATTAACGAGGAATGTTTCTACCATAAAAAAAATTATCTTCAAACAGTTATACCGTCGTTCAAAATATAGTTATTTGAAAGAAATTTTCAATATATTAATTTTGAATTATCTATTTGGGAACTATATATAGTATAGCCCGAACTGCCAGCTCTTTATCCAAATCTTACATAATGCATCTTTGAGTGAAATGAAAATCTGTCTAAAGTTTGCAATCACAATTGACAACAGTGGTAAATGCTTCTTTACAGTACACGACATCTGAATACTGAATTTTGGATCAAGCACTACCCATCTTTTTGTTATTCTTCCGGGCGACTTTCAAGTACGATTGAAATGAAACTTGACATGCGTGTTCCTTAGAAACTTGCGCATCGATAAGTATACTACTTCGATTATTGATATGGCATTACAATTGCCGATGACGTCGTGTTCGGTTCCTTGTTCATAGTCCTAGAAATACATAAAATATAGTTCTATATTTCTGTATTTTAATGTATATAGTAATATCGTACTTGTTCATACGTCATAGCGCTAATCCTCAAGTAGTGTTATAAACATGCTGTGGTGAAGGTGGTAAATTCCGACTTGCATTACCATGATCAGTTCAGAACCCTCATACTTTGTTCTTGGTACATTTTAAATTATGAGCACGTCATATACGGAAAATAACTAATACAACATAATTTCATTTTAGAATTTACCGTTTGTCCAACTGTAAGTCGAGAACATCGGCCTCGTCCATTGTTCCGCCAACGAAATCTGTTGAAAAAAATGTTTTGTTTTTTTTATATTGAAAGTTATTATCTTGGGCCCTTATTCACGAATACTTAAACTAATTATACAATCGAAATTTTAAGAAATACTGCAATTCGATTGGCTGACCAGTAAAATCAATGCATATATCCAATTTGCATATTGTTCAGCCAATCGAATTGCAGTATTTCTTAAAATTTCGATTGTATCTTAGTTTAAGTTTTTGTGAATAAGGGCCCTGGTCTCTAAAATCTATACATACATTATTACAATATTTAGGCAAAAAAACACAACCAAAACATGGCAGTTTTACGTGTATATAACATAGGTGGTCAGGAAACAAAAAGTAGGTCAACCGTCTGCCAAGTAGTCCGAGCTGTTAAAAAGGTTTGGAGTTTTAAAAATAATTACTCTGGAATCTCGGCAAGTTAGTTAAAACTTCCCGGAAACAGCTGACTTTGGATACAAGGACAATAACTTTAAAAACATTAGTAGGTAACTCCAAATGTCAGTTACCCTTTTAACAAGTCAAACATAAAATTGAATGGGGTTTATCATCTAGTCATGCTATTTCCATCAATTTGAAACTAACATCTGATAATTATCAATTCTATAGTTAAACATACATTATGCAAGAGCTAAATCTGTCTATTGCAGGTCTTTCTTTGGGCCTGAAATGTTATCTAAATTATTAATTTTATTAACCTATCCAGACCATAATCAACTCTAGATGGCATCGCTAGCCCGCGATCTTTAGTGAATTGTGAACCGATTTACTGCATAACTTTCCTTCATGATTTAACGATTAAGTGGATAATCGAGACTATGCTGTTTATCGTACTGACTTTAGTAATGATGATCAAGGCTAGGCAGAAATTCAATCGCTTTGTTCTCGGTTCATAGTGGATCAATTTGAATGAAATTTTCAGCAAATTGCCTTTACATTATTTAGTTTTTAACTATTATAGTGAGAACTGTCAACTCGTTATCGAATCTCCCATAATGTATCATTAATGTACTAGAAAAGAACACAATCTTGTATTTTATAATTTTCACACAAGTCCCTTTGTTGACATTCACACAAGTTTTGTTTTCGATGTATTGTGGAGAGGGGAAAAGATGACTTCTGAAATCCAATATTTAAGACAAAATAAACATTTGTAACAAGGGAGTCGAAGAATGAGGGTAGACATATTCCACAAGTCATGTCAAACGGTGACGCATACCTGGAGAGCATGCGCAATAAATACTATCTGTGTAGACTAGAATAAGCAGACGCTAGAGATTGCCATTTGATTGAGACTTAAAACAAATACCTGCTACATGATGACGTAACTTCTACCTGGATGTTCCTTGGATTAGACACTCTGAAGGTTAACCATCTCTAAAAAAAAATATTTGAACCCTTTAAATGCATTTTAAAATACTTCCTAAATATGTTATAGTTTTAAACAAATACATATAAAAAGTCGAAAAGAAGTAATTGCTGTCATTTCTTCATGGTGTCAAATATATATAAGCGAGGCAGGTTGCGCTGTATCTACTAGAGTATTACACACAACTTTTATATTTACTTGGTAAAAAAATGTAGCTAACAAATCATGTTACTTAAACATGCATCATGCAAGAGCTAAATCTGTCTATTGCAGGTCTTTCTTTAGGCCTGAAATGTTATCTAAATTAGTAATTAGACATTAATTAACTTATCCAGACCATAATCAACTCTCGATGTCATCGCTAATCTGCGATATTTACTGGATTATGATCCGATTTGCTGTTCAGCTTTCATTCATGATTTAATCATGAAATGGATAATCGAGACTATGTTTGGGTTTTTTTATCGTACCGACTTAAGTAAAGATGATCGAGGCTAGGCCAAAAATTAAATTGCTAAATCCTCGGTTGAGAGTGGATCAATTTGACTGAAATTTTCAATAAATTCCATTTACATTATCTAGTTTTTAACTATTATGCTGAAATTTTCAGTAAAATCCATTTACATTATCTAGTTTTTAACTATTATACTGAGAACTGTCAGTTCTTTATCTAATCTCCCATAATGTATCTTTAATTATATATTTCTCTGATGACTGAAATTGTTACAGAGGTACGGGAATATTTACACAGTTTTATCATAGCTAATTCAAGGATTTTATCCACATCTCTATATTATTACTTTGTTATCAGTCAATCATGAAATTACATACAGATACACGGTCGTAAAATACAATGACACACACACTCTATTCATACGCACGATTGTGGCAAGCAAACGTTCCTCAAATGACATCAAAAGAATTTTAAACTTCCTAATTGACGAAACCATTGTGGAATTCGCAAGTGAAATATTTCAAGTCACGATGCGCCATTTTAAGCAATATGCATACTTGCAAACTACAATCTAGAGAGAGAGAGAGAGAGAGAGAGAGAACGTCCACTCGACACAGGCTAGGTTATTTCGGGATTAACATATGGTTGCGCGTAGGGGTCTTTAGCAGTGGGAGGAAATCGGGGGAGTCGGAGGAAACCCACGAGGCTGGACAGGCGACCCTACTCCTTGTCACGTACAACCGGGGAATCGAAACCACGCCAGTTGACTCAATGAGAGACCTTAAGATACAACGCGCTGACCAATCAAATAAGCGATATCTACTGTAGAATGTAATATTGAATGATAAAAACAATTCAACAGACTGCTCACAATTTGCCGTAGAACTTAAAAGTACTAACAGAGATTTACACTATACACTACTAACAACCTACCTTCACGGCTCGCATTTCAAATTGAATACTTCTCGCTACAATATAAAACAAATGTTAATCAGTGATTTGGGGTTACACCTGTCGGGCTGATAAGGATAGTTTGTGTGTCTAGTCGATGAGATTGGACGACAAAAACGAGATCCATCCGTGACGTGCGCATAAATGATCACTTGGCAGTTGGATTTCAAAATGTAAACCGTTATGTCCCTCTGGCATTGCATAACTACCCACTAAATTGAAAATTACCACAAACTGTGTGTATATTTGTAGTGAGCTTTGTTCGCGTCTTTGTGATGACGTGGGGGAATATAATTACGTCGTGTATTCTGTGACATAAAAGTCTGTCAATGTTGTTTTCAATTATGTTTTTATAATCATTTTTGTACAGATCCTTCTGTATGTAAGACATAATCATTATCTACCATTACTGACAGACAAGGTATATACTCACATTTACAACATAAATATCAATGTTTTTACCTGAATTGACAGGAATAATCGTTAGTGCAGACTGTGGTCTTATTGGGATCAGGGGAGATAAATCTTCATTCTACAAAGCAGTACATTATAAATTAAAACCTGTCAGTAACAATTTTTTAGTGGCATTTAGCGATTGGGAAAGACATAACAGAACACCAGTGGAAAACAGTCACTGGGGTTTTTTTTTTGGGGGGGGGGGGTTGTAAACAATATTTTATTTCAAATTTATGAAAAGGGATCAGGGAACAGGCATAGCCTATATCACCCCTCTCCTCGTACAAAGTATATAAAACATATAATAAACAGATCTGTTATGTACATACTATTAAATAATGGTGAAAAACATGGTTTTTATTCAAAAAGTCCGACGTTCCAACAACAATCATCTTATCGTTATCAGGCACGATAGAGCTGCCGTGACAAACGTCTTCTCCATATCATTAGACACGTTACCATTGGCAATCTGTTAATCTAATAGAACCTAATTCTATGTTTTATAATGACTGTGTATTACTGAGCTTCATTTCGATTAGGCTTCTCTATAGTCTGTATATCAATCAATGATAAAATTATATACATGAAAAGAAATCAGTACTCATTTTATTGATATCATTAAGTAAATGTGTTCCATATGTAATGTGACCTGTGTATATCCAGTTCAACAATATATTATTAAATGCCATTGAAACAAAGTACAGTATCTACAGCTACTTACTCGTCGTAATGTGGTGCCTAAACCGGCGTCTTTCACTTCGATTCTATCTCTAGGACACCCACTTGTCTGTAGTTCACTTATCCTCCCACATCGAGCTTGGGTAAAATTCTGAAACAAAATAGCGTGACTAGGAACTGACCAAGTTGTTGGATGAAATTCAAAAATCCATGCCAAATTGTTCAAAGAACAAGTGTGCCAATTTTCATGCCGATCGGTCTTAGGCTTTTTTGAAGAACAAGATGAATGGCGGTAAACAACAATTTCCTGGTCCAAAAACTAACATATGTAAGTCTCAAAATGATCGAAGCAGTGTGGTGATGAGACGTTATACCTGATTTCATTGCCCACACTTGCTTAATTGTATTATCGTATTTGTGACATCAGACATTCAACAGATGTGGAGTTATCGTTTCTTGGTTTATTGTTTAGTGTTCGTGATGAGGCAAGAAACATGCGAAAAGTTTTCAGAGAGTTACACCAACCAGTTCCGTTTCGCTCTATGAGAATATTTCCTTTCCATGTTAGAGCTATCCTGACAGGTATTTGATCTATCTTAAACCAAAGGGAATATTATCTAATCTACACTTTGAGTAGCTTATTAGGGGGGTGGATGGCTGAATGGTTAGCACGTGCGCGCTGTATCATGAAGTCTGTCATTGAGTCAAGGGCGTGGTTTCGATTCGACGGGTGTACGTGACAAGGAGTAGGGTCGCTAGTAAAGAAGCGCGAGCAGATGAGTGACAGAAAGGTGGCATTTAATATCATAGATAATTACTTTTTTGCACTAATTAGGCTAATGAAGACACCACTCGTCATCAAATTCCAACTATTAATGGTTCTTTTACGTGCACGCAGACCGTGAACGCCATCCGAACGACTAGGCGTACTGTATAGGTGATGTAGTAAATGTGGTACGTTAAGCGATTCGCTCTTCTCTTCTCCTCAAAGTAATTTGCACGGTTTATCATTTTAGGGGTCAAAATACGAGCTCACCAAAGAGACGATGGGGTTTGACGTCCACTCGACACAAGCTAAGTCATTTCGAGACTAACGTATTGTTCAATTTTATTTCAATAGTTCGCTCGCGCGTAGGGGAACCAGAGGACCCCGAGAAAACCTACGAGGTTGGACTCCTTGTCACGTACAACCGGGGAATCGAAACCACGCCAGCTGACTCAATGAAAGACCTTATGATACAACGCGCACGCGCTAACTATTCGGCCACCCAACCCCCAAAGTTTGATATATATATAATTATATACATGTACATAAGTACTAAAATATTTACCATTTGTTTGCACCATCCACATTGATCTTGAGGTTCATTATTTGTAAAACATTCGTTACAGGTTTCACTAGAACTATCACAAACACCATCTAATCAAGATAAAACATTCATTACAGGTTAAACTGGTCACACACATCACTTCTAATCAAGTTAAACATTTATTACAGGTTTAACTAGTCTCACACACACCACTTCTAATCAAGCTGAACATTCATTACAGGTTAAACTAGTCAGAAATACTAATCAAGTTAAACATTCATTACAGGTTAAAGTTACATTATGGGAGATTAGATAAGGAGGTGACAGTTCTCACTATAATAGTTCAAAACTAGGTAGTGTAAAGGGAATTTGCTGAAAATTTCAGTCAAATTGATCCATTCTGAACCGAGAATATAGCGATTGAATTTTTGGCCTAGCCCCGATCATCATTACTAAAGTCGACAAGATAAAAAAGAACCAGTCGATTATCCATTTCATGATTAAATCATGAATGAAAGTTGAGCAGCACATCGGATCCTAATCCAGTAAATATCACAGGCTAACGATGACATCGAGAGTTGATTATGGTCTGGATAAGTTAATTAATGTCTAATTAATAATTACGGTAACAGCTCAGGCCTAAAGAAAGACCTGCAATAGGCAGATTTAGCTGTTGCATAATGTATGTTTAAGCTAGTCACACACACCATCTAACCCAGATAAAACATTTATTACAGGTTTAACTAGAACTATATCATTACAGGTTAAGGATGCATTATGTAATATTTAGATAAAGTGCTGACAGTTCTCTCTATAATAGTTCAAAATAGATAATGAAAAGGGAATATCGTGAAAGTTTTAGTCAAAGTAGTCGATTCTTGGCGTAGTTGTGGCCGTTTGAAGAACAGTGTAGTCTCGATTGGTATTGCTAATGTTGTTACGATAATAAACAGTCTCGATAATCCATGTTTAAAGTAGCTAAGTCTCTAACTCAATATCATCCAAAATCTTCGATATTGAAAACACAAACTATTTGTCAATTTAAATCAACATTGATGTTGTGATATTACGGGGAAAAGATGGGCTTCTGATATCCAATAATTAAGACAAAATAAACATTTTACCATTGGTACACGAATCGTGTACCATGGTGCATTTCAGCGCCATATGAAACAAGGGACCCGCAGAACGAGGCTTGATATATTCCACAAGTCAAGTCAAACGGTGGCCTCATATTCTTATCTGGTAAGCATGCGCAATAAATACTATCGGTATAGAGTGGAATAACCAGACGTTAGAGATTGCCTTCGATTTAGACTTCTAGCGTATTTCGCAGACGTAACGGATTAGAAATTACAGTAAAAACAGAAACAATTGAGTGTACATCAGTTTATATACATTCACATTACATTATTATATGCTTTGCGACCCATTTCTGTCAATTTCTAGATCCAAAATATTAGCGATGTAGCTCCTTTAAATTATACTATTTACTGCCAATCGTGTAAAAGTCCGTTGAAAATCAAAATGATTCGACAGTCTAGAAAGTTGATTATGGGCTCGGCATTTGAATAAATGTCCAACTAATGATTTATATAACATTTGAGGCCAAACGAGAATTAGATAATTAAGTTTGTCGACATTGTGAAAAAGCCCAAAATTACAAATGTTGTAAAGTGCTCACAAAAATATCTCCCCCAATCAAACAATTACAGAAGAATTATTCTGCTTCTAAATGTCATTGAAGTAATCCATATAAATGTCACTAATGCAAAAGTACACAGAAAACTGTTAACTTCTCAAATATATTCGAAATGGCATCAGGTGACAAGGACACAATAGGCATACCATGAACGACACTCGCTAATTGGAGATATAGGTTTATTACAGACTACAATCAAAAGTGTAAAGTGTACTCGCTAACAAAAAGTTTCTTATTCAGTCCTTAACAATTCAATTCATACAAGGTCCATTGTACAAATCAAGTTTACTTTTGTACAGATAAAAGGAGCCCAATGCTCAACTTGAATTTAAATGCATTCAAACACCAAATTTACCTGGTGGAGTTGCTGGGGTTTATTCCTTTATATAGGCAGGCAAACATAAATGTATTACCTCTTTGGCGGCATTCACGAATTAAAATAAAACAGTGAATAAACGTGTCCATGCAAAAGGAAGGTGTGGTGGGGAGAGAAATGGGTATAGAAAATTTTTCATATTCACCTGTTTGGTGTAAGTTATTAAAAAATATATATAAACACAATATCTTGATACAAGAATTGATCTGAAAAAATAAACATTTATCGTTAAGGTGGGCCGTCCCATATATATATATATATTTTAAAGAACAAAAAGGGGCAATAGGCCTGGTGTGTGAAAGACTCGTGAAATCAACGCAAACGTTCAATTCTCACGTTTAACTGGCGATCAGTAAGCACACAGTACACATTCGTGTCTGGATAATCGTGCATGATAGTTATGCCTATTTGGTCAGGCAAAAATGATGGAGGCCATTTCTTTATCTGAGATATATAGCTCTGTTTAATAGTTGTGGCGATTAGGTCACATAAACAGTGTATACACAGCGCAAATTGTTCGATCTTTATTGTTTTCACAAGAATCTTTTTTTAAAAAAAAACAAAAAACAAGTGTGTTCTTTTAAACTGAATTCTTAAACTTTCAAAGTCAATTTTTGCATTTATTGACAAATATGCACGTACCTTTTTGTTCTAAAGTAAACTGTTGTTTTGGTGCAGAAAAGTAGGACGCGAAATCGCATTTCATTTCACTTCATGGCTGAAAGACTATGGTCGGTTCGTGTGCTCTTAGCCTTAGATTCACGATATATATAATAGCGGAGTCAAGATTCAGACCAAACTAAACAGAACAGATTTCTAGCCGAGTAGCCCTAATCAATATTTAAAAAAAACGAATCTCCTAGCATCAACTGTCAAATCCTTATATGAAGAATGTAAACACAATCGTAGTTTTTAGTTTCAATTCAACAGGTACAGAAGTGATTTACGTTTCGTGAGGGAGCCCCCTGAACCCTAGGCCGAGAATCATTTTTCTTACTAAGCTCAATTTTTGAACCTAATACCGATCACATATTTTAATTCTTATCGCGTATGTGGTAAATGAGATCAGGACAAACTGAAATCGAATGTGGTTTAACGTCCAACTGTTGTACTCCAAACGGCGGACTAATGAAGATGGGCAAACGTTATAAAGTGTACTAAATGTTGCCCGACGCCTACTCTTCACCCATTTCCAATTGCAAATAGCTCTTTCACGTGCACTTCAGGTTATTTTTGTCCCGACTAGACTATGTTGCTTGCCAGGACCTTCATCTTGCACTCAAGGTGGAAAAGTCCGGGGAACTTCTCGGATTAAAACACGGACCGACTGGTTATTTTTTCGTAATTGTTTAGTAAATGATTTGCTTACCATTTTTGCTGTCCTAAAAATTATGTACCCAACTTTCAAAACCGACGCAATGTTATGTTCTAATTATGACGAATTCGTTGCTGTGATTTATCATAATAAATGGTTCTACTTAACAATAAACGGATGCTGTAACCTATATTAATTTACATAAATTAAAGTTCAAGGTTGAACATTTCATCTAAATGTCTCGAGTCCAGGGGTCGAACAGGGGTTAGAGAGATATGGACTTATGTCACTAAACTTAGTACTAACAAAAGTTGATGTAATAGTATTAGCGACTTCTTGCAAGTTTCTGGGACATCTATATTGTCTTAAAGGCAGGTTTTGTGGATTTATTTCGCATCCAAAAGAGGGGGGAGAGAGAGAGAGAGAGAGAGAGAGAGAGAGAGAGTTTAACATCCACTCGACACAAACTAGGTAATCTCTTGACTAACATATGGTTCAATTTTATTTCAATAATTCGCTTGCGCGTAGGGGTCTTTAGCAGTGGTTAGCATTGGGAGGAAACCGGAGGACCTGGAGAAAACCCACGAGGTTGAACAGGTCACGTACAACCGAGGAATCGAAAACACACCAGTTGACCCAATGACAGACCTTATGATACAGTGCGCACGTTCTAACCATGATAATCAACCCGGTCTTTCAGTCTCTGATAAACTTTTAGGGGTCGCGCAAACGAGACGATTGTAACAGAAAATGCACAAATATAATTATAAGCTCTTTATAACAATTAACAACCCCAATTAGAGAGAGAGAGAGAGAGAGAGAGAGAGAGAGTAACTACTCGTTACCCTTTAAACTGAATCGAAATAATTTTTGATATAGAGAGAGAGAAAAAAAATGGGGTTTAACGTCCACTCTAACAAACTATGTCAATTCGGGACTAACATATGATTGCGCGTAAGGGGCTTTACCAGTGGGTGGAAACCGGGGGACCCGGAGAAAACCCAAAAGGTAGGACGGGCGACCCTCTTCGTTGACACGTACAACCGGGGAATCGAAACCACGCCAGTTGACTCAATGACAGACCTAATGATACAACGCGCACGCGCTAACCACTCGGCTCCCAATCCCCACCCCAAATTAGAACACTGTATATATACATATGATCTGTTAAAGTACTTTAACCCGGTGGTACAACTCGCTATACATATAGAGAGTAACTCATTGCATTATGCCTAGGTTTTATCAATATAAGCGAAAGAGACAGAAAAGGAGTTTAAAGTCTTTTTGATACTAACATGTAATAAAATTGTATAATTCTCTTGGTGTCCATGTCAGGGAAATGGGAAGTAGTCAAGGTCAAGAGAGAAATAACAATACTATTGGTGACACCTATCAGTTCAATGACCTCGACCACAGTACTTGGTTACACTGTGGTTAAATTATTGACTGACACATAAAATATCCAAGTTTCAATTCCAGGCTACACAGAAAGTATGTACATAAAGGAGGCGTGACGTACAGATTAGCAGTTAAAATTAAATTTCCAAACTCGATCGGCTGTATATGTAACTACAGTAACAACAATTACCTAATAAAATATCATACGGTCTGTCATTGAGTCAACTGGCGGGGTTTCGATTCCCCGATTGTACGTGACAAGGAGTAGGGTCGCCCGTCCACCCTTTTGGTTTTTCTCCGGGTCCTCCGATGTCCTCCCACAAAAAAGATCCCTACGCGTAAGCGAATTATTAAAATAAAATTGAATCATGTGTTAGTCCCGAAATTACCTACTTTGTGTCGAGTGGACGTTAAACAAGATTTCTCTCTCTCTCCCTAATAAAAGACATCGAATTATTGAACTTTGCTGTGTTGTTTTGTATGATCGTCACTACGAATCTGGTTTTCTTCTAATGTATAATTTTCTTCGCTGTTTGATCAAACCGATTATAACATAACGGCATACATTTTTGTATGCAAGATAAATGAAAATTGGTCGATACTGAACTCTGTAACCTTGGATATTTCTCCAACACTACAGTTTAACATATTTCTCCGGAGAGTAAAACATTTTTTTAACAGGTAGTCTGTAAAACACCCCATAAGACCCATTACGCATTGACGGACTCGGGATATTTGGTAGATGGCCTAGGGGGCGGAGGGGATGTCCTCCTGCGAGATAATTTAGAAAAGTCGGAGTGTCAGTGATGATTTCTGGCGCATATCTGAACCCGAATGTAATATTTCAATTTCACCCCCCCCCCCCCGCCCCCCATCCACCTAATCAACAAAAAGCTCAAATTTGTACTTTCATAAGAAGAGAATAATTTATAATGTTATTTAGGCCCTCCCACGTGGATCCGCCGCTACCCATTAAAACAATGACCACTGTGTAAAGGTTGTTAATAACATCACTTATCACACAAATGCATGGCTCGCTTTCATTCAGTCTTTTTGTCTTAAATATTTGTATTCTGTTCAGTACACAGCGGTTTTAACTGTAACATTTCTGAAAGACTACGCATATCTTTGACCTTAGACTAAAATATTTTTTGTAGAGACGATCGTGCAGTTTGAAGTGAGGATTTGTTGCAAGTAAAAAATAAACTTTAGTTAAATAAAATTAAACTTGCAAAGTCTAACGTCAGCTCTCTAACCGGTTCATGCAAATAGTGATAAATGGCTTGGTCTACCGTTCGGTGTCAAATTCCTCTATGTTAACCGTATTTCACATTAAAAATCACACATTTAAACTAGACTAATGACAAAATTGATATAAATGTTTAAATTGGAATGAAAGAACTATTAATATGTCTTTAAAGGTTTGATGGAAATTGGTAAGTAATTTTTCATGTTTTAGAATTGTTTCTTGTTTTTGTGTTGACTTGTTTATTATTTTTTTTAAATTCTTATCGACTTTTTAATAGTTTTATTACTCTATATAAAAGAGGTTGAAATCTTGTCGATATTTCACCTAATTCACATCGCCCTCACAAGCCTATGTGGCGCCTCAGGGCAAAAGTTTCGGTAACGCCCCCCCCCCTCCACTCTCTCGCTCCTTTGCTTATTGTAACTGCTTCGTTAAGTGCCTCCGCTATTTTAAAATACATTTTTTTAATACTTTTAACACTTTATCAAAATAACTATTTATTAAATCAACTTATATGTAAAAATTTTATGTTTATTTTTCCTTCAACCCTCCATTTGATTAATATATCTGTGAAAAAATCATAATTCTACCCTCTCTATTTGCCCACCAGGAAATATGGTCCCCTTGCGTATGCACCCCCACCCCTCAATGGGAGGGCCCTGCATAGCCATTTCTATTATGTTCATGTAGTATAATAATTTGGTGTGAAATGAAATGGGGTTTAACGTCCTACTGTTCTGCTCCTAACCTGGGCTAATGAAGACGGGCATACGCCATACAGTGTGCTATGAGGGAAATTTGCTACGGCCTACTCTTATATCGAATTCCAACTGCCAAGGGATCTTTTACGTGCACGCCAATGTGTACGCGGGACCTCGGTTTTTCGTTCTATCCGAACGACTAGACAGCTGTCCTTGTCAGACCCTTCATCCTGCATCACTGACAAGGGGTGGACCACGCCGGAAAATCTGAATGAACTTTCTCGGCCAATGCATGGATCGAACACCCGACCTCTAGGCTAGCGAGCCAGCGTCTTACCCACTTAGCCACGTGATTTGGTGTATGCTATACTGTATGGGGGAAGATTTTCCCCCGGCAGTCGGTTCTTGCGTCAACTCATTTTTGTTCCATCCGAACGACTAATGGCACTGTTCTGATCAGCCACCCAGTCGTCACACCGGAGAAGGGCGTCTCTTTTATAATTATATTTGATACTCTATAACCTTTTGGTTTACGCCCCGGTCTTTCTACGCACGTAACAGACTATCGTGTACACCGATATATACATAGGAGAACGCTAGATCGGAAACGGTCCGGCACATTAATTTTTAGCACATATGATGTCATATTATTAGGTGGATTGTGGGTCAATTTTAGGGTAAGGGCTAGGACCTGCAGATTTCTCCAAAGTCTCGAGATGTAAACAGGGCTAGCGCTAACCCTAACCCTAACTTAACCTCTCCCCCCAAATTCTTAAACCTAACCGTCTCCGATCTAGCTTTCTCCATATACATAGGTTTATTGTCGCATGTCTAACAAATGTTTTAAACTTTTAAATCCAAATAGAAAGAAACTGTTAGGTTCTAGCCTATTTAGTAATTTGTCATAAAAAAAACAGGAAGACACGGACGCTCAGTGAGTAAGACGTTCGCTCGCTAACCTGGGGGTCCCGTGTTCGATCCGTCTCGGCAGCCACGGTGGCTCAGTGGGTAAGACGTTGGCTCGCTAACCTGGAGGATCCGTGTTTGATCCCTGCGATGGCCGATAAAGTTCATCGGAATATTCCGGAGTGGTTCCACCTTGTCAGAGGTGCCGGAGTAAGGGCCTGTTAAGGGACAACAGTTTTTCGGATGGGACACTGTATGGCGTATGCCCGTCTTCATTAGCCCAGTAGGACGTTAAACCTTGACAGCTCGAAATAAGAGTAGACCGTACAGCACACTGCATGACGTATGCCCGTCTTCATCGGTGCAGATCAGTACGACGTTAAACCCAATTCCATTTCATTTTCAAAATAAACATTAACAGTATCGATTTAGACCAAGCAGGACCATTCGGGTATACGCATGCGGTTCAAAAATATATATTTCTAGTACCTGTAATCGAACTTTTCCTTCGCGTTCATGTGGACTGGATCTTCGAGTCAAAGGCACACATTGCATGCAAGCCATCATGAGCCAGTCGGCGTACCGTGATAATTAATGTACATAAGTGCTAAATATATCTACTTACTCGATAATTAGCCCGGATTAGTTTTGTTTTTATTTTATTGATGACAATCTAAATCTATCAACACCCATCACTATCCGTTATTAGCCGGTATGGTGTCAGTCGTCACAGGGAGAGAGAGAGAGAGAGAGAGAGAGCTTAACGTACACTCGACACAATCTAGGTCATTTAAGGTCTAAGATATAGTTGAATTTTGTTTCATTAATTCTCTTGCATAGGAGTCTTTGGCTGTGGGAGGAAACCTGCGGATCCGAATAAACCCACTAGGCTGGGTCAAGCGACCCTACCCGTTGTGGGCTCGAAACCACGGCTCTTGGCCCAATGACAGACATTATGATTTAAAGCGCATGTGTTAGACCATTCGACCCCCCTCGAAACCCGGCGTGGTTTCTCCTACCTGTGTTTGTAGTGTAGGGTGGGGGCTAGCCATAAACGGCCGAAAGACCGGTGTAGACCGGTGTGCACGTAGAAGAAACCCTGACAATTGGAATTCGAAGTAATGGTCGGTCGTAGCCCCGCTGCCAGGACATAATTTCCCAGATAGTACACTAATGACCGTCTTCATTAGCTGATTGGTCGTACTTTAGGAACTGGCAACTAGGGATTGACATTTTCCTAGATGAAATAAAAACCTTTAATGGTTCGTAGTCTAATCATGGATGCGTATTCATTCCTTACAATTTAGAGTACAGCTGTTCTGGTCCCAGTGTTATGAGAGAGAGAGAGCCACAGATGGGGTTTAACGTCCACTCATTTCGGGACTAACACATGGTTCAATTTTAATTTCAATAATTCGCTTGCGCATGGGGGTCTTTAGTGGGAGGAAACCGGAGGAACTGGAGAAAACCCACGATGTTTGACAGACTACTCTACTCCTTGTCACGTACAACCGGGAAATCGAAACCACGCCAGTTGACTCAATGACAGACCTAATGATACATCGCGAACGTGCTAACCATTCGCCCCCCCACCCCCCCCCCCGCAGAGTTATGAATTGACCTCCCGGGGCGGTACATGTTTGTTGAAATATTCCACATATGTCTAACAACAATATAAATACAAATTTTATTACCAATTCCAATAATCAAAAAAAAAAAGAAAAAAAAAACAAATCCAAGTGAGAAATCCATGAAAGTAAATAAGCAACGAGAGTATGAACAGTTTATGATGAATAATGTCATGTTCTTAAAGTTGGACGTATCCGAGCTACAATGAATCATAATCAAAATCACCCACATTTCTCCATTTAACGATAGAACAACTGGTTTTTCACAGCCATAGCATCCAATTAATTTCAGAATTCAATATGCTCATAATCGTCATGATATCGCCCATTACCTTTATAGTACCATTGAATCCCTAACAACGGATAGCGATAACTTTTTGATAACCGTGATTGCTTTTAGGGAAATATATACTTACTCGGAACATCGTCTGCAGGGTCATTGTTACTATTTCTTTATTGGTGAGCGTTCGTCAAACTCCTTGAAAATGAAATGAAATGAAATGGGGGTTTAACGTCCTACTGTTCGGCTCTAAACTGTGCTATGAGGGAAGTTTTGCCCGAACAGAGGCACTACGACCTACTGTTATATCGAATTACATCTATCAAGGGATCTTCTACGTGCACGTCAATGTGTACACAGGACCTCGGGTTTTCGTTCCATCCGAACGACTAGACAGCTGTCCTTGTCAGGCCCTGACAAGGGGGAACCACGCCGGAAAAATCTGGATAAACTTTCTCGGCCAATGCAGGGATCGAGCACCCGACCTCTAGACTAGCGTGCCAGCGTCTTACCCACTTAGCCACCGTGACCCCCAAACTCCTTGAAAAACAACAATCATTTACAGAACATGTAAACTGATCTAAGCGAATCCAGCCAAATTGAAAAAAAACAAAACATTTTTAACCGTCGACGACCCCGAAATTGTTTTAAAATGCCTCTTTTATATTTCAAAATATGACAATTCACTAATCCTTGTGGTAGGGTCAACACATTATCTGTTAGCAACATAAACTACAGGAAAGCTTCGCGTGTTGTCCATGAGCGAATATTTTCAATTCAAACTTTCCGGAAGAAATACGACTGCCATGACCCTCCCAAACACAATCTCCGCCATCATCATCAGCAACATCGTCACCTACACTATTCCAACCTGTGATTCGGCTTTAGAGCAATCGGATATATTACAGGACAGCTTCGTGTGTTGTCCATGGGCGAATATTTTCATTTCAAAGTTTCCGTAAGAAATACTACTGCCATGACCCTCCCAAACACAATCTTCGCCATTATCCGCAACATCGTCACCTACACTATTTCAGCCTGTGATTCGGCTTTAGAGCAATCGGATATATTATGTCTTTCATTTATTTCATGGCTAATACTGTTTAGAGTGACGGTCATATCGTGAGTGACACGTCTAAAACCTCTTTTAACACACACGCACACCAACAGAGTTAGGATAATCAACAGAATCCACAGAATTAACACTCCTAGAAGGGTGTGGTTCATCTTGATCTCTTGATTATTTCTTGAACTCACAGAGATTATGTTCTGTTGAACAACGTTTTGTGTTAAATTAGCATTCCTTATAATACAACAGATGCAAAGAATTATGTTTTGTGTGAAGTTAGCATTCCTAATAATATAACAGATCGGTTGTCATGGCGGATAGGGAACTCTCATACGACTCCCTTAAGTTTCACAGAGAATAATTCTATGAATTTCAGTAGTTACTAACCATTCCTCTGTCTGTTCTTGCTTCCTGCTGTGACATCAACCCGGTGGATACTCAGCTTGGGTAGTTTCGTTGTAAATGGCTTGTATCGGCACTATGTAATATTTTCTAAAGGAGCTGAAAATACATACACGTTAAAATATGTCGGTTAACACCATTCAGTATTAGTCTAACTAAAATTTGCAATCCTACGAATGCTGTCCGATCCTAAATTATGATCTTATTGCCTCGGAACTGTTCAGTATCATGTAACCCTCGTATAGTAACTGGTAGTAAACATCATTAGACGAACATTTATCTCTTTATCCTTTAGGATTACGTCTAAAATAAATGTCGTTAATATTTGCTAATTGTCCAGCTCGAACAAACTGTTAGATGCAATTTATATTGGACGAACCGAATTAACACTTTATGACAATACATCCTTGTGAACCCTATTGTGGGACCAATCACAGAATCGACCTGTAAACATATGCCGATGATTAATTTGACTGTATTCCGTGGGTTGAGCACTGGTTCCAATACAAGCCTGGGGCGCGACAAACCTTGGACATTTTTCAAATCGTTTCGTTTTTATAGTTCAAAATTTTGTTTTACTTGTCTTTACTACATTAGGATCTGGAAGAGTTGTTATCATTGACGTGTTCTGAATGATGTGAGCTATTAGCCAATGAAACGGTCTGTTACGGCGAGCTTTAGGCGTGTTTTGCACGGAACTGTGGGTAATCCACTAGTAACATCAATTCTGATTGGTTAATCAAATGTCTGACGTCATAGAGTCAAAAGCCGCTCGTATGACCTCTGACGCGATCTATCGCTACAAACGGTCATTCTTCGTGTAGTGTAGGTCATCGAAAGTATAAAAAAAAAAACGAAACGAAATATAGATCTGTATTTTAATCAGATTGCCGGGTACAATGTCTGTGGGGATGACGAGCATCATTTGCCTAGTCACTGGATATGATCAGGGGGTTTAAACTCTATAGGCTTCTGTCCGTTCTCCTATCCAGTATCTGAATACCTATTTTTTTTATAAAGTAACCATATTTACATTTGCGTGTATTGTTACGATCCTATGAACACAACTACCATATATTTATTGTTTTATTGTTGTAAAAATTATCATGTAACAAGAACTCTAGACAGGTGAAATTAGAAATGGTATAAAATGGATGTCTTACGGTTCTGCACCAACCAGTATAATGAAGACGGGTAATATTAGTTATATGTATGACTTACGTGCACGTTAAACTCTCTCTACCCCCCCCCCCCGCGGGGTTAGCACGTGCGCGTTGTATCATTAGGTCTGTCATTGGGTCAACTGGCATGGTTTCGATTCCCCGGTTGTACGTGGCAAGAGATAGGGTCGCATGTCCAACCTTGTGGGTTTTCCCCGGGTCCTCCGGTTTCCTCCCACTGCTAAAGACCACTGTGAAATAAAATTGAACCATATGTTAGTCCCGAAATGACCTAGTTTGTGTCCAGTGGACGTTATACCTATCTCTCTATTTGCTCATTATGCATTATTCGGTTTAGATTTCATTAATGGGCAGTTTAAGAGCTGTTTATTTTTGTTTAATCGAAGTACTACTGCAAATCAACCCAATTAAACAATTGTGTTTTACGTAAATAAACGAGGCCTTTCTCCTTCAAATACAATTTGTCAAGAACAGAAGTATTTTAATGTGGAAGGAAACACCAATATCTGATATGTGTCGGTCATTTCCGTTTTAATGTGTTCTTAATATTTCTATCGACGTGATTGTCAAGTCTGTGCTAAATGAAACAAATTCAACACGAAGCTGGATGAACGAATCTTAACACTCATATGGTGTCCATATGGCTTGGTGTAGAAATTTGCCTGCCCAGAATAAAACTAGAGAGGATGACTAGAAATAAATTACAACAATACGTGTTGTTAAAATGAGTGCATGTCTTGTTCTAGATCACCAGTTTAGGTTTTGGTTTTATTTGAAAGACCTATTTTAAATGAATCGACCAGGGTAAGTATTTTTTACATACAGAAGACAATCCGAGATTACGGGTTATTCTCAAGACATGGTTCGATGTCTTGTTGGCAGTAAAGGGTTTAACATCCTACTTTTCTGTGCCATTCGGGCTATTGAAGTGAAAACACGCTGTATAAAACCGAGGAACATCTCTCGGGATCACACGTCAGTCCTTATGGTAGGATGACCCGTGCACTTTACAGAAAGTTGGTCTCGACACGGCTAAATGTGCACGCTTCAGTTGCGTGTCTCGAACTGATTTCTGACTACCCCGCACTCGCTTTGAGTCGATAAATAGCCATGGCACGTGCAATTCTCTACAAATATATCAACTATTACAGCCGTAAAAAATCTATTGTTGACGATTTTGAATAGCAGTAAAATTTAGCTTCTTGGTTATTACAGCAGCTTTAGTAATTACGTTTGTTTTATTTTTTAAATTGCTTTATCATTAACTGTACCGTTAAGAGCGGCATCTTTTGGTTTAGTACAAATACTATCTCTGAATCACTTTCTTTAGCAGGAACATGATACTAGCAGTAGTTTCATTTTACTTTTACAAGTTTCTTAAAACAATTGTTGAGTTGTCTAAAGTGCTTATTTCTAAATTCAATTTCTTTTTCTAGCTTTCTGTTATGTTTCGTAAAAAAGTAGTCTTGATTATCCCGACCTGTCAATCAGACGTAGAATGGTCGATAGACTGGTTAAGCGAGACTAATTTCAAAACAAGGGCACGTAACCTATCTTTTACTCAAAAGTGTCTGGATTTTATGGACGCAACTTGGAACCAGTTTTCAGTCTATTATTTATAGATGATTAATGGTCATAGCTTATTAAGTACAACATGATCGTTTATTTAGTGACTATAATTGTGTGAAACTGATTTGAGGCTTGGCATATATATAAATATTGTGGCGTAATTGTCGAGATATTTGGAGATATTTATTTATGGTGGGTCACCCTACCATAACTTATGGTATAAAACTCATAATGACACGAGCAGACATGAACTGGAAAGAAACGGTTGGTCTACTTCGCTTTTTAATTTATTGTCTGTCAATAGAATAAATCCTAATTTGCGTATGTTTTGAAAAATTGGAAAGGTCGTTTGAGGACTGTGTTCTAAATTGAAGCGATTGGACGGTTTATTATGAAATACAGGCAGTGACTAGCGTTTCTATCAATAATTTATTTTAAGAGATCAATATTACACAAGGTGTATGTAATAATAAGCTTGGGTAGTCACGTATTGAACGTATTGATAACCTAAATAAAGTGATGGCTTAAATCTATTCTATAAAACTACAAGGAAAATTGTGAATATATCGGAAATTGAATAGTGTGTTGTAGAAAGAGTAAATATATTATGCCCTATGCACATGAAGATAATCTGAGAAAGTTTTTATTTCGGCTACTAACCCATTCTACCCTTTATTTGTAAACTTAATTAACATTTACACCATTATTTATTTTTGTAATCAGTGCTCACCATAGGTTCCATTTTTATTTTCATTTCAGTTTCAATACCATATCTATATTTTCCCCCAAAACAATAAAATATATTCTGTCATTTTTTCTATTACTTTTAATTATTGGATCCTTTGTAGAAGGGGGGCCACGGTGGCTAAGTGAGTAATACGCTTATTATAACATACACCTTGTGTAATATTGATCCCTTAAAATAAGTTATTGGTTGAAACGCTAGTCACTGCTCGTATTTCATAATAAACCACCCAATTGCTTTGATTTAGAACACAGTCCTCAGACGACCTTTCCAATTTTTCCACACATACGCAAATTAGGATTTATTCTATTGACAGACAATAAATTAAAAAGCGAAGTAGACCAACCGTTTCTTTCCAGTTCATGACTACTCGTATCATTATGAGTTTTATGCCCTAAGGACTGAAGTGTGATCCCGGGAGATGTTCCTCGGTTTTGTCAGCATGGCGCATGTCCGTTTTCAATAGCCCATTCGGAGCAGAACAGTAGAACGTTAAGCCCGATTTCATTTCATTTCCTTTGTAAAGGCTAACTTGATCAAATGGCTTTACGTAATTCATTTTCAGATTATTTTCTTTAATGAATAATAAGCTTCCCGGTAAACGTGATTATCGCTTACAGGTTTAAAGGCATGTATATCCAGACACAAATGTAGCCAACCATATATGAAAACTCCCCTGGATATTTCTTCAAGCGAATTATTGAAATAAAATAGAACCATATGACATTTTTGCAAACTTTGTGCAAACAAATAAAAAACAAATATTAAACACACATTATGCAAGAGCTAAATCTGCCAATAACAGGCCTTTCTTTAGGCCTGAAATGTTATCTAAATTATTAATTAGACATTAATTAACTTATCGAGATCTTAATCAACTCTTGGTGTCATCGCTAGCCTGCAATATTTACTGGATTAGAACCCGATCTTCTGCTTCTGATTAAATCAAAAGATGGATAATCGAGACTATGTTTTTTTTATCGTACCGACTTTAGTAATGATGATCGATTCAATCGCTAAACACTCGGTTCAGGGTGGATCAATTTGACAGAAATTTTCAGCAAATTTCCTTTACATTATCTAGTTTGTAACTATTATAATTATAGTGAGAACTACCAGCTATTTATCTAATCTCCCATAATGTATCTTTAAATCAAATTTTTATATTAAAAATAAGCAGTTGTCGTTCAGAATTGTTATATAATGATTATTACATTAAAACAATGAAAACAAAATAAAACAACAGAGTATTTATTTTCCTTATTATTATTTGGGCCAAGTAACTGGTAACAAAAATATTATTTTTTGACCTAACCACCCAGTCTCATTAGCATGGAACCGAACCAAACCTGGTATTGAATCAAACCGCGACACTGTTCCATTTACTCACAACCAGGTCCATGATTTCGATACAAAAAAGGGAGGTTTGGTTTTTGAATCATTTTTAATTTCTATATAGATGTCCTCTATTTACACGAACATTAAGTAAACATTATTATACATTTCTATGTAGCTTAACTAAATAATTTGTGAATGAAGAATTATTTAATTTCTGTACTAAATAAATAAAATTCTATAATACTCATTCGGTCCGCTTTCAACTTCGGTTTTTGTGCCTGCAGCTTTGCTCTACTAAAAAAATACTTGAACACCATTCATTTTTTCTATAGCCTGGTCATTGTGTTTGTTGATAATTCGTTTCGTTTTATATTTTTACTTTGTGTTGATCTTGACAATGAGATTTTATTGTGTCTATTACGTCAAGATATATGTAGATTTCTTCTATTTTTGACAGACCCAACAGACTGTATTGTCTACATTATTAAGAAAGATAAACATCGTATGGATATTACACATGTTTAGTCTAATACATTATGGTGGGATAATTATCAATAGCCAGTCTACGTGTTCATCGTCTACTGTAATACGTGTAGCCTACAGGTGGGTAGTATTTTTAGTTTATTTTCAAATTAAATCATCTCCATCTCAGCTTCGCGCTCTAATTATTAATGCATTGCATCGAATATACACGATCTAATTATTAATAGATTACTTTACATTAACAAATACGAGCGTATTATATTGACTATGAGCCGAGCATAGCATCGAACGTATTTTTTTTTTTCATGTAAACAATATTTTATTTCATTTGAAAATGGATTGAAGACCAGGCTACCCCCCCCCCCCCCAATAATTTGGCCGCAAGTACTCTTTAATCCGGGTTATTGCACGCAAGTAATTATGCTGTTAGATACAGCTTGGTCTGATTTTAACATAGAAGTGAGACTTTTAGAACGTAGGCTTTCAGAAGAAAACACTACTATGCTCTATACTGATCGCGCGCTGTATCATAAAGTCTGTCATTGAGTCGACTGGCGCGGTTTTGAATCCCCGGTTGTACGTGACAAGGAGTAGGGTCGCCTGTCCAACCTCGTGGGTTTTCTCCGGTTTCCTCCCACTGCTAAAGACCCCTATGCGCAAGCTAATTATGTAAAATTAAACCAAATGTTAGTCCCGAAATGACCTAGTTTGTGTCGAGTGGACGTTAAACCCCTTTTCTCTCTCTCTCTCTCTTCTCTATACTGATCCCTGGTTTGAGAGACCGCAGTTGCGAGCAAAGGCGTACGGGCTCGATGAATGTAAGGTAGGGGGCAGAACCTGAATTGCCCCCCCCCCCAAAAAAAAATTAAATAATAATTGCGCGTTGGAAAATTTGACGGTCGCAGGGACATTTTCCTGGCGCGAATCGTGGTAGTGGAAACCTAGCATTAAGACGGTTTTATTAACATCTCCTATTTCTGTGTAACACCTCACTGGTTTGCGCAAATAAAATTAATTGCCAGATCCTAACCGGGACAACAGCTAATAAAGCTGGTCGTCCAAAGCAATCTTCAAAGTCGATGTGTAGAGCAAAAGTGGACTTTATATGATATTTTTCTTTCTTTTACAGATACTTGTGTGGATTTGATGTGAATGACATACAGCGTCATGGAGACATCATTTCCCGCCACTCTGCTTGTATGTGTGGCCATGTTCGAATTGTGGTTGCATCATGTGACATGTGAAAGAAGCAAAGTGTGGCTGACGTCAGAAATCTCCACAGCGGACGGCCATTATCCGGGGAAATTCTGTCGAATTACAAACGTTGTTTTGCGAACACGAGACAGAAAACTTTACTTCAAGAACGATAACTCGGATTTTAAACATAATGTTGAAGTTGCATGCAACTGGAATTATATCATGTGGTCTATAGATAAAACCAGTGATCATACTATCTCTTGTGATAAAGTTTACGATTCTGGGTATCTGTTCCCGATATTTTACCATTACGGAAACAGTAATTATTACCATCTGCACTACGACACATTGATGCCACTCTATCATTATTTATATTATAAAAAGAAAAATAATAAAAATACAGCATTAGTACCGGGTGTAGAAACTAAACGGTTGGAGGTAGGTTATTTTATTTGGAAAATACTTTAATTTCAAGTGAAATTAGAAGATTGTATTGCTGATTCGTTTTCCATAAATGGGGTTTCCATTTATAAGTGCACCATAGCCGATTGGGCCTTCATACAGGTGTGCGCCAACAGCCCGGTTGGTTGGGTGGCCGAATTTTTTAACGCGTGTGCGTAATTCATAAGGTCCGTCATGGAGTCAAGTGGCGTGGTTTCGATTCCCACCTCGTGGGTTTTCTCCGGGTCCTCCGGTTTCCTTTCACTGCTGTATGCGAATTATTGAAATAAAATTGAACCATGTTAGTTCCGAAATAACATAGTATGCGTGGAGTGTACGTTATACCCAATCTCTCCCTCTTCAAATACGAATTAAAAAAAAAGGTTTCTCGATCACTTAGCTGTACGAGGCCTGTAATATACTACAAGATGACAGTATAATACTTGTTCACAGTCATTGTTTTTTAAGGCGAGCGATCGTTCTCGAGCGCCTGCCGCTCACCTGAATGTCGACCGAGGGGAGTCCATCCCCCCCCTCAAAATTGAAAATTGCTCTCCTTTACAAAGTCATTGGGGGTTTATTATCATTTATGAAAGCAGGAATGGCCCCATTACATGCAGTTATTGATCTTCAGAACCATTTCCCATACTATAACTAATCACTCTCCTTAATATCAGATCGCTCTCCTTAATTTCTAAATCACTCTTCTTATCGAAACTGGAAGAGCTTTCTTAGGGGAGCGATTTTGTTAATTTGTTGATTGAGGGGAGTTTTTCGGCTCTCCTCTGAAATACAAAAAACAACGACTGTGTTCAAGTAACACCATATGGTCTCGTACAAATTTTACTACATATTGAATAGAGTATTTTATGATGTCAAATGGTTCTATTAATTTATTTATTTTATTGTGTATTTTTTTTTAAATGACAGGTTATTGATTGGACAACACCTGCATTTGATGATGAAAATAAATTTTGGAATAGAGTTGTGTCGGTAAGATATTTTAAATGAAATGAAATGAAATGGGGTTTAACGTCCTACTGTTTTGCTCCGAACTGGGCTAATGAAGATGGGCATACGCCATATTTTAAAGCCAAGCCTACAAGTGTGCCGCGAGATCTTCTTAAGTGTGCCGCGAAATTTTGAACGGCACACTAAGAAAATGCGAAAAATCATGTGATCCCAATTTAGCATTCACTGGTGTCTACCTGATAAGTTCATAGCTGTGTTTTTCTTTATTTAGTTTGAGTCATTCCATGTGTCTATGATTAGTCTGTGTCTACGGTTGTATGCCATCTATGACTTTATTTTTGCAAAATTCAAATATTTCTCATTTATATTTAGCTAGGTGTACCGCTATTTTTTCATGTGTTCCAAGTTGGCAAAAAAGGTTGAGAACCACTGATCTAGAGTGTCGCGCTTCGATCTCTAGCTGGACTTGTCTGCGATATCACCATCGGTGGATGCGGATGTTAAACACTAATAGAAAAAGAAAACTTAAATGGTGTTTAATCACCCAGCTGACAGCTAACTTGAAGGTGCATGGTCACTTTTAAAGAGACGAAATGAAATGAGATGGGGTTTAACGTCCTACTGTTCTGCTCCTATGCTGGGCTAATGAAGACGGCATACGCCATACAGTGTGCTATGAGGGAAATTTTGACCGGGCAGCGGCACTATCGCCTACTCTTATATCGAATTCCAACTGCCAAGGGATCTTTTACGTGCATTCCAATGTATACACGGGACCTCGGTTTACAGTTTCATCCGAAGGACTAGACAGCTGTCCTTGTCAGGCCCTCCGTTCTGCATCACTGACAAGGGGGAATCACGCCGTAAATTCTGGATGAACTTTCTCGGCCAATGCAGGGATCGAACACCCGACCTCAAGGCTTGCGAGCCAGCGTCTTACCCACTTAGCCACGTGATCCCCCTTTTTAAAGAGACAAACGAGCATTTATTACATTCCAACCCGCCCTTGCCTTACGTTAAAAATCGGCTGATGGTTGAATTTGAAATTAGAGTACGCCATGGCCTAAAATAACGTGCCTTGGAGGAAGAACGTGCTTCGAAATGAAAAATCCGTGCTTCGAAAATAAGAAAACCGTGCTCTGAAAAAACTGGGGTACCCTTGTTACTGATAGAATTTGGGTTTTGATGTGATAATAGAATTTTTTAAGTTCTGAATTTTCAAAATTCTTAGAATCCGTTCTACGAGAATTTAACCGGATTTTAGGCCGTGGAGTAGCCCTATCACGCTACAACACGTCTTCCTTAGCCCGGTTGGTACAGAAAAGTAGGATGTTAAACTGGGTTGAAATGAAGGCAGCCAAAATAGTTAATATATAATAAATCTTAAAACGTCCGTATCTCAGCAACGAACTGACAAATGTGTCTTAAATCCCGCATACAACCACATTTAATCACTCCCGATGAGACTGTTTAGCCAAATCAAATTTTTTTTTTCATTTACAGATATTATCTGATGCTTCGCCGGATATTGATATGTTGCCAGTCAACCTGAACTTGATAACTACATACGACACTATTTGTTTTAAAACAGCATATCTTGGGGTAAGTATTTACAAAGTTTTGTTACAATTTCAAAACATTATATCAAGGTTCGCACACTTCTTGAAAATCCTGGAAAAATGAAAATGTGATTTCCAGTACTGTCAAATCCTGAAAAAACAAGATTACCCCTTAAAACTCTTGGAAAATTAACATTTGTGGTTTCGCTATATATTTTATTATAAAACTGAATGTAGTCATCGAATGTTTCTTCAAAAGTTCACGAGTTCGTCGCCGTAAATGTTCTTCAAGCGTAAAATTCTATACAGGAACTCCTGGAATCTGGTAAATAACTCCTGGAATTTTAAGTGTTCTGAGTTGTGCACACCCTGTATGAAATGAACCGAAATATGATTTAACGTCCCACTTTTCAGCCCCAACCGGGATACCACGACATCCAGTGTGCTATGAGGAAACCATTGCCCGGACAGCGGTGTTTCCGTCTATACACTTAATCGGATTCCAACTGTCGAGGGTTCTTTTCCGTGCACACGGGGTCTCTTTTATTCTTTATGAATAATAATGTGATACTTTGCTGTGCTGAATTCCCGTTAAATATATATCCTTATAAATAAAACAAACGAATGTCAAAGGAGTAGTTAGGATTCCCAGTTCATGTTGTGAAGATAAGCTAAATATTAACCTAGATAATTTTAATTAAATATTAGACTAGATAATTTTAATTAAATATTAATCTAGATAATTTTAATTAAATATTAATCTAGATAATTTTAATAAAATATTAAACTAGAATATTTTAATTAAAAATTAAACTAGATAATGTTAATTAAAAATTAAACTAGATAATTTTAATTAAAAGAAATTAAACTAGATAATTTTAATTAAATATTAAACTACCCGGTAGATAATTTTAATTAAATATTAAACTAGATAATTTTATTTAAATATTAAACTAGATAATTTTAATTAAATATTAAACTAGATAACTTTAATTAAATATTAACCTGGATAACTTTAATTAGATTTACTAGACATGTTGTATTCTGTTTTTTAGACACCAAAAATACAGAGAGCAGATGAAAAATTTATGAAATCCTTCGTAATGTTCGTTAAAAACCACTTCAATATATCACATAATCAATTAGATACAAATCGTGTTGGTTTAATAAAAAGGTAAATTACCTATTAATATTTACTAATGGGGAATGGAAATGAAATTTAACTTCCTACATTTCTGTGTCAATGGGGCTAATGGGGACATCTTTGTCTGGACAGCGGTCTACTTTTTGTCGAAACTGAACTGCCAGGGGTACATTTACATGCGGCTGCCGCTGCGGCTCTGTGAGTAAAACACTGGCTCACTTACCAGGAGGTCTTGGGCTCGTCCCGGTGTTGGCCGAGAAAGTTCCTCGGGATTTCCGGTGCGGTATCCCCTTGCCAGTGGTGTAGGACGAGGGGGGCTGACAAGGAAAGTGTCCAATCGTTCGGATCTTACATAAAAACAAACGAGGTCCCGTATACACATTGGCGTGCACGAAAAAATATCCTTTGACAGAATTCGATATAAGTGTAGGCCGTACCCCCACTGTCCGGGGAAAATGTTACTCAGCACACTGTATGGCGTATGCCCGTCTTCATTAGCCCAGTCGGTGCAGAAAAGCAGTACGTTAAACCCCATTACATTTCACTTTTATATGCTCGCCCATGTGTACAAGGGACCTCGGTTTTTCGTTCCGCCCTAATGACTTAGTTTCCACACTCACGCTCTCTTACTACTTACGTCGTTTTGGAGACTTAATGATTATAATTTAAAATTTCAGAAGTAATAGACGCCGTATTAAAAATGAAGAGGAACTAATTAATAATATCAGAAAATTCACTGATGCTGAGCCGTTAGTGTTCGAAAATATGACATTTCAAGAACAGGTAAGAAACGAGTATTATTAGCTAATAATATTTGGCATAGCAGCGAGTATTATCAACTCGTTCTATGGATAGTGAGTAGGTCCGCATAGCGTGAAAAATGCTTAAAAATTGTTTCCGCCCAACTTCCTCAAATCTTGGATTGCTTTTTCTATACCATGTCAAGACAAACGTTACTAGAAAAAAATATGGTTAAATCAAATTATGGAATTGGTTAACAGGCTTTTCCGTATTCAATAAGATAACCAGGACAAAACAATATTCTTCACAGCTACAAATATACGAACACGCATCGCTATTAAAGTACAAGATAGCGCGTAATCAAACACCGGTGAGTCAGTTATTTCCTTGTTCGGGTACTTGGACAAACGATGGCTTCCTATAGCAGTGTAAAGTATAGATTTATCAAAAAAGACTAATTGTGGAGCACGGTTATCCACCTTTCTAGATACGAACCTATCGTTCTAGCCACATGATAACCATGACAGCTACTACCAAGACAGCTACTATATAATGAATGAATGAAATTGGGTTTACCATCCTACTTCTCTGCTCCAACCGGGTTATTGAAGACCGACATACGAGTGTCCCATGAGGAAAATTTTGCCCGGACAGCAATTACCAATTGCCAAGGGTTCTTTACGTGCACGCCAAATTGTACACGGGGCCTCGGTTTATTCGCAACCATCTGAAATCTACTATATAATACTTTTTTTTACAGGTTCAAGCTGTCCAAAGTTATACAGTATTAATAGGAATGAATGGAGCTGGATTAACTAATGCTATATATTTACCACCAGGAGCGGTAGCAATACAGATGGTTCCTTATAAGGCACAAGTCAATGCTGCTGAGTTCGCAAAACTCCTGAAGGCACGTGGTCCTTATTTGGAATGGCATAATAAGCACGAACACTTGTCGGTCCCGAATTACAAGGGAGATCATTCTCAAGGGGACACGATTGTAAATGTGGAAGAATTTGTGACATTAGTTAAAGAAGGTTTAGAGCTAGTGAACAGTGACAACCATCTTGCGAAATCTGAACTGTGATTATTTTATTTTCTCTTTCTTTGTAAAGGGCATATATGTAATGACAAAATATTTTTTCCCGGATAAAGGAAATAATGAATCTACATATTTTATTATACCTGTAGTCCACTATTTATGCCCAACCCAGTTCCGCATTCAGGAATAACAGCAACTCCCCTGGTTCATACCTGTGCTCCTGAATGAAGTAATATTTAAAAAGCAACAAAAATATAAAAGAGTATTCAGTCTAAAAGCATTTGTGGAGGTAGTTCCTTTAGGAACTGTCTCTGATCGGACGATGTCCACTGACAGTTCATATCCCTTCCTATATAGCTGTAATATGAAAATACCGTTCATCCCCATCTCTGGTCTAATGCTATTTTGGAATCCTTACCGACTATTTCTCACTGTAGAATTTTGCGATTAAAAACATACACAAAATACGTTTGAATTGATCAGCCATTACGAGACTCGATTATGTTTATTTAATCGCTAAATTGTACTTCAAAATAGTGTTGAATTATTATAAATTTGAGTCAGATATGGTGAGGAATAATTCTTTTTGTGAAAAATAGAAGATAAGGGTTCCAAAATAGCCCGAGAACAGAGGTGAGGAAGAGCGGTAGTTTACCATATTTTCATATTGCAGCTACAATGTATATAGGAAGCGATAGTAACTGTCAGCGGACATCCTCCGATCAGAGACAGTTCCTAATGGAACTACTGAGGAACTATTGTGGAGGTCATTGAAATTTATATAGATCTTTGTCTCTGTGTCCTATAAGTGAAAAAAATAAAGTAATTTTTATATATCCTATCACAATAAAAGACTAGGTCAAAATATGAAGTGAATCTGAACGTGATCCATGTGGTGATGGGTTGAGGGTGGTGTGTAATTGTGTGGTTTTGAAATTTGATAAATAGTTTCATCTAATTCCCAAATGAATAATCTCAATTTTTTAAAATTCCATTGAGAATCTATATCACTAAGGTGGTTCATGCCAGTTGAAATACAACCTAAAGATACCTCCCAAAAAGTGACATGCCATCTCCAAACTGACTATCATCTCACCCACTACCACACAAGAATCTATACTTGAATTTATCTTTGAATATATAGACACATTTCAATAGGCTCTTTATGTTACAATGCAATGGCACAAAAATATATAAAAAAATATCATATACTCTTCAAAAAAAAATAGGGGATATTGAAATGCAATTACCTATGCAGGTTGTGATCTGATAAATAGTCATGGACACTTGCTTTGTGAGTATGTTCACAGATAAAGAACTTATCGCCCCAACAGAACTACTGAGCTGCATGTGCGACACACAATAGTGTCATACACGTGGGAGGGGTTCATTGTCAAATTTGACACTTCAAAGGAGGGTTGACGAAAACTGCCGCTTACTGGTTTATCTTATCCATATTTGCTTTCCTATTGGTTCTTGCATAAGATTTACTGTTTAGCCTATCTTTGCTTTAATGTGTTACGTTTAATTTGATCGGGAGATGTGTTCGTCGACGTCAACGGACAACACTGCAAGAATTGACCGTGGCACTTGCAAGAGGAGTGGGTCAGATTGTCCTACATCGTGATTGGACGGTTGATTAGGAGCATGCCATTTTCACTTTTGACAGTGCATCTCTTTGCGAGTGAAATGGGACAGTCAGATAAGCCGCCCATATGAACTGTTTATGTTCATGTGTAGGCAATTGGCATGTTATTAACATACACTGGTTACCTCTAATAAAAACAGCAGTGCGTTTCCACAGTTTTGTATTGTTTCTGAATATCCCCTACTTTTTTTGAAGAGTATTTGTGACACTAAGTGTAAACTATGTAAAATTCAACATTAGAAAACATCCCCTTTAAACGTAACATGAGACAAGGAAGATTAAAGTAAATACTATAAAATTAGTTTTGAAAAAACATTCAAAATTCGAAATAAAAATATCTACCAAAGTATTTCAAACGACATAAGGTTAAGGAATGTCACTTTAAAATGATATTACAATAAATATTATCAAATTAGTTTTGCAAAAAATGTCCATAAAAATATTTCCCAAAAGATATTAGATTTAGGGAATGTCACTTTAAAATGGTATTACAATAAATATATCAAATAAGTTTTGAAATAATTCAAAATCAAAAAATATTATTCCCAAAGAATATCAGATTTAAAGATGCATTATGTAAGATTTAGATAAAGAGCTAACAATTCTCGCAATACAGTTAAAAAAATAGATAATGAAAAGGGAGTATGTTGAAAATTTGAGTCAAATTATTTCATTCTGAGCTGAGTATTCCCTGTTAGAAGACCAGTGTAGTCTTGATTGTCATTTCTACCATTGTTAAGATAATAAAGTCTGGATTATCCATTTTTAAATTAAATCATTAACTATCAATCATATTTAAATTTGTTGAGCCTTGAGTATCCGATGTCATCGAGAATTAATTATGGTCATGTCATGTTAATAAATGTCTAGAGAATAATTTATATAACATTTAAGGCCTAAAGAAATAGGCAGATTTAGCTCTTGCATAATGCATCTATAAAGAATGTCACTTTGAAATGATATGACTATAAAATATTATCAAATTCCAATACGTTTCAAAGTATATTAGGTTTAGAAAATGTCAGTGAACAAATCTTCAATAACAAAATATATTTTCATAACAAATACATGTCAAAGACAATAACACAATCCATTACTGATCGTTTTCTATAAAACAATACCTACCACTTTGTTAAATTGATTATTTAATGGCATTTTCATCCTTTCACTGAGGTGTAATATTAGGTGATAAAAATAATCTCTTACAAGTCTCAGACATTTTTTACTTGATGAACTGGTGTTGATATATTCCATATATAAACAGATCAACTCCGTCTAGAACTATTCCATGGTTTCCAGCGAGCTTTCAACAAGTTGCTGTCATGAATGGCTGGTTGCCATGAATGTCCACAAGAAGAGAAGAGAAAGAAAAGAGAGAAGATTAGCACCACAGGGTAAAAAAACCAAGACTTATATGAGAATCTCCTTTACAAAGGGCAGTTATATAAACTGGTAAAACATAATATAAGAACATACTGCAGATATATATATATAGAGAGAGAAATTGTACAATATAAATTTAACCAGACCTAACATGAATAAACATATTAGATGTATTTTATATGTATGAAAATATATTCTTTCTAAAATAAATGTTGGCAATAGCCTAAAATTTTAAACACTGTCAATAAACTGAAAAGTACATAAAATGATATGTTTACGAAACTCCATTATTTTACATGTATCTATAATAGACAATTAATTAATCAGCACTTTATAAATTACTTATATTCTTCACAAAAACTTATTCACCATTTTTTCAAACATTTACGGTAAACCTTAAATTATGATTTTGATTTGAAATGTAGATTTAGTTAAACAAAAAAAAACAACAGCTAGACCCAATTCAATCACTGGTTCAACAATTGATTTTTCACTCATTAATTCGGTTTTGAACTTTGATTTATATGAATGTTACATCCAGTACTAACTGGAACCAACTGATTGTAGAAGTGGTCACAACAATCTCTCTAATCACTCGATCACCTTTCAAATAAACTAATGACTTGATCACCTTTCAAATAAACTGAGACCCATCTGCTTGTGGAACAGAATTATGACCTTTTCCATTGAACAATATTATCTTTCTATTTCCACTTATTATAACTATTGTCAAATTATTTATTATATTTCGATGCTATTGACATGAGTTTTTGAATTTTCCCTTTTGGAAGGAGAGATTACAGACACACATTTTTCTTTTGAATTGTTTTTAATGTCAACATTAGAGGCACTTGAATTTTCTTCTGATGATTTTGTCTTTTCTTCTTTTTTGTTTCTTTCTTCATGTTCTGCATCAAAATCCTGTCGATTTTTTCTTTGAGAGTCTTTACGACTGATGCTATTCCGTGATCGAATAGATTTATTAAGGCTAGTTCTACTCGTTGACAATTGTTTATCAGCCTTTAAAACAGCCTTTTCTAATAAAATACTAGCCGAAGCTCGCTTCAGATTAGCTATTCGTGCTAAGTTGCGTAACTCTGCTGCCTGCTGAACACCAGTTTGATCTACAAGGTTTGTGAAGTATCCATCCTCCTCTTGAAGTAAATTGTACGGTGTATCAAATTCTTTAACTTCACCATCATGTAAAACCTAGAAATATTATTTATTTATAATTGAATAAACAATAAAATCATGTTTATTAATATGTGTATTAATGCTTGTAATGTGTATGAATCTGTATATTAATGTATGCAATGTGTACTGTTGGTTTGTTAATCTGTGTACCAATGTATGTAATGTGTACTGTCTCATGATTTGTTAATGTGTACTGATGATTTGTTAATCTGTGTATTAAGGTGTGTTATAATTTTAGTAATGTGTTCTGTTGTTTTGTTAATGTGTGTATTAATGTTTGTAATATGTACTATTGGTTTGTTAATATGTTTATTAATGTATGTAATGTGTACTGTTGGTTTGTTAATGAATGCAATATATGTACTGCTGGTTTGTTATTATAAGTATTAATGTATGTATTGTGTACTGTTAGTTTGTTAAAGATGTCTGTAATGTGTACTATTGGTTTGTTAATATATGTATTAATGTATGTAATAATGTATGTAATGTGTCCTGTTAGTTTGTTAATGTATGTAATGTGACCTTTTGGTTTGTTAATGTATGTAATTTGTACTGTTGGTTTGTTAATGTATTTAATGTGTCCTGTTGGTTTGTTAATGTATGTAATGGGTCATGTTGGTTTGTTAATGTATGTAATGGGTCATGTTTGTTTGTTAATATGTGAACGTACCAAATGTGTGCTGTTGATTTGTCAATGCATGTACTATTAACATTATTACACACTTCCATAGCATAAAACTACCACATAAATGTGCTAATGTGTGCTTTACAAAGACATGTCACAAGGACAAACACTTTTATATAATGTCTGTGTGTGGGTGGTATTTGTTAATATAGATAATGTCTGTTGTTGTTTGAAACATGTGCTATGGGTTTGCTAATATTTAGATTTATATACTACAGATCAAAAAAGGTGACAATGTCTAATGCTTATGTTTTGTGGGTCTCATAATCATTCTAAGGGTTGCCATTTCAAAACCAACTTACGAGAATTCTATCACAATCCATTACTGTATGAAGTCTATGGGCTATAGTTAATACTGTACTACCAATAAATTTAGCTCGAATTGTTCCTTGAATCAGTTCATCTGTCCTACATGGTCATACAAATAACAAAACAAAACATATGTAAAAAAAAATTAAAATAAGATTACCTAAATCATTACACAAGAATATTCATTGTTAAGACATTTTAATAATTATTCCATACAATACAACCCATCAAATAATGATGCCTAAAAACATTCACATCATCATGAGGTCATAAACTTCATGTAATAGAAAAACAAATCTGACTGAAATATATAAACTCTTTTTGTCTATTTGACAGATGGGCTAAAATGATATTGTTGTTGACTGGGACTAAATTTCCTGCCATTAAATTTTGCTCTTAAAACAGAAATGAAATGGAAATGTTTTTAACAACTGGGCAATGTGCAATAAAAGAAATTTTGCTTGTACACAATTAATTACTATTCCTTGTCAGACCCTCCATCTTGCATGATTGTCAAGTTGTAACCACAAAGGAAAATTCCATATATTTACTCGCCAACACTGGGAGCGACCTCGGGACCGCCTAGTTAATGAGCTTGAGTCTTACTCACTGATCCACTATGGTTTCTCTTGAAAAGGAGAACTGTAAATATTAATTTAAGACTTACGTATGATCAACATGTGCTGTGGCTTCATCTAATATAAGTATAGCGTTATAGCGTAAAATAGCACGAGCCAAACAAACCAACTGCCTCTGTCCAACACTAAAGTTATTTCCAGATTCAGACATTTCCATGTATAAATGTTCTGGTGTAGAAACCACCTTTTCTCTTAGCTGAACCTATAACAGAGCGAGAGAGAGAGAAATGGGGTTTAACGTCCAATCGACACAAATTAGGTCATTTCGAGACTAACATATGGTTCAATTTTATTTCAGTAATTTGCTTGCACATAGGGGTCTTTAGCATTGGGAGGAAACCAGAAGACCTGGAGAAAACCCATGAGGTTGGACAGGCGACCCTACTGCTTGTCACGTACAACCAGGGAATTGAAACCAGGCCAGTTGACTTAATGACAGACCTTATGATACAACGCATGTGTGCTAACCATTCGGTCATCCACCCTGCCCCCCCCCTTCCTAAAACTATAACAGTCAAATTAATACAACATGAAATGGAGTTTATCATCCTGCTTTTCTGCATGAACCAAACTAATGAAGATAAGTACAAGACATGCATTATGCTGAGATGGAAATTTTCCCCCGAAATCAGCGTTTCTGCTTACTCCAACCTTTTTGCCCCCCAAATATAGTGCACCATTATATGTTTCACAAATAACATGCATCATATTTAGATTTTGAATATAATAATAAAACAGAAGTTAATTGGATGGGTAATCATCCTTGGGAGGAGTCCAGGGGGCAATTCTCATAGCACCCCCCGCCCAATGGTATCAACATATTATTAAATTAAATGTCCTTTACCTGTTCTAATGCATTCCACAATCTTTCATCACTGTATTCATCAAATGGATCTAGATTATATCTTAATGTACCACTAAATAAAACCGGATCCTGTCAAAACAAATGTAAATATCATTAAAAATATTAAAGTCATGTATCCTGATCGTGCATTTTACCTGGATTATAATTGATATTTATTTAGCATTAACAGATACTTTACCTGGTATATAACATTTTTTACCTGGCATATAACTGATATTTTACCAATATATAACTGATATATTTTACCTGGTATATAACTGATATATTTTACCTGGTATATAACTGATATATTTTACCTGATATATAAGATATTTTACCTGGCATATAACTGATATTTTACCTGGCATATAACTGATATTTTACCTGGCATATAACTGATATATTACCTGAGGTATAACAGATATTTTACTACGTAATTCATCTAGACCAATCTGCAACACATCCCAGCCATCAATCCAAATTCTACCTTCTGGCTCAGCCAATCGAAATAAAGCTGACAAAAGAGAAGTTTTACCAGCACCAGATCTCCCTACTATACCAATCTGTAAAAAGACAAATAAATTTTAAAGCTACAATTTCATATTTTTAAGTTATATTTTTAAAATGTATTAAAATAAAGCCTTAAAATAGATGGTATCTATAAACAGTCCTACCTTGTTAAAGAATAATCCTATTAATCCTATAATTCACTATTGCCAGCTGAGAAATTGGCAAAATATTATTTTCAACTTCAAATTCAAACGTTTGAACATAGCTATTCCATAGAGGTAATAGGAAAACAAGGGAGGTAATTGTGTTATTATTTCCTGTGTCAATGCCCATGATCGTATAATAGTGAGTTGATAACCTATTGAGCAAAAGACATAGAAATAATTATGTTTTGACTTTCTTAGAAAATATGAAATTCTCGCTTTAATATATGTACATAATTTCATGTACATTTGTCTGTTATAGTAGAATTATCATGACCTATTATTAATACAGAAAAAAGGAAGAAATAGGGTTTACTAGACAGAACTTAGTCAATTCAGGATTGACAATTGGCTATTTGGCAGATTGAAAAACTTCAAAAAGAAAATATTTTACCACTGTCACATACTATTGAATTTATTCATGAATTATTCCTATACAATTTTTATTTTTTTGCTTTTACACAAGTACGATAATATTAGGAATTGTGACGTCATATCAAAAATCAAAGTGTTAATTGATGCACAATTGGTCGAAGAACAAGCACCATCGTACTTGAATTGACAGAGAGTGTAACCTCCTAGAAGAACCATAAGAACAAAAAGATGAGAAACATTTTTGCCCTGGTTCCTGGTCCAAAAATGTTATATTCTGCAATATTATTTAACAATTTTAATATATTCATTGTTGTGCACGTAAAAGAACCCTAATTGCGATTGAATTCGATGAAAAGTCTGTCTTTTTTAGTCCTGTTGGTGTAGAAAATCAGGAATTGAACCCCATTTCGTTTATTCATCCGATGATGAGTAGGCGGAATTGCTTTTGTCCGGTCATAATTTCCTCTACTGTACATTGCCTTGTGCATACCCAGTCTTCATTACTGTAGCTCGAATAGGGCAAAAACGTAGGACGTTATACTACATCTTGCATGTACATTCTACCTCATTTAGAAACAATGTTATTATGTGTCCCAAAAAGTGTTACAGACAGACAGACGGAAGAACCCATTTTAAGTCCCCTAGTTTCTTCGATTAGCAGGGACAATAAACCTACCTTTTCTTTGCTACGGATATGAATATCAATTTTTCTAAGAATAAGAGGACTATCAGGTGTGTATCTGAGACTAACATCACTAAAAGTTATGGAACCTTGACTAGGCCAATCTTTCGGAGGAGGACGATCAGATATTCTTTCAGCCTCCTGTTTTACATGTGTATAGGACAGAACTCTTTCTACTGAAGTCATCTAAAATAAATACAATCGTTCATTTAAATGGGACATTTCACATGACAGGAAATTTTCATTCCATGGCCCACATAATAAAATGATATAATTTTACGTAAAAATAGTCAGTCAGTTTACCATCATTTTGCTCATCTTTCTAACGATAATTTTACGTCAGGAAATGACGTTAATCTAATGTAAACTTTACATCATTTTTACATTATATTTACGTCATTTGATGACGTGAATCTAAAATTTACGTCACTTAAAAATACAACTAATTCTAATTTATCTAATATGACTTTGAAGAATTTTTCAATTTTGTCTTTTTTTTACGACTACTTTAAACAAAATAAATTCAATATAACAAATATCAGTTATCAGTTCATAGGAAAAAAAAAAGTTAATTTACAAAAAGTTATAAAATAAAACAGGATTCGAGAAAGATAATTACAGCGTTTTCCAGCTCTGCTGTTATTCTGATGAAAAATTCAAACGGCATTCCAAAGGAAAGAAGATATGTCAGGGCTAGAGCAAGTAAACCTGGAGAGACACCTGCAACAAAAAGATAAGCAATAATAACCCTGCTTTTTAACAAACTGAGATAAAATGATATACCCAGTATGATTTCACTTCAAATCTAACGGTTGGGGCCATAGACAACATCACAGCAAGGGCTTTAATTACATAACAAATCTTGGGGGTATATTTAATACTACACAAACATCATAATCACCATTTTCTACAGTCCTAAACATTTTAATAAAACACGGTTTTTATGGGGTACAACCACTAGTTTTATTCTAAAAGCATGACACCCCATAAAAACTGTGTTCTATTATGTGTTTCCCAACGGTAAATGGCACTTAAAGATTATGCTAAACATAATCCTTGTAGTGATTGTTTTATCTGCTTCTTTGCAGTGATTTTTTTATCTGATAAATGGTTTCCAATTGTTATCTACATATTACACCACATTTTTGTTAACAAATCATTATTTGCTTGATAACGATACCTGTATGGGTATTGAATTGTAGCATGTTATTCAAGTTTGGAAATAGTATATCCATACAAGTGGTTTATTTTTTTAACATGATTGTAAAACATACAAAAACTTATATCACATGCAAAGATTACATGAATTCAATACTTATAACCCTTATCATATACAAGAGCTTAATTACAATTAATAACACTGAAACTTGTCTGATATTATACAGGGTTATGCTGGATTGGGAGGGATGGGTCTTGGGCTTAACTTACAGATGCATTATGTAAGATATGTGTTGAAAATCAAAACCATCTGATACTTTAGAGAGTTGATTATGGGCTTGTCGTGTGTATAAATTTCTAATCAATGATTATCATAACATTTGAAGCCAAACAAAAGATCTGCATTAGGCAGATTTAGCTGTTATATAATACATCTTTACGATGCCACATTCTGAATTCTGAATTCTTGTAAAATTTTACTTACTATCACGCATGAGTAAACAGACATGTATAACCAGGTTCAAAAATATCATTAACCCTATTAATGATCGTACACTAAACCATCTATAGGTAGATAAATACATAAACCATGCTCCACTAGCCTGATTCTGAAACTCGTCAAATTCTTGTGTAAACTGTTTTTGTTTATCACTGATTCGTATTGTCTGTAATCCTATTATGGTATCAGATATGTGACAATATACTGGTGATTTAGCTGTAAATATAATAATAATACATTGTACATACAATTATATTAAATTAAATCATTTTCCTGTATACACATCATCAGTTTTTACATGTTAGCAAGATATTTTTCCCCAAGTACGACAATATTTAGCATCATCTCATTAACATTATATTTTTAGGTGTTTTTAAACAACAAATTAACAGTATCATGGAAAGAGAGAGATGGGGTTTAACGTCCGCTCACACAAACTAGGACATTTCGGACTAACATATGGTTCAATTTTATTGCAATAATTCGCTTGCGCGTAGGGGTCTCTAGCAGTGGGAGGAAACCGGAGGACCCAAAGAAAACCCACGAGATTGGACAGGTGACCCTACTCCTTGTCACATACAACAGGAGAATTGAAACCATGCCAGTTGACTCAATGACAGACCTTGTGATACCATTCGACGGCCATCCAACCCCCGCAGTATCATTGTATTATAAGGTGCATGACATTATCTATTGTGTTTATGGTTAAATTTTTTGAAATTATAATTTCACTGTATTTAAATTCGTCAATAGGCAGACGAAGTGACTTATCTTCCTACCGTAACCTATTGACGATAAGTCACTTCGTCTGCCTATTGACGAATTGATCAACAGGTAAGTTTTGTGGTAGTATAGGTACCAGCCAGTGAAGGCTACCAAATAAGACTGAAATGAGAACCCTGGTATGAAATACCATTGTTTTTGCTTATATAGATATCTGGTTTTATTCAAAACAAAATATTATTAACAGTTATATTAAATTTTAATATCCCATTAAAGATTAAACAAAGAGCTGACTGTTCTCGTTATAAAATAGTTAAAAAATAGATAATGGAAACAGAATATGCTGAAAATTCAGTCAAATTGCTTCACTTTAAACCGAGATATTAGCGATTTAATTTTAGGCTAGCCTCGAACATCACTATTAAGTTTGGTGCGATAATAAACCAAGTCTTGATCCATTTTTATGTTAAATTATCCATCACAAAATGTATTCAAATCCACTAAATATCGCAGGCTAACGATGGCATTGAGAGTTGATTATGGTCTGGATTAATTAATGTCTAATTAATAATTTAAATAACATTTCAGGCCTAAAGAAAGAAATACAATACGTAGAGTTAAAGTTTTCAATTTGTGTACTCAACTGGTAAAACAATGGATTTCAGCTAATTAGGCCATGCACACTTATTCATACTTACCTAAAGCTTCTAGCCTGCGGACATCTCTGGTAGTATGAACAGCATAATATCTAATAGCAACAACAACAATAGCTAATGGCACCAGTGCTATAAATAACCATGGTGCTATGATACAAATGTTAATAGCTATACCCAACAGAGTTAAAAGTAACTGAAACAACACAAAAAGTCATGTAATAATACAAAGGCTGACTGAATAAAACAAACTTTGAATACATCATAGACATAAGAACTGCAACTGTACTGTTATTATTGTCTTCGTATCAGCCCATCTTGAGAACCTACCCTTGAAATCACCAGAAATGGACAAAACTGGCTATAGGGCAGTCATCAAGTTCCTGCAACTGAAATGACTAAACCCAATGCAGATGGGAGCCAAAGCTCTTGACTGCGGATCAGAAACGTGTCAGATCCTGACGTCTAGTAACAATCTGTATCGTTTTGAAGCAGATCCTTATAATCTTTTGGCCAGATTTGTAACAATTGATGAGACCTCTTTCCAAAAATGAAAAAGGAACTAGCCGGTCATCATTGTCCGAGTAAAGATGATGTCATTTCAGCTGTGATTGACATTTTTTTTAGGGTGGCTGCAGAAAATTTCTTCCTGACCGGCATCGCAACATCGTTGGCAAAAAGTGTGTACGCCTTGTAGGGGACTATGTAGAAAAAAAAGATAGGTTGCCAGGCAACAAAACATACACCCACAGCAGCTAAATCGTCCGAGCGGTCGACAAGGGTTGTCGCATTTTTATTCCTTTGTAGGTAATTGGGGGCCTTTACAAGACAGTTCCATACAGAAAAGATTATAAATTTTGTCGTTTGAGGGTTTACAAGGTTCTAAAAACTGAAACAAGGGTTTCAATTCTGGAAGTAATCTACAGAAATTGTTGAAATTTGACAGGCTTTTTCGTTTTACTAATTTAAATAATGCATATAAATTTCATACATATCGGATGATAACTTTCATCAATCGAGCATTAACAAGGTTTAACAAAATGAAACAAGGGCAATAACTCTAGAAGTAATTATTGTAAATTGCTGAAATTCAATAGGTTTTTTCATTTCACTAATTTAAATCATGCATATAAATTTCACAAAGATCGGGTGATAACTTTTGGCGTTAGAGCGTTCACAAGGATCAATAAAGTGAAACAAGGGACATAACTCTAGACGTAATAAACGGAAATTGCTGAAATTCAATAGGGTTCTTCGTTTCACTAATCTAAATAATGCATATACATTTCACAAAGATTGGGTGATAACTTTTGGCGTTGGAGCGTTCACAAGGTTCAATAAAGTGAAACAAGGGCCATAACTCTAGTCGTAATACACAGAAATTGCTGAAATTCAATAGGCTTTTTTGTCTCACTAATCTAAATAATGCATATAATTTTCAGAAAGATCGAATGATAACTTTTGACGTTAGAGCATTCACAAGGATCAATAAAGTGAAACAAGGGCCATAACTCTAGACGTAATAAACGGAAATTGCTGAAATTCAATAGGCTTCTTCGTTTCACTAATCTAAATAATGCATATACATTTCACAAAAATTGGGTGATAACTTTTGGTGTTGGAGCGTTCACAAGGTTCAATAAAGTGAAACAAGGGCCATAACTCTAGACGTAATTAACGGAAATTGCTGAAATTCAATAGGCTTTTTCGTCTCACTAATTTAAATAATGCATATAATTTTCAGAAAGATCGAATGATAACTTTTGACGTTAGAGCGTTCACAAGGATCAATAAAGTGAAACAAGGGTCATAACTCTAGACGTAATACACAGAAATTGCTGAAATTCAAAAGGCTTCTTCGTTTCAGTAATCTAAATAATGCAAATAATTTTCAGAAAGATCAGATGATAACTTTTACCGTTAGAGTGTTCACAAGGATCAATAAAGTGAAACAAGGGCCATAACTCTAAACGTAATAAAAAGAAATTGCTGAAATTCAATAGGCTTCTTCATTTCAGTAATCTAAAAAATGCATATAAATTTCAGAAAGATCGGATGATAACTTTTGGCGTTAGAGCGTTCACAAGGTTCAATAAAGTGAAACAAGGGCCATAACTCTAGACATAATAAACAGAAATTATTGAAATTAAATAGGCTTCTTCATCTCACTAATGTAAACAACATATATCAATTTTAAAACAATTGGATGTTAACTTTTGGCTTTAGAGCGTTCACAAGAAATTGTGGACGACGGACGGACGGGGGCGACAGCAATATACGTAAACATTTCAATGTGGGGGTATAAAAATGGAAACCATCGACTCACGAAGACAACAAGTATTTAATTAGTAAATCTAAAATACTTACATCAACGTTAATAAAAACAAGTCTGACCAAAAAATCATCCATTAGCCCAATATCTCGAGAAAAACGGTTTAATATTCTTCCTGTAACATATCAATAAATTCATACATGTATGCCAACTCTATTGTGTCCATCTCATGAATTACAAACTAAAAACCGATCTTAATTGCGTCTGTTTTAAAACTGCACCATGCAACTTTCATATTATACTCTTCAAAAAAAGTAGGGGATATTCAGAAACAATACAAAACTACGGAAATACACTGCTGTTTCTATTAGAGGTAACCAGTGTATGTTCATATGGGTGGCTTATCTGACGGACCCATTTCACTCGCAAAGAGATACACTGTCAAAAGTGACCAGCGGCTGCCAGGCAGTATACGCCCACATTTTCGAGAGATGGATAGAAAACAAGCTAAACGAAAGTGATTTTTCCTACAATTAAGGGCCATAATTCAGGAAATTACAATTCGATATGCGCAAATATCGAAAGGAACCAAGATCTTTGAGTTATAAACTTACATTTCAAGTTTCAACAAAATCGGATAAAAATTGTGACCTCTATAGGGTCCACAACCTTGATATACCATATTTTTTACGCTATTTGAGAACGAGGGGCGGCCATTTTGTCTGTCAGTTTTGGGCCAATTTTCACGAAATTTGAACTCAGTCATCCTTAGGGTGTAACGGTGATATAATAATACGTTTTTTTAAATCGGATAAAAATTATGACCTCTATAGGGTCCACAAGCTAAAAACGTGATTTTTCGTACAATCAGAGGCTATAAATCAGGAAGTTACGGTCCGATATGCGCGAATATCGAAAGGAACCGAGATGTTTGGGTTATAAACTTATATTTCAAGTTTCAACAAAATCGGATAAAAATTGTGACCTCTATAGGGTCCATAACCTTGATATACCATATTTTTACGCTATTTGAGAACGAACGGCGGCCATTTTGTCTGTCAGTTTTGGGCCGATTTTCACGAAATTCGAACTCAACCGTCCTTAGGGTTTAATGGTGATATAAGAAAACGTTTTTTTAAATCGGATAAAAATTATGACCTCTATATGGTCCACAAGCTAAAAACGTGATTTGTCATACAATAAGGGGCCATAATTCATGAAGTTACGGTCCGATGTGGGCGAATATCGAAAGGAACCAAGATCTTTGTGTTATAAACTAACATTTCAAGTTTCAACAAAATCGGATAAAAATTGCGACCCCTATAGGGTCCACAACCTTGATATACCATATTTTTACGCTATTTGAGAACGAAGGGCGGCCATTTTGTCTGTCAGTTTTGGGCCGATTTTCACGAAATTCGAACTCAGCCGTCCTTAGGGTGTAACGGTGATATACACGTTTTTTTAAATCGGATAAAAATTATGACCTCTATAAGGTCCACAAGCCAAAAAACAAGTTTTTGCGTACAATCAGGGGCCATAATTCATGAAGTTACGGTCCGATATGCGCGAATATCGAAAGGAACCGAGATCTTTTTTATAAACTTACATTTCAAGTTTCAACAAAATCGGATAAAAATTGTGACCTCTATAGGGTCCACAACCTTGATATACCATATTTTTACGCTATTTGAGAACGAACGGCGGCCATTTTGTCTGTCAGTTTTGGGTCGATTTTCACGAAATTCGAACTCGACCGTCCTTAGGGTTTAACGGTGATATAATAATATGGTTTTTCAAATCGGATAAAAATTATGACCTCTATAGGGTCCACAAGCCAAAAAACGCGTTTTTACGTACAATCAGGGGCCATAATTCAGGAAGTTAAGGTCCGATATGCGCGAATATCAACAGGAACCGAGATCTTTGGGTTTTAAATTTCCATTTCAAGTTTTAACAAAATCGGATAAAAATTGTGACCTCTACAGTGTTCAAAAGCCAAAAACGTGATTTTTCGTACAATCAGGGGCCATAATTTATGAAGTTACGGTCCGATAGATGCCAATATTGAAAGGAACCGAGATCTTAGGGTGATAAACCTTTATTTCAAGTTTCATTGAAATCGGATAAAAATTGTGACCTGTAGACTGTTCAGACATTCAGCAATTCGTCGTGGCATGCTCCTAATCAACCGTCCAATCACGATTTGGGGCAATCTGACCCACTCCTCTTGCAGTGCCAAGGCCAATTCTTGCAGTGTTGTCGGTTGACGTCGACGAACACATCTCCCGATCAAATTAAACGTAACACACTAAAGCAAAGATACGCTAAACAGTAAATCTTATGCAAGAACCAATAGGAAAGCAAACATGGATAGGTTAAACCAGCAAGCAGCAGTTTTCATCAACCCTTCCTTGAAGTGTCAAATTTGACAATGAACCCCTCCCATGTGTATGGCAGCTATTGCGTGTCGCATGTGCAGCTCAGTGGTTCTGTTGGGGCGATAAGTTCTGCATCTGTGAACATACTCTCAAAGCATGTTAAGTGTCCATGACTATTTATCATATGACAACCTGAATAGGTATTTGCATTTCAATATCCCCTACTTTTTTGAAGAGTATATAATGGGAAGAGCAAATATGGCTACCAGTAAATACACTATACATACCCAAAGGTTGTGAATCAAACAGTCTGGTTGTTGCACCTAAAACCTTTCTAAACATCTTATTATGTAAATTCTGGCTAGCAAAAACACACATTTGCAAATTCAGTAGGATGGAAATAAAACCAAACACAACAAATACACCAAAGTACATGAGATATCGTCTCATATCTTTTGTGAAGATGGGAATTGAGGCAGGTATTCCTACATCAGGTATCATCGTTGTTGTGTAATTATTACTGATATTATAAGTCACGAGTGGTGATGTCATATTGATCTGTAACCAATCAGCTGTGCTTGTATTTTGATTGACAGGTAAATCATATGATACAGCCCTGAAAAATTTAAAATTGTATATAAATCAGATAACAGCTTATCTTGAAATCCAAATTAGTGACGGCATTCAAATTAACCAACCTCTCGTCAAAAATTACAAGACCTATCCAAGACTGTATTATCAACTACATGTTCATTCTTAACTTTGATTGTACATGTCCATACCTACATCCAAAATATTTTGAAAATGGGTTCATTGATATGAAATATTGCATGTGTCACTTTATGCAATGAAATGGGATTTAAAGTCCTACTTTTCTGCTCCATCCGGGCGAATGAAGACGGTCATATGCCTATAATTTGTGCTATGATGGAAATTTCGACGGTACAGTGGCATTACAGTCTAACCTTCTTTCTAATTCCAACCATCAAGGGTTCTTTTACCTGCACGCCAACATGCACATAGGACCTTTTTTCTTGTCCCATCCAAACAACTAGACACTGTTCCTTGCCAGGCCCTCAAGTCAGAGGAACTTTCTTGACCAGGACCACCAGGTTAGTGAGCTAGAGTCTACCCACTGAGCCACCACAGCTCCCAGACCCATTTTTAAAGACTTCATATTTAATAGCTTTATAAAATCATTAATTATTATCGAAAATTTGTGTAATACATTCTGAAATTTAACAACCAGGCACACGGTCTGTGAGAGCAACCAGTAGGCATTACCCCTAACAAGCGATAACCAGACTTAAAACCCTAACCAAGAGGCCACTGTCAGACCATTTGGAATAGGAAGTGATGTGTAATTTATAAAAGTCAACACTGTAAACCATCATTGCTGTGTCACAAGTTAGGTCAAGTATTACTTAAATCTATAAAATTAGATCTTACCATTTTGCTAGATTCCAATCAGATAAAAAGAAAGATGGCTGCAAAAAAAGATAACAATATAGGTAATCTGTTTTAACTAAATTCCATTCAACATTTTCCTTTATACATTCTTTATCAATTTACACAAAACCCAGAAAATCAACAAGATATCGGTTGTGTTGAAGCATGCCACAGTTATCAACAATCTTAACATTATATGCCCTTAATAACAATCTTGAGCAATCAATCAAAATGAACCCAAGCAAAGGGAGCTTATATATGTTATGAACCGTTATGATCCATGTCCACTTTTTGAACTAGTTACCTTACATCATGTCGAATACAATGGAAGCCAGTTCCACTGCTAGTAGTAAGATTTATAGATTATTCTGTTGTAATATTTTAATGTCATATGTATCTAAGTTAATTATTTTTCCATTTCATAATTATTATCTAATATGTACTATTTATTTGACTTGTCATTTATAACATGCTTTGGAAATCATAACAGACAAGGCACCGCTGACCGCGTGCATATGACTGACAGGTAGTAGGCGTGGTTAAGCTGTCACGTGACTCACTAGCATATAAGTAGACAGACTCGTGGGATCGGCGCGGCAGCTCGAGAGAGAGTTAGGGCTCAAGAGAGAGCCGAGCACTGTAAAGAGAGGATTTATAATAAAGAAAAGAAAAAGTACAAGTCATTGTTCTTCGCCACATTTTGGCTGGCTACCTGACCCTCCGCTGAAAAGCGAGCTACTCTACCATTTAGGGGCTATAGCTGGGCCCATGTAAGTCTGTTTACTACATATAGATAGATGTCCTTTATTTTAGGACTTGGTATACAATAATAACATTATAAAGTCGTGTCTGAAATACAAAGCGGGTAAACTTGTTATGAGAGTGCTGTTTCCACCTACTAGTTTCTTCACATGCATGCTAACATAAATCAGAGATATACCATTTTTGTTCTATCTGAATGAATAGACAGACTTAATCCTGACAAATTAGGACTAGGCATGAAAATTGATGAATGTTCTGCTCAGCAATGAAATGAAATGAAATGAAATGGGGTTTAACGTCCTACTGTTCTGCTCCTATGCTGGGCTAATGAAGACGGGCATACGCCATACAGTGTGCTATGAGGGAAATTTTGCCCGGGCAGCGGCACTATCGCCTACTCTTATATCGAATTCCAACTGCCAAGGGATCTTTTACGTGCATTCCAATGTATACACGGGACCTCGGTTTTTCGTCTCATCCGAAGGACTAGACAGCTTTCCTTGTCAGGCCCTCCGTCCTGCATCACTGACAAGGGGAAACCATCTTCTCAGCAAATACTAGGATTGAACCCACAGACATTTAACATCCTATTCTTTTGCATCGACTGGAGAGAGAGAGAAATGGGGTTTAACGTCCACTCGACACAAACTAGGTCATTTCAGGAATAACACGTGGTTCAATTTTATTTCCATAATTCGCTTGCGCGTAGGAGTCTTTACCAATTGGAGGAAACCGGAAGACCCGGAGAAAACCCACGAGGTTGGACAGACGACCCCACTCCTTGTCACATACAACTGGGGAATCGAAACCACGCCAGTTGACTTTATGATGCTAACCATTCAGCCATCCAACCCCGCTACATCGACTGGTCTAATGAAAACAGGCTTATGACATACAGTGTACTATGAGGGAAATTTTGCCCGTACAGGAGCACTACTCTTATTCCGAATTCTAACTGTCAAAGGTTCTTTTACGTGCATGCCAATGTGAACACAGAACATGGATTTTTCATGCAATCCGACCGACTTGACATAGCCCTGGACAGGACCTCCATCCTGCACCAATGACCAGAGGAACTTTCTTGGGCAACAACAGAAGCGAACCAAAGACCTTCTGGTTAGCGATCCAGTATCTGAATCACTGAGCCACTGTGGCTCCCTCTCCATAGCAACCCAAGCAATTATTAGGTCCCTGTGTTCTGAGTTTCACTGTACATCTTACCTTATTTAAAGCTAATGTTATGAGCAAGATAGGACCGAGTATATAACCATAGCCAGCCTTAATGTAGTCTCTATATACCCAGAACTTTATCACACCAGTATTAGCATGCTCTTCATTTAAATCTATTGTATCTTCCTTCCACTACAAATAACAACAATACCCATTGGTTTACACCTAATTACTACATCATTACAATCCAATCACAATTAAGATTACAATTTCAGTTTTTTTCTCTGACACTACAATCTAATCTAACAAATTTTCTGTGTGTAAAATAAATAATGTGCATGAAATACGTCAAATCTTCTTTTTCATGCATGCCAACGTGTACACAGGACCTATTTTTCATCTCATCCAAATGACCAGACACAATTTCTCGTCAGGCCTTCCGTTTCTGATCACTGACCAGGCGAAACCACACTGGAAAATTGTGTTTAGATTTGTAAAATAATTTAATGCCTACTTTCAATTTCTTTTGCTCTAAGTTTAAAGTACATTTCATTAAAAGTCTGTAGTAGATAAATAACAGATTATTAAATCTGTAAGTCTGATAAAAATTTCTTATATCTAACCTGTAATGTTTCAATTGTTTCTAATTCTTTAATCTGTGGTTTATCTGCATTTTCTTCAAAACCAGTGAAATCTACACCTTGTTGTAATAATTCATTATATGTACCAATATTACTTACTTTTCCCTAATAAATAACAATAAAACATATAATTATAATAAATAAATAACAATAAAACATCTAATAATAATATCCAATTACCACAAATTAAGTAGGAAAGAATGAGATTAGACCATTTTGGGACTAACATACAGTAATATGTTACTTTAATAATAGGCCTGGGTAAATACCTCTTTAGCGGTGGGAGGAAATATTTGAAAAGAAAATGAGTTTAATTTTCTATACCGACTGGGCTAATTTGACAGGCATACGCCATATTGTACGCTATGAGGGAAATATTGCCTGGACAGTGGCACTGCGGCTACCTCATTTTTTGCCAGATCTGATCGATTAAGACACTGTTCCTTGTAAGGTTATCAGAGTGATGGGAGGAAAATGTTTGCTATGGCCGTGGATTTTTTTAGTCATTTTTCTTCAACCTCTGACAATCAAGCTATTATAATTTAATATGCTTACCTCTTTTAAGATTAAAACTCTATCAGCTGATTGTAAATATTGTAATTGATGTGTGACTAAAATTCTTGTTTTATTTCCTAAAAGACCAGTTACACATCTGTAAAAAAATTTAGTAAAATAAAACCTGCACAACATCGTTATTCTGATATATTTCAACTTGCTAAACCAATACAGCCCCACACGTGTAGGAAGTCAGCAAAAACGTCAATTATTCTAAACACATGCATGCCGTATCTGCTATAAAAATGGTATTATTTAAAACTTACTGTTGAAAGATCTGTTGGCCAACTTCAGAATCAACAGAGCTAAGTGGATCATCTAATAGATAAATATCACAGTCACGATAAACACATCTACAAAATACAATAACTTTATAATATATGTTCTTATAATACCATTTTACAATAGTAGGTACATGTTCATATAAAACCATTATATGAAATTTTCATGACATATAACCTTTCACAATCTTCTTGATTTAGGAAGAGATTCAACAAACATCCCATCTTTAAAGGTGGTGCATGATTTTCACAAATATATTGATGAAAATTGTCAATTAAAGTTAAACTTTTAACAAATGTTAGTTATCTTATTATTGAGAGCTCTCAATGTCGTTATTTTACCTGGCCAGTGTTAGTCTTGCTTTCTGACCTCCACTTAAAAACAGACCTCTCTCTCCCACTAGAGTTGCATCCCCTTGAGACAATCGTCCTATATCCTAGAAAAATAAATAAGTAGACTGATATGTTTTAATTAAATATATAGTGTAGGCAGGCCTGGAGAAATATCTGGCACTATTGAACTAGTATCAGACATTTTAAAATTTGTGCTGGACAAATACTGATAAAAACAAATAAAAAGACAAATCGAAACTGAGCATGACAGTTATCAGAGGATATGTGACGTGCCTCACATTGTCTGCGACCAGGGTCTTATTTCTAGGCCTGAGTATATGTGAAAGGTACACAATTACTACAATAAAGTGAATTGATGCCTTAAAACTCCAAATCAGGTGTCATCTTTATTTATCAAACAGTTTGCCAGGCATCAAAATATAAACCAACCGACTGGTGTTAAGTCGTCCAAATTTGACAGTACCCAAAGATAAGAATTCAAAAAGACAAATTTAAGATCCTTGCTAGTATAATGAAAAATCTGGATTAACAGAACTAGAAGAACAAAAGAGAGGAATGTGAAATTGACTGTACCTTAATTAAAGCACATGATTGTAGAACTTGTTGATATCTTTTACTATCATATACATCTCCAAATAAAACATTTTCTTTAAGGGAACCCGCAAAAACCCACGATTGTTGACACGAATAACCAACAGAACCATGAACAAATATCTGGCCTTTATTGTGATGAATTTCTCCCATCAAGGTCATCAACAGGGAAGACTGTAAAAAATGTGGAAAATAACCTTGTGAAATTTGTGGATATACAAAAAAATATGAAGAATGGCTTGGCTTGTACAAAAACAATAACAGGAATATCATTATTTTATTTGGCAATGTGAAATCAATAGAAATGAAATTAAATGAAATGTGGTTTAACGTCCTACTGTTCTGCTCTGACTGGGCTAATGAAGATAGGGAATCACTAAAAACCAATGTAAACTTCAAATGCCCATGACAATAGCTAAGATTGATCTATTTAAATAATTGTTGGACTAAAATGTCTTATCAATAAAGGTACTTTTGAGATTGGGTATTGACCTAAAATCTATATGAAACCTTTATTCAGACATGCTGGAGTTTTAATGTAAGTTTTATCAATACTACCTATCATGATTTTTCTAAGATTTATATCTGATATCCCCCCAAAAATGACAGGATGTTAATGAAAAAGAAGCATCATAGTGGAATATTAAACCTTATTTAAAATTCTACTTTAAATTCAATTTACATGAAATAAGGAAACTTACCTTTCCTGACCCAACATGTCCAATCACAGCCAACAACTCCCCCTTTCAAATATAATTAGAAACAATAAATGATAGTTTTAAAAAAACAAACATTATCCTGTCCAACATATATTAATAAATTTATAAACTTATATTTTGACAATTTAATATTTGACCATCCATGGCTTAATTCTTGATTATAAAGTACTTTGTATAACCTATGATGATGTTTTAATATGTTTCCACATAATACACATTTTATCTCGTCAATAAGAATATAATCTATTTTCATAGGTACTTAGTAGCCTTCAATAAAAATTTTGCGATTGGTCTTATGGGAACTTAAATTACAAAACATTAGTAAATATCCAATTGTCAACAACCTAATCCATGGTAAAATGTACACAAATAGATTATTTTAACATTTAATTTAGAAATAAAAATAAAAATATTAATGGTAGATAATATACACAAGGTTTACTTTTTAACAGTATTAAGGAAGAATTTGCTAAAACAATCTTAAATACTGACTTACCTTCTTGACAGTTAAATTGATATTTCTTAAACTAAAATACTTTTCCATTTCATTCTGAAAAAAATTAACATAATTCTGTTACACATAATAAACCATACATCTTCTCTCTGATGTACCCAACAATCTTTCAGGGGAGGTAACTCTTCCATTACCTATTGTCTCCCCTTAGACCACAATTTAAATTGCTGGGGCCTGTTTCACGAAATTTTAACCAAGATAAAATCCAAATTTTAGTAATTTGATTGGATAATATAAGACTGATTTTAGTGCTTAGCCAATCAAAATTGAAGTATCTATTAAAATTTGGATTTTATCTTTAGTTAAGATTTCGTGAAACAGGGCCCAGATATCAACAGATGAAGAGATTTCACAAAATTTGGATCTTATCTTGTTCAATCATATTTCTCGAATATCATTTTCAGTTAGATTAACCCAAGGTGTTGCAGTCTCCTGAACACATCAAGAGTTCCACAGTGTTCAAATCCCCCATTTTTAGAACTATGCATGAAATTGACAGAATTGCAATTGATTGACACAGAATTGCATTTTGTCTTAGTTCTGTCAGTCCTGATAATTGATGTGAGTAAAATTGTAACAAACAAAATCAGCAAGCACATTTCAGCTGGTTGTTATTCCTTTTTTTTTAAAGAAGTTGACATATCCTTTTTAGTTTGAAATCCTATTTTTCACTATTCTTGGTTATGTGAGAATTCAGTAGTAGAACGTTTAATGTACCTCCACTAATATCCTTTCTGTTTCCTCCATTCTAGAATATCTGTAATCATTTTCATTGATATGCCATCGAGCTGTCATTCTTTCTACTTCTATGGACACCCTCGTTTCCTTGGTAACAGCTTGTTTATTAACCTTTTTAAATGTTCTTGTTGAATTCTCTTTATTTTCACCCAATAACAAAAATTCCTGAAACACAAATTTGAAAAAAATCCCCATAGAAATGAAAATAATTTGAAACCACACTAGGGCACAGAGAAATTAAGAGACAAAAGGACTGTTACATTACATTTAATGCCTAAACACATTTTGGTAAGAAAGAAATTCACATTAAACCAAAAAATTTGTTTTTCAAAAGTTGTCTCAATGAAAATCAATTCTTTAAAAGTTTATGTTTAAATTTATGCAAAATTGTTGTTGGTGAGAAACAGATTTTTTCTCTTGAAAATGGATTACTCAACATAAATTACAACATGTATTGCAATACTAAATGTAGTCTGTAGAGTGTTCTAAGAAATGGGAATGGAGAAAAAAATATTGGCTTACCTCTACTCGTTTTAAAGATGATAAAAGAATGGTTATATTTTCTACGGCCAAAAATAGAAATAGGAAAACCGAATCTTGTAAAATATACATATATCCAACAGTGACAAACACCAGACGCACTGATAACGGATTACCAACCCACCATATTGCAACAAATATCACCAGTGCCATTAATTTAGGAGAAACTTTCATCAGTGATAGGTTTAATGACTTCAAGCTCATCGCACGTTTCACAAATTTAATCTCATGTCTGTCAAATAAAAACAATATGAAAATTTAACATACAGACTTTATTCAATGATTTCTATCCTAATAAGTAGATGGCCGAGGCAGTTACTGCAAAAGAGAGAGAGAGAGAGAGAGAGAGAGAGAGAGAGAGAGAGAGAGAGGGGGGTGTAACGTCCACTAGGTCATTTTGGGACTAACATAGCAGTGGGAGGAAACCGGAGGACCCACAGAAAACCTACAACTGGGGATTCGAAACCACGCCAGTTGACTCAATGACAGGCCTTATGATACAGCGCATATGTGCTAACCATTCGGCCATCCAACCCCCAGTTACTGCAAGAACCTTAGCTCTTATTTAGCAGCAGTCATCAGGCTAACACAGCATATAATATATATAACATGCACACAATGATTGGTTTACAAAAAATAATCAAAGTGGCCTCATTCAAAGGCACCAACAATCAATCTCTGTTATCAAACCATTCATTTGGTAATATATTATTAAACTACAATGAATTGCCTGTGATGGAGTGTCGACCAATAGTGCACATTAATTTGAAAAAATCCTGGGACAATATGTTGGGCTTTATTGGGAATGGCAACCTGGAAACCCTACATAATAACACAAGACTAATGCACTAAATTTGACAATTTCTTCAAAAATGAATTATTTTCTCAATTTTAAAGATGGGATATGCTGGACTACTACAAAGACCTTCCTTATTATAGCCAGCCGTGAAGTATTTTATATAAATAGATAAAGTACAAGTACTTCTATGTTTACGGTAAATAAATACATAAATAAATAAAAAAAATATGTTCATGAGGACTCAGTACATATCCATATATTCCATGTTTTATAATGGATAAACTTACTTGCGTAGTGAAGTGATAACTTTATGAAATGGTTTTTCCCAACAATACAATTTTATAACTTTCATTCCTGATAAAACTTCATTCATCTTGTTAATTCTCTTGTCAGACCACTTTCCTATTTTCGTTCTAAAAAGAAAGAGAGATGGATAAAACTTTTACTTTTAATTCATCTACAGCAAAGAAAACCCAAAGAAAAGCATTGAGGATAAGTACTGTTGGTAAACGCCTCAGAAATGAAATGAAATGGGGTTTAACGTCTTTTACATGCACGCAAATGTATACACGGGACCTCAGTTTCTTGTCCCATCCAAATGACTACAGCTGCCCTTGTCAGGCCCTCCGTCCTGCACCACTGACAAGGGCAAACCACATCGGAAAATCCTGAACTTCCCAATTTTAACATGTATTCGCATGACCAGCCTATAACCAACTCTAAATCATCAGATGATTGGGATTTGAATAAATAATCAAAGCCAAGTCTTGGTTGTCAAGTACAGTTCTATGATAATAAATGATCTATACTTTAAAACAGTCATAACTACGACCAGAATAGGGTAATTTGAATGATATTTTCATTAAATTCATTTTTCGTTATCTATTTTAGTAACATTGTAGTAAGAACGACCAGTACTTTATCCAAATCTTACAAAAAATTATTTATCAACATGCGGTATAGTATAAATGAAAAACTTCAGTATTATATTATTTCAGTAGTCAATAAGATCATGTTATTCGAGCACATCGTCAAATCAATATATCAAATGTCAATATACAAATATAAGATAGGTTGCCAGGCAACGAAACATACGCCCACAGCAGCTAAACCGTCCGGGAAGTCAACAAGAGTTGTCGCATATTTTTACTTTTTTCGGTAATTAAACATTTATAATACATTAAAATCTGATTAAGAGTAACAACTAATTAAGTAATTATTAGAAAACTATTAGAATTTGTTTGGTTTTTATAAAGTTCTGCCCCATGCTAATGTCTAGTATACGAAACTTTTAACATCATGGATTTAGTTGTTCAAGTCATAAAAATTCATAGAAAATCAATATATACTTGTTCGTCTCAAGACCTTAAACTCTGTGTATCAATCTGAAGTCAATCGGATGATAACTTTAGCCTCTAGAGCGTCACAAGATTTTTCAAAGTGATCAAGGGCCATAACTTGGGCAGTAATTATCGGAAATCGTTGAAAACCAATATGAGTCTTCATCTCATGACCTCAAACACTGTGTATAAATTTAAAGTCAATCGGATATTAACTGTAGCCTCTAGAGCATTTACAAGATTTTTTGAAGTGATCAAGGGCTATAACTCTGGCAGTAATTATCTGAAATCGCTGAAAATCAATAGGCTTCTTCGTCTCATGACCTTAAACACTGTGTATAAATCTAAAGCCAATCGGATATTAACTTTAGCCTCTAGAGCGTCCACAAGCAATTGTGGATGCCGGACCGACGGGGGTGACGACAATATACGACCACATTTCAATGTGGGCGTATAAAAACGAAATGTAATTTAATCAGATGGCAGTCAAAATGTCAAATAAATTGAGAAATGGTTGTGATGTACTTACCTAAGATTTCCAAACCATCTACCACATAGAATTTGTAATGGTAATAAAATCGCTATGACAACAAGTGTAAACAAACAAGGATAACCAATATAATAATATAACAATGACATCACCACCACTAATTCAATCGGGCAAAGCCATAAATAATGAGTTGTTTCAAATGCCTGTAATAAAGAGACAAATTGTGTGTACTTAAATGTATCAATGTGCGTGTGCATAGAACAATCCAAATACCCCAAAACACAACCTTGATTCCGACATTAACACAATCTTCATTCATATACAAGCACAATCCCCATTCCCATGTAAATGCAATCTTCAGTCCCACACAAGCACAATCCTCATTCCCTTACAAATACATTCCTGATTCACATATAAAGACAATCCTGATTCCTATACAAACACAGTCGTCACTATCCCCCATACAAACATAACCCCCATTATCCCCATACAAACACAAATCTGATTCCCATACAAACACAAATCTGATTCCCATACAAACACAATCCTCATTTCCATACAAACACAATCCTTAATACAATTCTTACTCTCATAGAGAGTAGGTCATCCTGGGACTAACATGGATATTTTATCAAAAACACCCATTTCGGGCAGCATGGAAATTACACATTATGACAATATAGTAAGAATGAAAAAAACACAAAAGGTGGATGAAAAATACATAAAAAGTAAATGATATATACATTAAGAAAGTATGTACAAAATATAAACCAAAGTTGTGAATACATGTTAGTCACTTGGACTTTATAAATTTAATCTTTGGTTATTTTTTGATTTATGTAGAAGTGGGTGCCACATCCCGTTTTTTTAGAAGCAAGCAGCGGGTTCAACAATATGGGCAGTTTGGGTCCTCTAATGTTCCATGAACAAGTGTCTTGCGGAGTTTCTCATAGTGTTTGCACTCAATAGGAAATTGTACTCATTTTCAACTTGCCATTGAGGACAGTTTGTACACTACTACAGATCCAAAGGTATATTCTTGTACCGCCTTCTCTCTATTTCAAGGGAATGTGTGCTTAGCCATGTGGTACAATTTTATCAAATATCTTGTTTGTGTGTCAGGGTATTTACTTTATTTAGTAGTTGTAGGAAACTGGAGAAAACCCAAGAGGTTGGGCTGGCAATCCTATTCCACAAAGGATGCCATTTGACTTAATGACTGACCTTATGATCCGATGACCACACCTTTTATTTCTGTATAAATACAATCCTCATATCCATATAATCAGAATATCAGCCTAAAAATATGGCATGGCACCAGTAATAAAATCAAAATGTGAAAATTATAAAATACACATATACTTACAAAATTGAATTTTTCCAGATCAGTAGAGAGAAGGTTTACAATTTTCCCTGAATTAGTTAAATGGAATGTTTGACTACTAAGACTTAAAAGCTGAAAAACAAGAAAGAAAATATTAGTGAATGAATATTACAGGTCAATATTACTGATACAAGCCAACAGTGAGGCTGATGTCCCCCGCCAAAATCCCAAAATAAATAGATGACACAATTAATTAATCGCACATTTTTTTTTTTTCAAAAGTATCAAGCAATCAAACTGATTATCAACTATACACTAAGTTTCATTACGCTCTATCAGATAGAATCAAAGTTATCGTGTTCCAAAGCATCGACCAATGAAGTTGCTTACCTCTGTTTAGCTTTAGTTCTAAATGTTAATCATTGAATTCAGTAAAGACATTCACCTTATGAACATCTACATCAAGTTTAAACATTCTACCTCAATTAAAAGCAAAGTTGTTATGTTCCAAAGTCTCGGCCAATCAAATTACTTATCGCTCTGCTTACTCTGAGCAGAAAATGCTCATTATCAAACTTAGTCAAGGTAATGATGTAATGAAAATGTACACCAAGTTTCATCACTCTCACTTAATTAGAACTAAAGTTATCATGTCCGAAAGCATCAACCAATCAAATTGCTTATCTCTGCTTCCCTAAGCAGAAAATGTTCATCTTCGAATTCCATCAAGGCATTGACTTAATAAACACGTAGATCGTAGATTTTAACCAATGCCAAAAATGATGCACCCCAGTAAATATTCAGGAAGAAAGAAAAATAGCAAGTCTACAATAAAGTAATAAATAAACTATTCACAGTACCTTTCTATATATAAGGCCACCAACAGCTGTCTTCATCTTCAGTGAAATATGTTGTTGTTTATAAAAGTGGAATAAATCACAGAACATGGCTAAAACTAATGCCACCCCCAGTGCCGCAGCATAAATATAAGCCTCTGTTTTACTAACGAGATCAGTATTTTGAAAGTATGAAATGAGTTGACCTATGATAAAGGGTGAAAGAATACGACATGATTCCTGGAATAAATAATAAACATAAAAAAAATCATAACTGTTACTAGAATACAATTACAAGTCTGGCCAATAAAAAAAACCACAACCAACAAGGTAAATTTTAAGAGAGAGAGAGAAATGGTGTTTAACATCCACTCGACACAAACTAGGTCATTTTGGGACTAGCATATGCTTCAATTTTATTTCAATAATTTGGTTGCGCGTAGGGGTTTAAGCAGTGAGAGCAAACCAGAGGACCCGGAGAAAACCCACGAGGTTGGACAGACGACCCTACTCCTTATCACATACAACCGGGAATTCAAAACCACGGCAGTTGACTCAATGACAGGCCTTATGATACAGCGTGCACATGCTAACCATTCGGCCATCCACCCCCATCTGTACATCTGTCATAACCTATACAAAATAGAAAACTTGCATGATACACGAAGTAAGCTATCCGTCGTCTGTACTTTGACTAGAGATTTTTGAGGTCTAAAAACTATGCAATAAACTGGTAGGTAAATTTAAATTTCAATATAAGGTTCTCTTCAGGACAGCCCGAACCCGGTGTCAAGTGTCAGGAGCAGCCAATAAAGTGATGATAGTGTAGTGTATAGATGCATGCAATGATAAAATTAAAACAATAAATATGCTTACACATATAAATATCAGAAATCCAGGTAAAACAAACTCAGATTTAAATGTGGAGAGTACAGCCATTATCAGACTAGCTTTTTTACCAGATCTGTAATTAGTCAAATGATAATCCCATAACCTGTAAAAGAAAAAGTTAAAAAAAAAAAATCTTGAAAAGGTACACTGCCATGTCACTGAAATAGAATTTATGAAAGCAATGAAAGTATTCTTGCAGGAGGCACTGAATAATTAATTTTTCCTAAGCTTAGTAGGTAAAATCTGAACTCACAATAAATTACCATTTAAAAGACCAAATTAGATGATCTGAAATTTGAAAAGAATCAATATCTATTTAGTACTAGTAGGATACCTGGCTTCGCCCGGGGTCCAATTTTGCACAGGGCTCAAATTCGCCCGGGGCCCAATTATGCTGCAGGCTCCATACAGACATCCCAAATTCAATGGCCTAAATCATTCACAAAGCCAAGTTGGTTAATTTGATACCACATATATTGGTGTGGAGCGCTGCTACGAAGTGTGATAGGCGAACATACACACATCTGCACAGACATCTTTGATTTTATTTATATATTATTAGAAGCTTACTTGTCAATTTTTCCCCATAAAAAACTGGAATCATCCTCTTGTGGACATTTCGATACATCATCTAATGTGAGACCTTTTCTAAAACCTTTTCTAAACAATGAATTAAGCCACCTGAAATAGAGTTCAGTACAAAAGAATCATCCACAGAATAAGAGAAGAACTAATTTGTACTTATAGTTTATATGGTATTCTGATTCTGACTTAATGCATCCTGACCCTGGCTCGCTAGCCTGGAGGTCAGGTGTTTGGTCCCTGCATTGGCCGAGAAAGTTCATCCAGATTTTCCGGCGTGGTTCCCCCTTGTCAGTGATGCAGGACGGAGGGCCTGGCAAGGACAGCTGTCTAGTCCTTCAGATGAGACAAAAAACTGAGGTCCCATGTATATATTGGAACGCACGTAAAAGATCCCCTGGTAGTTGGAATTCGATATAAGAGTAGGCAATAGCGCCGCTTCCCGGGCAAAATTTCCCTCATGGCACACTGAATGGTGTATGCCCGTCTTCATTAGCCCAGTATAGGAGCAAACAGTAGGACGTTAAACCCCATTTCATTTCATTTCATTTTAATGCATCCTACATATCGGCGACTCAGTTAAACATTACGCAATATGGATTACAATGTGACATTTTTTTAAAAAAAAATCAAATTCTCTACCGGAATCCATCAATACTTCAACAATATTTATCTCATTGATATCAATCAATTTTTCTGTTTAAAACTCCCTGCTACCACATTTTAAAATAAAACTGAGCTAAAAACTAGGTGTATGGATGTGATCAATGTTAACAAGTACAACCATTATTTAGCTAATATGCACGTAACCTCCAAGCATATTGAGTATATGAAATGTGTATCAGTATGGCTGATATGCACGTAATATCTTGGTTTTACCAGTACAATATACATGTATGTGAGAAGTGGGGAGCTGACTAGATTTTAGAATGCGAATAATGATAACTTTTTTATAACATGAGTAGAAAATAAGGCCCTTAAGCCTGTCTGACATTTTACCCAAAGGAAATGAAATGAAATGAAATGGGGTTTAACGTCCTACTCTTCTGCACCTAACCTGGGCTAATTGAAGACGGGCATACGCCATACAGTGTGCTATGAGGGAAATTTTGCCCGGGCAGCGGCGCTACGGCCTACTCTTATATCGAATTCCAACTGCCAAGGGATCTTTTACGTGCACACCAATGTGTACACGGGACCTCGGTTTTTCGTCCCATCAGAACGACTAGGCAGCTGTCCTTGTCAGGCCTTCCATTCTGCATCACTGACAAGGGGAAACCACGCTGGAAAATCGAGATGAACTTTCTCGGCCAATGCAGGGATCGAACACCCGACCTCCAGGCTAGCGAGCCAGCGCCTTATCCACTTAGCCACGTGATCCCCATTTTATCCAAGGATAAATAAGGTAAATAAATAATTGGTAAACAAAAACAAAACATTAAACATACACGTATATATGTAGGGGAATTCTACTACATGGTATACACAATGCAGTAGATATAAATAGTACATACACAGAAAGATAAAGATTAAAGATTTATAGTATTCAAATAAAGGTCAATTGTTGAGTCATTGAGGATCATATACATAGTCAAATGTACTCTCATCAGAAATAGTTCAAACACTATTCAAACTAATCGATACTAGTTCGTAACTGTCCTGCACAACAATCTTCATGTATCTTGTATAAACAAGTTCAGAAATAATATCATTTCATATGCTGTCCTTTTCTGGGTTTTTTTTTTTTCAAATATAACTGCAGACATTGGGGGATTTGGGTTTTATTCATTGGGCAGTTAGCTTCCAATAAACTTGATGGTTTGTTTTTTTAAATGTGTTAATTATAGTTCTGACAGTAATTCAGAGCTAAACATATGCCAAAAGGTAGTAGTGAAGACACTCAGGTTTACTTCAAGTAATAGTAATCGCCCCAAAAACTAAAATACAATAATTGGATCATGGAATGTTAAAAGGCATTTGATGAACATCAATGAGGCTAACTTCTAATATAAGGGAATTTGAGAAGAGTTTTTGGTGGAAACAAAGATCATCATATTTAAATTTTATTGGTGCAGGAGCAACGATCGTTCACATGCAACGATTAACCAAGGTCCTGTGTACACACTGGTGTGCACGGAAAAGATCCCTTGACTGTTGGAATTCGATAAAAGAGTAGGATGTAGCGCCGCTGTCCGGGCAAAATTTCCCACGTACTTGTAGTCATAGCACACTATATGGCGTATGCCTGTCTTGATTAGCCCAGTCAGAGTAGAACAGTAGGACGTTAAGCCCCATTTCACTTCACATCCATAAGAAGGCTTGTTCCTTTAGGAACTGTCTCTGATCGGACCCAGCGCACATAGTGCAGTTAGTTACTATACTTGTAACGTTAAACTGTGTTTAACGTTACAATTGATACAGTCTAAGACTCCTTACGCAAGTTCAAATAGGCTCAAACGCACAATTGTCAACACATATCATTACAGTTTGTATTGGAATAAGTAATTCTATGACAAATAGTGAAGACTGGACCATTAAAATAGTTACCGAACAGTTTTTCTTTGTGGTTATGCGTTCTACATTTGCATAGCAATGTTTCTTGTAATGACGTATTACGCAAGCCGCCATGACACCGGCCATATAACTATGCGGTAAGGCTTCACCTTTATTTCAATGGGAATTGATTTATTATATGTTAAGCTATGTGCAGTACTGTTTTGGGTCAGTTTATGTGTAAATTAAGGGAGCTATAGGCCAGTAACCTTTTTGTAGTCGTTTGACTAAAAGACTTGTGCAAAGAAACTCTGTAGGACGAGCCACGTGGCTGGAGTAAGGCGAAAGACATCAGTAGTGGAACCATTTCTAATAGTCCAGTCAGAGACAGTTCCTAAAGGAACTATTGGGCCAAACTTTATGTACCTCTATTTGGATTATTGGAGGCAAACTTTAATGTCAATTTTCATATTGCCTTATTGGTGCATTTTAGTCATAAAATAAAAGCCTTGTACACATGTAGGCCTACTCATCGTTATAATTGTACTATAATGTTGATCTGACCTTAAGCAAGAATATAGAAATCTTGCCAATTATAACTAGATTTATCTTTTCAGTTATTTATTCACGTTACCATTTAAGTAATTATACAGGGCTCGCACTTGTATTTTGTCATTTCGGGTAGACTCATCGATCAAAGTCAATGACAAATTTGACTTACCAAAAACTTATTCTTGAAAAACAATTTGCTGTGTCATACAGACATTTTTCATCAGCGGGTATCTTTTCTGACATCTTGCGTTGTCGTAGATCATCAGGAAAAATAGAAATATTAATTTGTAAGTTTCAAAATGACATTATTGCAAGTAAAATAAGTTAAAGAAATGAAAGTGTGATCTTCCACAGCTGATGGTTACATTCGGAACTGTTCGTGTTTTTGGTTTTTAGATTAATGCACATGTACACATTTTATAACGATGGTACGATTGACCCAAACCACCAATCGCGTAATATCTGAAAAGGGACTTAACTCGTGTAGACAACCCTTAGTATGCTACTTTCAGTTTTTGTATCTCAAGATGTTCATGAACCTCATAAATATGCTTGTGGGCAAGACGTCGCCACGTGTTGCTCAATCTATGCCAAGAAAGGAGTTCAACTCAACTAGGCTAGCAGTTGAGAAAAAGGGTCGATGAGCAACATTAAAGTTTCATATCTGGTAGTTTTTGCAAAAACTAAAAGTTTCATATCCGCTACTCTTCAATTGGAAAGGTAGAAAAAGCAATATAAAACTATTCCAGTTGCAGGTTTTAATTTTTATTCAACATATTGTTCTGTAATTTACTTCATGATTACAATTCACATGTATGTATGTGTATCTGAGTTTAAAGTTTTATAGAGATTATTTTTAGTAGAGCTATGCAAATCTTTCAAATTGTTCCATTAAATTTTATGTAACCATGTAACCTACCGACGTACCGAGTCAGTAAGACCGTAATTTGCAAATGAAATATTGCAAATTAATTTCAAATTCAGTCCACAGCACAGACACACATAGCAGAGGTGACCACTACATATAATCCAGAAATAATTGACCTATGCTAAAGTTTGCATAACATTAATAAAGTTTATCCATGTCCCTGCTGGTTTTTCAGCAGGGTTTCCCTAGTTCAGCTCAGAACGTAGGTCTCATTACACTCGCCCTGTACGTTCAGAAACCCTCCTGAGTCCTATTGAATCCTTGGCGAAACTGAAATCGCTTCCCACTCAATTTTACTGGGCAACTTTTTACTGCTAAATGGTGGGGTGTCAATCCATGTGAATGCCTGTACAATGTAAAGGAACATCCTGTGAGAAAATAAGACCTTGCTTACCTTGCTAAAGTCAGTATGAGCGACACAACACGCTGTTAAATAATATGTCCCTGTCTTGGCGGACTTCATTGAAATCTAATTTAATATAGGGTAACGCACAAATTTACGAACTCGGCCATATAAGCCTCAAGGTGGTGGAATACTGATATTGACAAAGCATTCAAATGAATATAGGCACATCACTTAAGCTTGTTAGTATTATTCTGTTGTTCTGTTTGGATAAACAACACTGCAATAGATAACAAAAGTGAGGTTATGTGAAATTAAAATAGGAAATACATGTACAGATTTTACAACTGTCCTACAGGTGGGTGTATAATGGGTGTTGTCTCATCTTTGTTTGTATTGCAGATTACTGAATATTCACACATGATTTGTGACAGATGAGGTCATAACTTTAAGTGAACTTGTAACAGATTAAAAGGGCCCAGATGTATGTAGGCCTTTGCAGTACTTTTATATAAAATCTTTGAAGATGGAAATTCAACAAACCTGTCTATCACAAACTATCACCATCGAAAACACAAACAAAACCTTCTCAACAGGTGCTGCAGTGACCAAGAAAAAGACAGGCAAAAATGCAATAAATAGAAGAAGATCAGCAGATAGTCTGTTTGCTTTAGAAGATTCTATTACTCTATGTAGAGTGAAACCAGAACCTGCTATGCACTCAGAGTTATTAAGTTCCAAGTTTTCTAATAATGAACTAGCAACAAGATGTGATTTAAAGACAGATCAGACAATTGTTGAAAAAGATATAAAGGTTACTGAGCAATCTTATAAACTTCCAATGAGACAATGTGCCAACCCACCACAGTTATCTTATTCCTTACAGACTAAGAAAAAAAGAACAAATGGCAATGAAACTAAAATCATCGATAGTGAATCGAATAGTTTAAAATGTGAACGAAATGTAAGTCCAAAATTATTATCAGATTTAAAACATGTTCAAAAAGAATTGCCAATACCTATAACACCAAGAAACAAAAACATTAAACAGTCAACGAAAAAGCATAAAAATAATTCTAGTAACTCTAATAAAAACAATTCAAGAAAGAAAAATAAACGAAAAAACTCTGTCAATGGAAGTAAAACAGTGGACACAACCTATCAAGGAGAATTTAATTCAGAATGCATGAACTGTGGTGCTAAATATAAATCTTCTAACAGATGTGTCAGAAATGGTTGTTCAGATTGTGTTGATAATACTTCGAAAATGAAAAGATCAACTAAAAAACAAACAAAAACTTCAGTGAAGAAAAAAAATTGTGTTCATTCCAAAGAAATCAAATCACGGAGAAATAAAAAAAACCCCGATATTCTTGAGAATGATACCGAAATTCATGAACTGAACTCGATGAAAGCAAAAAGGATCTCTGATGAGGTACTTGACCTCCCCAAGTTAGTACACAGAAAAAAATTAAAATCCGGCTCATGTGATTCTGATCAATCTTCTGTCAAGTTAGACCCTTCAAATCTTAACAGTTGTGTGTCCGCAGTCACCGCGAATTCAATAAAAGTTGAGAACCCACATGAACTAATCACATGTAGTGGTAAGATCGATGTACCCGACGCAAGAACCTCTAGAAAGAGTAAGAAAAGATCCATGTCTAGCGATGATGTTGTTCTAAGAAAAAGATCTAAAAACAGTTTCTCAGAATTATTGGATGCAAGTCCCAAACAAAGTATAAAGGGAGAAAATGTATTTGATGATGATCAGTTGTCACAAAAAGTTGGGACAGAATTCAGTGAAGATGATTCAGATGACTCAAATTTTATGTCCCACAGTAACGTAAGGTAGAATCTTTTTTTTAATTTTAATAAGAAGTGCTGGGGAGCCGTTTTGAATATTGGGATGGTAAGGAGGAGTTGGGGCAGCAGTGCATTAGTAAATGAATCTTCTGCTTATATCTTCTAGTTGGGGGCATCACCTAAACAGATGACAATTCTGCCATCCTCCGTCTCTGCAAACAATTCACCTCTGGAACTAGGATGTGTGTGGTAAAATTGATGCAAAACGCATTGTGCTTCAGATCAAAATTTTGATGATCTATGCTAATCAGAAAAATAATTTTCAATTTTCTGTAATAATAAGGCAATATGCAGGGATATTGAGATAAAGATTCTTATAAATTGTATGGAAGTTTTGGGATGGATATGCCAATATATCGCTGAGATATACATGGTTTTTTGATTCAATAGGAGTCTCATACATTGTAAATATTGGGTTGTAAATATCATTGGTTTAACTTCTTGATTAGAATGTCATAGAATAGAATGTTTTATTATTGAGCTTTGAAATTATGCTGTATGTTTATTACACTAGTTTTGTTTTTATTGATAATGGAAGTCTCTCAAAATTGACCAGATTGTAATGCTTATATTTACATTGATCATTCTACTGTTTACATTAAATTCCAGTTTATCAGAATTTGATCCCAACTTGGAAGAAGATTCGTGTGAGAAATACAGTTCTGATGACGATCTCCCAGAATTTTTACCTCAAACCAACGGTAAGATAAATAATGTAATCCGATTTCCAATAATTACTTTCAGAGTTATGGTCCTTGATCAAAGGCTATAGCTTATATGTGATGTCTATATTCTCGAGATGAAGAAGCTTGTTAATATTAAATTGGCCAGCAGTGTGAAACGTCTTTTCAATGCAATTGCATTCACCCATACCCCCTTGCAGAATACTGCAACATTAGTTTCTTTCAGCTCAAGGCATAAGACTATTAAAAATAAAAGTGTGTGCCATGTTTAAATCCTGACTATAATAATGAACTTTTTCAGTACAGCCATAATTTAAAAAAGGCAAACATTCATAATCTTGATACTTGAAATATATATATATATACATTCTAAAATATTAATCTGGGGTATTCCCATACATTTAGGGGGCTGCAGTAGCTTGGTGTGTAATGCAGTAGCTTGGTACCAAGGAGGCCTCTGGTTCTTGAAGATTTTTTTCGGCATTGTTTCCTTTTGTCAGTGTTGCAGGATGGAGAATCTGGCATGGAATTGCATCTAGTTCGCTACCAAGGAGGCCTCAGGTTCTTGAAGACTTCTCGGCATGGTTTCACTTTGTAATTGGTGCAGGATCTAGCAAGGAACTGCATCTAGCCATTTTGATAGCCCGAAACAAAGATTAGGTCCTGTGTAGAAGTTGGTGTGCCCGTAAAAAGACCTGTGGCAGTTGGAAATCGGAATGCGAGTAGACTATTAACCCTGATGATGGTTAACATTAATCGATAGCACGGCAATTAAATATTTCACATTTACATTAATTACTGATACAACTGTCAACTTTTTATCTCACAGGAATCCTTTACTCTCCAAAGGTGGATGATTTTGTGTGGGTGAAGTTAAGACGATATCCATTCTGGCCATCTAAGGTAAAGATTTAAACATACATTAAACGGGTAAAAATGGATGATCAAGACTTTGTTTATTATCGTAACTACAGTAGTAATGACAATCCAGACTAGTTTATATATCGCCAATATGTAGGTGATTTGACTGAAATTGTCTGCATATTCTCTTTTTGTCCCCCACCTTTCAAAGAATGGGGACTATTAAAATGGGTCTGTCCTTCAATCTGCCATACTTCTTGGGACACAATCTGCCATACTTCTTGGGACACAATAAATCTCCTAATTTAGCTAGAATGTTCAAACTTGGTGTAGGTGTCTATTAGGTTAATGCCTTGACAGAGCGATAAAACTATGAATATAGATTCATTATATCAATACCTTGAATAAGTTCAATGACTTCGATCATGCAAATTTTCTGCTTAGGCTAAGTAGTGATAAGAAATTTTATTGGTCAAGACTTTGGAACAATAACAACTCTGCTTTAATTGTTGGCTTGTCATTATTATAGTGAGAACTGTCAGCTCTTTATCTAATCTTACCTAATGCTTCTGTAAGAAATATCTATCCATAGCTTGATGTGACCACTCTATACTTATAGGTCATATATTTATATATTTCAAATTAACAGTAATCTGGATTATAAGGAAGGGCCAATCAAAATTTATAACCGCATTACATTCAAATTTATTTATGTGAACCTAAGGAGAAACCCTATTGATATTCAGGATTTTTCACCGGTTTATATTCTGAGTTAGGAAATTTTGATTTAGTGGGGTTGTTCATTGGACAATCTGATTAAAATACAGATCTATGTTTCAATTTTTTTTTATACTTTCGATGGCCTACACTACATGAAGATTTGACAAGTTGTACTCAAAGGTCGTGTCAGGGCTCGTACAAAGGGCTTTTGACCCTATGACATCAGACATTGATTAATCAATCATCGTTGACGTTTCTAGTGGCTTAACCACGCCAAGAAGTCGCCTTAACAGACTGTTTCATTGGTTATCCCTCAATTCAACCAAAACGCTGGATATATAACAACTCTTCCAGATCCTTTTGTAGTAAAGACAAGTAAAACGAAATTTTGAACTATAAAAACGAAACGAAATAGGATCTGTGTTTTAATGAGATTGTTCATTGGAATACTTGTTTGGATACTTGTGGTCGTATGTTCCTTTGCCTGGCAACCTATCTTAACATGTATTTGTGGGGTTATCCTTACATTAACATATTGACTGGTAAAATTTGCAACAAAGGTATGCCAATGTTACAACATTGCCACGGTTACGTAAGCAAGAACCCCTGTCAAGTTCCAATTACTTAAAGGAGGCAATTCTCTGATTCAATATTATCCACACGACTTATTGGTCAATTTAAATCAACATTGAAGTTGTTGTCTTACTGTGAAAAAGGGGCTTCTGATACCCAATATTTAAGACAAAATAAAAACACGCGCTGGAATGCTTTCGAGCGTTATTTGTAATGCAACGAGGCTAAACACATCCCACAGGAGAATGCTACCGGTGTAGACTGGAAAAAACAAATGTCAAAGACTGTCATTTAAATTGCACTCTTCAATCATGTATTTCGCCCGAACATAACTGATTAAAAATTACAGTAAAAAAAAAAACTATTGAATTTAAATCAGTTTATATACGTTCATATTTTATGCGTTGCGACCCATTTGTGTCAATTTCTAGGTGCCAAAGAATAGGGATTTAACTCCTTTAAGTACATTTTGAATGCATGCTGTAGAGTTGCTTTATAATCTTAATGGATAAGATTGGCTGTTGGGGCATATAAAATAAGGTGTAACCCATTAAAACAAAGAATATTTCAATAGTAAATCAGGGAATTATCACTTAGTTTGTTTTGAACCTGTTCTTCAGAGTTATCTTTCCATGAACAATGAGTTTTAAGGTTTGTGAAAGGAGATAGTTCTCAGGAATTATCTTAAAGCCCTAATTGAAATAATACAAAAAACTTTATATTTCAGATTCTTGATGTAAAGAAAGTGAAAAACAAAGTCCGGTTATTTGTGATGTTTTATGGTCACGACAGGAACCAAAAGTAAGTATCATACTTTTATTCATCCACATTGTAATATGATTTTAAAGATGACTCCTATTCTTTTTTATTTCTCACATGTCAGTCCATCAACAAATGGCTTAAGTTGATTTATAGGCTATAGATTTTGTATATACTGACCTCAAGTTTACTAAATGTCATTGTGCTTGATAACGATAAGAGGATACTTGTCGAAACATCATGCTTTTAGAATAAAACTAGTGATTGTATCCCATAAAAACTGTGTTCTGTTAAGATTTTTTTTTTTTCTTCAAGATAATGAACCCAATTGGTATTCAGCAGTCTGTGACCTTTCATTCCAGAGTTATGCCCCTCTTTTCCAAAAATGTGATAAAATCAATAGCCGATAAAATTGGCAGAAAGCATTAGGCTCATGACTACATGGGATTGCAAACCCTATTGATAATCAACATTCTGCAACCAGTGTTATGCCGCCTCCTTTACGAAAAACCCTGTGAATGTGATAGAGGCTTTTGTTTTAACTATTGTTGTGAATCATTGTGGTCATGAGAGGACGAACCCTATCGATATTCCATACCTTTCATTTAAGAGTTGTGCCCCCTTAGCTGAAAACCCTGTGAACACAGTAGAGGCCACAATTTTTAACAGGATAGAGATCAGAATTTTTGAAAGCATCTTTATCAAATTTGGTCACCATCCAAGTGTTAGTTTTGGATTCTGAAGGCTCTGGCTATCATTTTTTCAAGAAATAGCTGCTGTGTGAACATATTTCTACACTTTGTGTGGTTCTTTATATTGAGTTAGTGACTTGTTCATAGAAACCCAAATGTTGACGGTCTGCCATTATTTATTAGTTGTTGGACTCTTGATGGTTGAGTCGTCCAACATGCCTACTCTAGATCATAAAGGTCAGTGGGGTGTTCTGCAGTATCCTCCTACAGCTAAAACCCCTACTCACTAGGAAATTATTGAAAAAAAAGATAGCTGTCTGAGATGGTGTTGAAGTCATTCTCTCTTCGCAGTTAATGTCAGTCTCACAATCATCAAGTCTGTATTAAAGCTAATCTCTCTTGATAAGTTATTGTGTTATCCGGTATGGTATTACAGTAGGCTACTTACATTGAACTATGACATAAAATACAGGTATATGTGAAAAAAGAAATGTCTGTTTTTTTGTAGATTCCCCTTAATGTATCAGAAAGGAAATGTACTACCATTCAGTACTACAAGAACAGATGATTTTATAGTAAGTATATTATATTATATTATAGTAGGCTAATGGCAGTTGAGTGATCAGGGAACTAAACTATTAGGTTAGAATGTCACACGTTCCAATTCTGGTGTGGGTCGAGAATCAAGTTTGAGATTTTTCTTATTTCATTGGGGTAGTGCATGATAACTTGAAAAAGATAAAAAAAAACTTGGGTGAACAATCACGCTTGGAATTCAAAGAAGAGTTGACAAGACATTAAACAAAAATTACATGATAAATTCTGTCCACCATCTGTTAGGTCTGTGTAGCATGGAATTATTTTATGATCAATGTGTCAGTTTTGAAATTATAAACATTTACATCATGTAGGCAGTGCATGATCTAAGTTATATGTGTAGTTTAATGGTCAAGTGCGAGGCATTAAGTAATATCTATATATTACGCAATGTCTTGCACGAGACCATTAAACAACTTAAAATACAGACACTATCCAGCACGTGCATTTCCACACTGATCAGCAGTGAAGTGTTCGCTAGGCCGCTACAATCACTGATAAGGATGACATCAATGCGATTTAATGAGCCAGAAATATTTACTTTTTCCTGCGACAAATGAAATTCTAAAACAATTTTTTTATGTATTGGAAAAAATAAAGGCGTTTGACGTATTTGTAGATAAAAATTATTTCCTATTTAGTGTAAATGGGTATTAAAATGACTAAAAGGCAGCATTCCGCCCGAAGCAGTAATGTCTTATGTAAACAATGCACGCGCCATTCAGCCAATGATTGAAGCCGCGTGCTGTGACGGCACGTGTTAAGGCAGTCATCTTTGACAGATATTACTCTAGACTCGTAATTCTGTGAAACAGATTGGTGCATTTCAATGAAATACATCACACGGGTCCAATATTGCAACTAGTATAAATAATGTATGCTTGACACATTGCCCGTACCATACCATTATTAGAAATAATGGTAGCCAACATCACATCTGTATTTTAAAGGAATATAATATCCTGGACAAACATTAGGCACATTTGATTTTTGTTTTTCTGAATTCACTAAAAATTGTCAGGTGGATGTTTAGCTGCCTGGTCATCTATCATTCGTCAGATATTTTGTTTGCTTGAAAGAAAGTTAACGGTTTTTACTATTTTAGAAATCTGGAAAGAATCAGAATGATAAGAAGTTACAGCAAGTATTTGACGTTGCTTTTGATGAAATAAAATCTGAACTGACCCAGAGAGCTTTGATGTCCACACCAACACCAACTGAAAAGAAGTCGTTTGATTTCTCCGACAGTTTTGGTAAGAATAAAAGTAAAATTTTAGGAGACAAAAATAAGAGAATAAATAAGAGAATAAAAGGCAAATATAGATCCAAATACTGTGGGCTAACAATTCCCATTAGATATATTTTTTGGATCTCATAGGGTGAATATTACCTATTTATCATTATTCAAATTTATTCTTTGGATCGCATAGGATGAATATTGCCTATTTATTATTATTCAAATTTATTCTATGGATCGCATAGTTGAATATTACCTATTTATCATTATTCAAATTTTTTAATTTAAGTAACATTATAGCCGACGACCCCCACTAAGACGTGTCACATTTTTGATTGCTTCCTTGTATTCAGTGCTAGATTCTCTAGGTTTTAATCCCTATTTTCATTAATTATTTAATTTTACGCTGCTTTTTATACATACAACTGGCCCCCCAGATATATTCACTTGATGGGATTTGGGAGTTAATAGGTTTGTTGTTTGAAATGCTGGTGTATATTTTGTGGTCCTCCTGTACTTACTAATACACTGCCATTCAAGCAAATAACCAGGTTATTAGTTAATACCCATATTTCTTAGCTGTATAATGGTGTAGTCTTTCAAACCTTCATCCATGTGTCACATTTTGTATACTTGTAGATTCCAGTTTACCGTCCTTTACAGAAGATACACAGGTTGATAGCTTTAAAACAGGAAACAAATCCAGTCAAACTAAATATAGGTAGCTATATTACTTCCACTACACCAGAAGATATCTATTTATTAACCAGCTGGCTACTTTCTCTAAGGACTTTTGTTTTAAATAGTGTAATGTGGGGGGGTTAAAATTTAAAGAGTCATTCTTACAGCCATAAAGGGTTTACAGCAGTTGCAAAGCAATCACAGTAATGTCTGACAATTTAATTTTTTGAAAAAATGAGTTTTTTTTTTTTCAACAGAAGGTTGTCTTTAGATGCAAAAGTTACACCCAAGATGAAAGAAACGTACAGTAAACAGTAAGTTATTCCAATAATTGAATATCATAATTTAAAAATGCAATATATACCTTGCTAGGTGGCAGTCCTGTTTGTATGGTGGATGAAATGAAATGGAGTTTAACGTCCTACTGTTCTGCTCCAACTGGGCTAATGAAGACGGGCATACACCATACAGTGTGCTATAAGGGAAATTTGCCCGGACAGCAGCACTACGGCCTAATCTTATATCGAATTCCAGCTGTCATGGGATTTTTTACATGCACGCCAATGTGTACACAGGGCCTCGTTTTTTTGTGCCACCCGAACAACTAGACAGATTTCCTTGCCAAGCCCTCTGTCCTGCATCACTGACATGGGGGAAACCACGCCAGAAAATCTGGATGAACTTTCTCGGCCAATGCAGGGATCGAACACCCGACCGCCGGGATGGATAAATGATACACATGACAGTTTGACTTAATATTCAATGCCTTCCATAATTCTTTTGTACATTTCAAAGCCATTATATATTACAATGACATCCATCAAATTCCTATCTTCTCTTCAGACTGGAGAAGTTAAAGGAAAGGAATGAAACTTTAATAAAATTTATCCAAACTGATAAAGTGAAGGTAAGTTGTATTTATGTGAGTTTTTTTACTAATGTTTATTTAGGTAAACATCAGAAAAATGGTCTCATTCCTTGGATCAATAATACATTTTGTTTTAATAAACATTTGGTAGATTAACAGATTTTAACTCAGAATGGGGGTAGGGGATGGAGATAATCTCCCACATTGAAGAATGATACACCCTGGCATCTATATGTAGTCCAGGGTACCTCTCATTCGGCCCACTGTCTAACAGGAGCGAGTTATTTTATGAAATGAAATGAGATTTAATGTCCTACTACTCTGCTCCAAGTAAGTAAGATTTTATGAATTGGTTGAACCCAATTTTTGTTGTACCTATATATTTGATGGACAGATGTAATGTATTTATATTCTATAGATAGAACAGCAGATGTAATGTATTTATTGTAATGTATTTATATTCTATAGATAGAACAGCAGATGTAATGTATTTATTATACATAAGCCAATATTTTAACAAAAAAATAACCCTCCACGTGACTGGTTATTCTTCTCATTAAGGCCTTGAACTGACAAATAAGAGGAATATCCTTGTGTCAGTTGTCCCATGCCAAGCTGAAAACATTCATTCTGCAGATCATGGAAGCTCCAAGCATTTTATGAAGACCGCTTGTTTGTACATCTGCATATGAGACACTGTCCTATAAACCTGAAAAATCAAAAACAAATTAGTTTTATTTATTATTAGCGAGCATAGATCATGGTATTCATCTCATCAGGTCTAGGATACAAGTATATTGGTATTCATCTCATCAGGTCTAGGATACAAGTACATGTATATTACCATTTTGATTAGCAATATTGACATCTGTACTTTCTGTCATTTTCAATAATTTAATTAGCAACATTTTGCTTAAAGATGCATTATGTAAGATTTAGATAAAAAGCTGACAGTTCTTGCTATAATAGATAAAAATGGGAATATGTTGAAAATTTCAGTCAAATTACTTCATTCTGAGCTAAGTTTGAGCTGTTTAGAGAATAGCGGAGTGTCATTTTTTTTTTTAATTAATTCATTAAGTGCCAAATCCTTTTTAAATCCATAGAAAATATAGAGCATCCAATGGTCTAGATAGTTGATTATGGTCGGTCATGTTAATAAATAACATTTAAGGTCTAAGGAAAAACCTGCAATACTGCAGTGTTGTTTTAACCCATGCCTTTCAAAGAATGCAGGGGACTATTAAAATGGGTCTGTCCGTCCGACTTTTTCAGACACAATAACTAAGACTTTCCTTCTAATTGAGCTAGAATGTTCAAACTTGGTGTAGATGTTTATTAGGTTAATGCCTTGATGGAGTTCGAAGATCATCATTTTCTGCTTAGGGTAAGCAGAGATAAGCAATTTGATTGGTTGATTCTTTGGGACACAGTAACTTTAATTCTAATTAAGTTAGAATGATGAAACTTGGTGTATAGTTTCATTACATCAATACCTTGACTAAGTTCAATAATGTGCATTTTCTGCTTAGACTAAGTGGCGATAAGCAAATTCATTGGTCAAGACTTTGGAACATAACAACTCTGCTTTTAATTGAGGTAGAATGATTAAACTTGCCGTATATGTTCATTAGATGAATGTCTTGAGACCTAGTTTAATGCTTAACATTTCCCTCTAAAGCTAAGTAGAGCTAAATAATTTCATTGGTCGATGCTTTGGGATAAGTAAGTTTGATTCTAACTGATGGAGAGTGATAAAACTTAGTGTATAGTTTCACTACCAGGTACTTTGATTGGGAGCATTTTATACTTAGACTAAGTATAGATAATCAGTTTGATTGCTCAATACTTTTAAAATGACTAAGTATAGATAATCAGTTTGATTGCTCAATACTTTTAAAAAGGATAAATTAATGTGCAATTATCTACTTATTTATGAATTTCGGCGGGGGACATCAGCCTCACTCTTGGTTTGTTTTTCTAGGAACGTCTGCGAGGAATTTATGAGGGCAAGATTCCAAGTGTACGACATTCAGAGTATCATACTTCATCTAGTCAGAAAGAGATACATTATGAATATTTAGAAGATGATAATCAGGTAGGTCTTTAACAGGGCCCTACCCTCTTCTCATAATGGCCGAGATATGGAATTGATTACGAGTGACTGTCCCACCCTTGTATAAGATTCGTTCGCATCATATATACCATTATTTCTCGATAAGTAGTATAATGTCTCGATAAGTAGTATAATGACTCAGTAGTAAAATTATGACAAATGTTCAACTTTATAGAAAACCTCTATAATATTGTGTTACAGTTCTATTTTAAATTATTAACTCTAATCTATTATCTTCATTCAACGTTAGCCTTAAAATACTTCGCACTCTGTGCCAGCAAGACCTAAAGATGTATGAATTCAATCATCTATATATCTAAAATGGAAACAGCATGTTTCACACATCTCCAAATTCGATGCCACATTTGATAATGCAAATAATGTATTTCAGTCTAGCAATGCAAATAATGTATTTCAGTCTAGCAATTTAAAAAAAAAATGTATTTTGAATTGTGCTCTTCGTATTACTGTAGATAAGTGTGGTATTGGATACGCTTACTGAATGGTACAAAGTAGTGACTGGACAATCTTATTTTAGTCTTCGTTATATCAGTGATGTCTGGTATCCGGAGGTAAATATTTCAAAATTGCTTTTATAACTTATTGCTATGGATATCGGCTTCTAACATAGGGTTGACACATATTTATAGTCTGTCGCCTGTCCAACCTCGTGGGTTTTCTCCCACTGCTAAAGACCCCTGCACGCAAGTGAATTATTGAAATAAAATTAAACCATATGTTAGTCCCGAAATGACCTAGTTTGTGTTGAGTGGACGTTAAACCCCATTTCTCTCTCTATATATGGTCTTAATAGAAAGTACGATCCTAAAGAACAAGTAACAATTTGTTGGTGGCCGAAAAGGAGGTATTTCCCTGTGAAATCGATTATCTGCCAGATATAGTACCAACTGGTAACTTTATTTTATTGAAGCGATTATATAAGTGTCTGGTATGTGATGTAGTTTTTTTGCCCTATTTGAAGACAAATGATGGATGTTTTACTTATCTAAAATCCAAATCACCGTTGCATGTCAACTAATGAATTTAGACAATGAAAGCATAAATTTTCTTGGTAGTTTAAATATATTACTCTACAGACAATAATTACTGTCCTATTACTTCAATTACATCACAATTTTATCTTTAAATTGTCAAAGCTTTTATTATTTGCCCTTGTAATTATGGTATTAGGTGTTAGAAGTCTCCAGTTTTATCATATATTATATTGTCTTGAATTTCAGGCCATAGTATTCAGCTTAATGAAACTAAGGAAATACCCCCAAAAGAAAGCATGGGAAGCCTATTATAAGCCGAGAAAAACATCAAGAATTGGACAGATTATAGAACACCAAGAAATGCTTGGGAAAGGTGAAAGTCTGGAGAGTCGATTAGCGAAATTAAAGCCACCCCCTAAAAATAGTCCTTAAAATGTCATAATGGATATAAAGTCCTATTTTTTTTTTTTATACGTCCACATTTTCATGTGGAATTATATTGTCGTCCCTGTCCGTATGGACAGTCCGTTCATATTTTGTTTGTAGACACTCTACAGGTCAAATTTTTTTTTTTTATACGATTTTGACAAAACTTGGAACTATAGGTCTATCTCCCAAAGATCTCGGTTCATTTCGATATTGGCATGTATCAGATCATAACTTTGGGGATTAGGGCCCCCGATATGTACGAAAAATAACATTTTTATCCGATATAAAATATTGTTGAGTATATCACCGTTACACCATATGCACCCTGGAGTTTGAATTTGTGAAAATCGGACCTAATTGCGCGCTGCTATCTGTACGCAAATAGTGTAAAAGTATATAATATCAAGGTTGTGGACCCTCTAGAGATCACAATTTTAATCTGTATTTGAAACATAAGATATGTTTATATCCCTTAGATCTTGGTTACTTTCAATATTCGCGCATTTGTTTTTAACTTCCTGGATCATGGCCCATGATCGTTCGGCACAGGATAAAAATTGATTTTTCGAACAAAGGGATATTGAAAGGGGCTCCGTCCTTCCAAATTTCGTTTTTGGAGCATCTCAAACCATTCAAGACATTTTTTGAAACTTTGTACACACATTAACCTGTTACAGTAGTTGTGCCTTCAGCACTTTAGGGATTTCTGGGATTTATACTTTTTGAGTTTCCATGGAAACAAATTTGACTTGGTTATTGGTGTAAAATTTTGTTTCTGGAGCATATTTTATAAACCGTTCAAATATCTTCATAAAACTTTGTATAAACATCAACCTATTATAGTAGATGTGCCTTTTGCCAATTTGGAATTTCTGGGATTTAATCATTTCTGTGATTCCATGGAAACAAATTTGACTCGATTCCATGGAAACAAATTTGACTTGTTCCATGGAAACAAATTTTGTTTCCAGTTTTGGTGTACAGTTTCGTTTCCAGAGCATATTTCATAAACCATTCAAGATATCTTCATAAAACTTTGTACAAACTTCAACCTATTATAGTAATAGTTCGTTGTGCCTTTTGCCAATTAGAAATTTCTTGGACTGTCCTTTCGTCCCAATTTCATTTAAGGAGCATATTTATTATCCGATCAAGAAATCTTTTCGAAACTTTCTACAAACATCAACCTATTATAGTATTTGATTTTCTGATGTATAAGCTTATTGTTTAACATACAGCAGCTGATTGAGGTAGGCAAAGGTTGCGCAAACCTTACAGGGAATAGCAACCCTGCCTTACCGTCCTACTGTGATCAGATATATTCCAAGGAATTGTTTTTCTTATGCCTTCCAAACAACTGCAAGGGCTCGGAATGGTGATGACAATCATGTTTAGCTTGTTCTCTGTCCATCTCTTCAAAATGTGGGCGTATATTGCATGGCTACCGCTTGTATTCTTGTAATACAACAAAAAATCTTCCGGTTGCATTTTAAATCTTTTAAACTACCTGTGCCAACTCAGTTAGAAATTCAACTAGTCTGTTTAATTATTTCTCATTGCTTAATCAGCGCGAAATAGTACACAGATGCTTGGATTTAATCCACTACCAATAAAAAAAATGGCAACATATACTTAGCTTGCAAGCATCATAGATTGATTAAATTTCAATTTAGCATAAATACTGCATGAAAATACTGATTATTCCTATTAGGAGTTTAACATTATAGTTTGCAAGGCATTCCTATAATGGTGATTGACACATTGAGCCTTTAATTAAATTAATTAATGCAATAGAAACCAAAGTTATCTTACTTACAAATTGTCCGACAAAGGATTAAGTCGGCCAATCAAGGCAGATTAAGTAGTTAATCAATTTAGGTGAGTAGACGGTGTAACATGATAAAATATGTTGATCACTTAATTACCTGATCAATCCAGCCTATTATCATTGATAATCCAGTTGAGCGTAGTTACACTCAGTACACTATATTAATTTAGAATTTTGATTATTCACCATGTCTTGATGTCCGATTGGGCATATTCCTGGTCGGACAATTTAGAACGTTTGGAAAATAGCGTCGACATGTCCGGAATATACGAGCAATATCCCATCACTGCTTACAATTGAATGTTGGAAAAATTGATTTACATCAAATAAAAATTGTCCATTTATGAGACGTAGACCGCCATCATTTAGAAGTCAATAGATGAATGTCAGGTGTTATAATACGTTTGACTTTGGTGTCACAGATATTAAATATGCCCTGTGTTTACCAAAATACATTTAATTTTTTAACTGACAAAGCGCCATTGAATTTTTAAATTTTCATGATTTTAGGCAGGAATGGCAAAATAAAAGTAGACATTTACAAAGTCGTCTCATATATGATAATCAATATTTCCATCTATTTCGCAATTTTTCAGTTTTAATGTTAAAATTGACTTGGCCATGCTTACGATGTATCAGAAAACAATACAATATCAACCGTAGAAAACCTCTCAGTTGGATAAAAAAAGAAAAGGGGCCAATCTAATGATTTTATCGGTACCGGGCTTGTTTTGACCATATCTAAATGTTACAAATTTTCAACTCCTTAAAATAATTTACTTAATGCAGTTGAAACTTAAAAATAACTCAAATGGCAATCAGAGACTTAATTGAAGATGAAAAAAAAATATTGTTGAAATTTTAAATATTCAATATGTTTTGGTATTATTAATAGATTGATGTTTAAAGGGGGACCGTGTATGAATAAGAACTTCTGCTTTGGTTTTCTTCTAGACATCTTATGTATTATGCATTACAAAAAAAAAAAAAAAAATCGGCAATTTTTTTGGGGAGGATGGTTGAGAAAAATATATACTTTTCAAAATTTGATCAGGAGAGTAAACAGAAGATATTGATACCATTAGTGATTGGTCCGTTTTATGATTTTATTAATTAATTCTTCAATGTTTTGTTTATGATGATTTGTCATTAGAATTAAAATATATTGACAATCTTGAACTGCAGATAAAATGATTCGCCTCTTATACCATAATTAATATTGGTTAGTATCAAAATTTATTTATGTTGTTAAATTTTAGAATATATACAATCATTACTATAGTTTTATTTATGATAAGAAAAAAGAACGGTGAATTTATGACATGTTGCTTATTTATTATAATTTATTTTCATCAATTGTAATTATCTGTTTCTTTTTGGTTGTGTTTAATAAGCATGAATTTTGTCGTCAGTGTATCAGGGGTGTCCAAATGTTTCCAGTCTCCCCTGATTAAGCTGCAGTCAGTATGAAGGGCAACAGGATCAAGGTTCTTCTACAGTTCTGACCCTGCTCCATGTAAATGCAGCACACCACTAAATGCACTATACAAAGCAGCAGTGTCATGAATTTTCTTTGTTAATTTTTGACATAAACTTTTCAACTGAAGATACTTAATCACAACCCTGCATTCAGTTTGCTCTATTTGGGGAGCAACTGGTCATGCTGTTTGACAGCGGTAGGAAATTATATCACATGTCCAGCATATGCTGAGATACTATTCTAGAGCCGATTGATTTGAGCTTGGACGATCCGTTCATGGCTAGGCCAGAAACTTTGGGACAGCCAAAATGCATGTTACAATTTATCTACTGTAGTTCTTAAACTAACTAGCTTTAATACAGGAGGCCAAGTAGAAATGTGACCCATCATATCGAAACAGGTAGTAAGTATATGTATCAATTTGGCCATATTGATTTACGCACATATCACATTCCTTATATTCCAAGCTTCATTTTGGTACCATTTCCAGCTCCATGTTTGAGATATCAGTTGGAGATATTTTCAAAACCAGTGGGCATGGTTATATTTTCATCAAATCCATTCTTGGAAGATACAAATAAGGTATTTATGAAGGTAATCATATTTTCATGTGTTGTAAATATTCTCATTAGTGACAAAAGAAATATGCAACACTTGTTGACTGCCTGAACGACTTTGTTTCGTTGCCTGACAACCTATGCGACTTACATGTACTACCTGTTTCGATGTGATGGGTCACAAATATGCTTTCGCTTTTAGTAATGCCCAGTTCAATTTTATTTCATTTATGAAGAAATTTTAGCTGTTACTACATTCATTTGCAGTTGCGTTTTGACTAAATGTAAACCATGACCAGATTTAGTTATTGTTTTAAAAATGCCCTGATGTGGTTTAAGAATTAAACCACAATTTAATCATAGTAATGTGATACCAACACAATGAAATGGCCAACAGTGGGTTCTCATTGGTGCATGGTTTGTTATTTACAGAAATGATTTGTCATAATGAATTGATTTAATGTTCGCAATAAAGTTTATACCAAAATTTATGGAATTTAATTTTTCAGGGCAATTGCGTGCTGATAAACCACGGGCCAAACAAGTCTACTTTGTCAACTGTTATTAACAATTTCCGTGAAAACGATACGTTCCGATATACGTTGCTCCAAATTTTATATTACTTATATATATATCTTTCCACGTCTTATGTGTTGGATGTCCAAAACAATACTACTTATTCGAAGATAACATTTACTGGGTGTATAATTAAATTCCACAATATTCGAAGATCCAAGAAAATGTTTGATTGACCTACTTGCTTTTTACTGTTATTCAGATATCGCTACACACGGTTGAATATTTTAATTGCAATGAGTGATGATAGACATAAACCGAGGGGCCCGAGAAAGTACCTCAGCGGGGCACAAAAAAGGAAGCTAGCAGTAAAGAAGGAATTTCGTGATGACGCTACAAACAACTCTTTCACGGGATATTGTCTCAGATGCACTGAAATTAATCCTAATTTTAAAAAAAAAAATCCTGAGGATAACACCCCAGGCACTCAAGGGGGCGGAGTACATACTAGTACTATCCGCAGTCAGTGCGAACAATTTGAACAAATAACAATGGGGACCCCGCACAGTTGGTATGTCCCGTGCCCCCACAAGGTTAATCCGGCACTGCTTGTCGATATTCGCGCATATCGGATTTAACTTTATGAATTATAGTGTAAAAATATGGTATATCAAGGTTGTGGATCCTCTAGAGGCCACAATTTTTATCCGAATTGGTTGAAACTTTAAATATGTTTTTATCATAAAGATCTTGGTTCCTTTTGATAATCAAACATTATCCGAACGTAACTTCCTGGATTATGGTCCCTGATTGGTCGAAAAATCGCATTTTTAGCTTGTGATCCCTCTAAAGGTCACAATTATTATCTAATTTACAAAAACGTTCGAATATATCACCGTTACACCGTAATGTTGGTTGAGTTCGAATTTTGTGAAAATCGGACCAAAACTGTCGAACAAAATGGCCGTTTAGATATCACCATTCCACCATAATGAAGAGTGAATTCGAATTTCAAGAAAATCGAAAGGAAATTGCCCGCTCTTTGTACGCAAATTGTGTATAAGTATGTAACACAAAGGTTGTGGACCGAGGTCAATTTTTATCCGATTTTGATGAAACTTAACCTATTTCTATATTCCAAAAATCTCAGTCCCTTTTGATATTTGCGCATTTCAGACCATAATTTTCTGGATTATGGCCCCTGATTTTACAAAAAAATCGTTTTGGTTTTTTGCTTGTTCTCTATTCATCTCTCGCAAAACGTGGACGTATCCTGCCTGGCAGCCGCTGGTTTATATTCGCGATGACCTACACTACATGAAGACATGACCGGTTGTAGTGGGAGGTCGCCTCAGGTCATACGAGCGGCTGTTGACCCTATGACGTCAGGCATTGATTAATCAACTAGCGTTGATGTTTCTAGTCGTTTACCCACAGTTCCGTGCATCACACGCCAAGAACTCACCGTAACAGACTGTTTCATGGGCTAATCCCCGACATTAACCAGAATGCGCTCTATCTATCTATCTATCTGGCTGGGTCTGCTCGGGTTTCTTTTTCTTAATTTAATTATCTTTGTCGGGAATGTCGGCAATAAAAATGTTAAACGGTTTAAGTGCACTGTTTAGTTCAATTGCCGTGGATTTATTCTCGAAAAAATGGTAAGTTCGGTACAAGTTCGCCGTATTCATTTACAAGGAAGGGACGGCGTTTTATTATCACGTAAAAGTTGGCTCATTTCGGGCATAATCGATGCCCCAAATAATTAATATAAATGGCCAAGAGCGTTTTTGGTTTTTTGGGGATTTTTTTGTAAATAGCGCATTGGTGCCCAAGTATATACAACAAGCGACCGACAGGGCAATGTATGTTACAGATATGCATACCCTACACATGCAACTCGGACAAAATAAAAGTTTGATAAATAAGCTGTGTAACTCATAAAAAACCCCAGTCCAATTGAATGAAGCTTAAGGAAAATATACGGGTTGTAATGTCCATGCATTTTTCAACAAACCATCGTTTTTCACCAATGAGCACTGAGCGCCATGGAAAACGCATCACTTAGTTTTTCGTATAACAAAATGATCCTGTAAACATATCTTATTTATTTTGCTTCTTATAGTGAACAATATTCAAATGGGAACACACCAATAACACCACATTTGTACACTTATGGAAGTTTAATCTGTAATCAACGGTACAAAGTCAGAGGGGTCAAAACCAAAAGTACGACACAGATGTCAGTAGCGCGTGTATCCTCCACGGGCCATCATCACGGTAGGCTACAGCATTAACGCGACCCCTGCAAATGCGTAGGGCGGTCCGGTGATGAAATGTGAAGCCTCCCCACACCATTACACTTCCCCCACCCCATCGATTCGTTTCGAAGACGCAGCAGTCTGCAAGACGTTCCCCAAGACGTCTCCACACACGTTGACGGCCATCAGCGTGATAAAGATGAAAGCGACTCTCACTGAAGAGCACACTTTGCCATATCAAACGCCGCTGACGGTGATGATCCCTGAGGATAGCTCCAACATAAGGTCGTCGTGCACGGAGTCCTACTTCTCTTAGACGACGTCTTACGGTGTTGGCACTTACTGGTCCTTGTATTCCGACGACTGCTGCACCTGTTCGAGTCGCTGGGCGGAATCTGTCACGCAGATGAGTGACCCGGATGTAGCGGTCTTGAGCCTGGGTTGTAACGCGTTGTGGACCAGGACGTTGACGGTCACGTGTTGATCGAGTAACTAGAACACGTTCCACCAACCTTACAATAGTGGACTAATGACAATTGAAGTGTCTGGCAATAACACGTGTAGACATGCCAGCCCGGGACATTCCCATGGCTTCATTCCGTTGATTTTCAGTAAGTCTCGGCATCTCTAGCTCGATTCCTTCACACGTCCAACAACAAATTACGACAGATTGATGTTTCACAGTTCATGTACTGCACATTAAGTTGAAAACATGCTTTTAAAGGGCTCACACACAATGCTGACGTGAATATTGGGTTTTTCATGTGCATTTCGTGCAATTTTTTTTTTTTTTTTTTTTTTTTGTGCACACGGGCCGATATTTTTTGCGTTTGGGAGCATTGTATGAACAATAGTTCATAGTATTGCATAATATTATACATACAAAACCACCTAGTAATACATTATTTGGGAAATAAAGTGATGCGTTTTCCATGGCGCTTTACAAACACTCTTTACGTTTATATACTCTTAAAAAAAAAAAGTGACGCAAAAGTTAAAATTTTCTAATAAATATGGATAAGAGGAAACTTATTGTTACGAACGTTGAATATGTTGTGTTATGGAGCTTACAAAATGTATTTTCATCGCAAGAGTCATTCGGAAATCAATAACTTTGTACACAGATAACAGTGAAAAATTGCACAAACGCAACTGCAGTCGATTTAAGCCACGGCATGGTATCCACGTGCAAAAGGAACAACAATCGCTATAAAAATGCGGGGTTCTGGATTCGGCTTCACTTCGGTTAAAACTCTCCGCGCAGATTTTATAATACCAAGACTGGACGAAACTCAAGAGGAACAACGCCAGATCAGAGGTTGCGAGTTTTTTGGGGGGTTTTATGTGTTCCCTAGCAATTTATAACAACGGGAATATTTATTTGATGAAATAATAGCTTCAGCCGGGTATTCATTTATAAAACAATCATTTATTGTATAAACATAGCATTTATAACAACGGGAATATTTATTTTATGAAATAATAGCTTCAGTCGGGTATTCATTTATTTTATGAAATATTTTTTTTTTTAGTTTTCCATTTCAGTTTTCCAATTATTTTAGTTTTTCACTGTCTTTAGTTGGCAGGCGGGCCGTACAAATGGCTGATTTTTTTTCAACAGTCGACTGGTACTGATATCTTTGTTGTTATATTCTTCCCATAACTTAAACAGTTGGCCCTCAATATGACGATACCGGGTTCTCTGGTGTCTCCTAAGCGATCCCTCGGACATCATTGTAATATCGAGGGGTATCTTTTCTGCTTCTGTAAACAATTCGCATATCAATAGATAAAAAGGCACCGGACCCCTGGCGTTCACCCGTGAATTAAGTCGGTTGTGCCAACCCTCTACGTCGTTGTTTGTTCGAACTGGTTTCATGAAAACACACCAATCTTCTATAGGGAAGAGACTCGATGTTATCCACGTTTCCTCTACATACTGTAAGATTGGTTGTAGTTGTTCCGGGCACCTTTCGTATAGATGGGCAAACATGCCAGCAATGTGTTTTGTAATGATATATAATATTTATGTACATTTCCGTTTTTTATTTTATTTTAGCAACAGTCAGTATATATTACCCATGTAATGATATAATATTTATGTACATACCATTACTTTAATTTTAGCAGCAGTCAATATACCCGGTTCTGCTGGATGAATATGATCTTTTAATCCTTTCGTGAAACTATTTCCGTCCCGAATCACCGTTGCAGGACAAGTCACAGAACCATTTCTCTTGCAGCACCATCTCAGAACGCCAGGACAGACTTGGTGCACATCAGGGGGAACTTGACAGCACAGCACTATATCGATGATATCTTGCGTCCGAATGTCATCCCTATCATGGCCATCAATGTCAACGCTTTTTTTTTCAGCTGGACAATGCCCGTCCCCACACAGCACGGATCACCACAGCCTTCCTGGCAAACAACCACATCAACGTTATGCCATGACCTTCCAGATTCCCGGATTTAAACCCAATTGAGCATCACTGGGATGAATTAGACGAGTACGACGGCAACAACAACCACCCCGCCCACCTCCCCTTTGGCTATGGATTTATAACATTTTGTCTGGAGACTATGCGAAACTTTTCAGTTTCGGGAATCATAATATCTTTATCGTACTAATGGATTAAATTTAAAACATTGAAAATCAATATATACTATTCAAAAAAAGTAGGGGATATTTGATTTTTAAGTGTTATTAAA